GAGAGTGGGATTTCGATGTAAACAAGGTCCCGGCACTGAAGAGCAGAGGCAGTAGGAGTTCGCTGACTAGCAAGGATTCCTGCTCCTTTCCGTAAAAATGTAAGTGCTCTAGGAGGGTCGATATTCCAGTCGCATATAGGAGCGAAGCAGTCGTAGTTTGGGTGACGCCTTGTAATCTGACGGCTGATCTCCCNAATGTAAGTGCTCTAGGAGGGTCGATATTCCAGTCGCATATAGGAGCGAAGCAGTCGTAGTTTGGGTGACGCCTTGTAATCTGACGGCTGATCTCCCTCCGGTAGATATATGGCTCCTGGATAAGTACTACGTCGACTCGCTTAGAGTGAGCTAGCTGTAGTACCAGCTCCTGGTAGTCGCTAGACTTGTGTACATTGATCTGGAGGACTTGAAGACATTGTGCTTTACTAAAGCTTCGTCTACTCATAGTGAAATAGGGGGTAAAGTATCCAAGGTTCTTGTTGTAGAGAGGTTGTCATGTGTGGAGGCTATGGAGTTATTAGCTCTCTGCAGAATAACACTTGGCGGTGTAAGAGGGCTATCTATGCTCGACTGGGAGGGGTTCTGTGAAGGGTTCTGTGGGGTAGTAGGAATATCCATTTCCGTGTCCACGCTACTACAAGGAGATTCTTCTTCTCTTCTTATTCGCATCTCATTACATGCTTGCCGAATTGCTCTCTTGTTTTCGGTTGAGGGGTGTGTCTTTGTAGCCTTTGGCCTAAGCTGGCACATAGGGTCGTCAGAGGCATGAGGGCCACTACAGTGTAGGCACTTCAGTTTACACTGAGAGTGTCTAATACACCTAGGGTGGAAATCTTCAGAGTGCTTGGTAGTACCACATAGGCGGCATCGCTGGTTCTTGCCACAGTTCCTTGAGTTATGCCACATCCAGCACTTGGAGCATTGGGTAACATTAGAGACTTTAGGAAGTCGCTTAAAGAAGGCTCTTCTTCCGAGAAGAGACGTTATATCAGGAATAGCGTGAGAGGCCCTAGCTTCCTCTTCCTTGAAGAATACAATCCAGGAGGTGAAGAATAGTCCGTTATAAAGAGAGCTAGTAGCCATGTCAACCTTAGTTGGCACTACTCCAATTCGCTCTCCTATTGCTGTAGCTACTACTCTTGCTGTAGTTGGGGAGAGAGTCGATATAATCGCCCCCTTTTCATCAATTTCGACAGTTTCGACACTTCGAGGGACCCCTGATAAGCGAAATACTGCCCAGTCTTGCGAGGTCTCTATTCTAGCCGCATGGAAAAGGGTTTGGATAAAGGCCTTCTTTGTTGACAGAAGGGTGTCCAGAGCTTCTTTACTCTTAGCTACAATAGCAAACCCAGAGTTAACCGAAAGTACTTCTTGTACAAGCTCTTTACAGCCAATTTTTGGGTCGCAGAGTGCAAGGTAGATGGCTAGGGCAGAGTGTTTCCTTTCAAGAGAGTCTAGAGGAAGTCGAATAAATACCCTAAGATCGGGTTTGGCTAGGGGGCCTTTGTTCTTCTGTGACTTTAAAGTAACAGTAGGAGGGGGTGGTGTTGTTGCTGCTGTGGTTGTGCCTAGATTCTCAGGCACTAAGGCACTCTTTATGGTCTGTGCGTATGAAATTTTTTCCACAGGAGCCAGAGAGGGGGTTGAGATCGTAGGAGACATAGGGCCATCTCTGCCCCTTTGGGAGGCTCCAAGAGCGGACGGTAGTGGAGGCGGGGTCCCTGAGGTGTATGTTCGGTGGAAAGCTAAGCTAAGGTCGGCCACCTGAGTGCAAAAGGCCCTGAGGTAGGGCAAGAGTTCCGGGGGAGCCCTATCAAGAGCAGTGTTTAGGTGGTGGTCAACGGCTTCCGCGGTACCTCCAAAGAAGATTTGGCCTATAGCACCACGTTCTAGAGCTTTGGTGGTTCCAGAAACGAAGTGCTGCTGTATATTGGGTAGTGGGGGCATCGGGCGTACTCCCCCCTTTTTCAGGCCCCTTCCAACGGGCGTGGGCGAAATCGGAGGTTTCCCTGGAGGAGTCTCCATGGAGGGAAATTTAGCTTGTCAAACGAGAGTAAGAGAGATTGAGCGTTTTAGAACAAAATTTTCAATCTACGAAAAAGGTTGTTGGAGTGTTATTACTGTTCATCCAGTTCTATATTTACTTTGCCAGGATTCACTGTAAAACCTCCCAAGACACCATACAAGAACAATACTATCGAAATCTTGTATGGCAGTTTGCTTTTCTTTCCTTGGTCACCAAATGACTGAAGTTTCGTATGAAGAAGTTTGCTAAGATACCACAAGGTTGCGACAGATGGCTGGGAAAAAGAGTGGGACTTTTGGTGAGTACCTAGAAGCTGAAGTGCTATGTATGGTTGGTTTTTTACACATCGATTTCTTCTTCACTCGTCTCTACGGATATGGCGAAACTAAGAACCGCCAAAAGGGTTTCATTTATAATAATCCTGCACACTACACTAGAGCGAGGATAGAAAACTCTTGATAATATAGAAATTATTGACTCAACTCCGTGTTAGCTATTATCTCGGTAAGGTTTTACAGTCTGTGGTGCGTTTAAAGTACACAAGAGTATACAAGGCAAAATTCATACTCGAGTACGCCTTTCCGTTTTTCCGTGTATATACAGTTAGAGACTTACTCTTACTCACTCGAGCTCACTATAATATAGTAACAAATATCAGAAACAAAGATATCTCCCTACTACACATCTTACCCGAGAATCCTCCACCTTCCTATCTCCTTTCTCGCAAATTTCCATTATCGCAATTACAAGTGGTGATTGTTCGAACAGAGTATAAATAGCATGAAACACAATTCCTAGTTCTATATTTCCTCAAGGTGCGAGAGTCTAGAGAGGATATCGCCTGGTTGCGTGTCAGGGTGTTACATTGCGTTACCTTCTATTAAGATGCTTTAAAGATATTGAGGACATTTATGTCCCTTTGAAATCACTGCACCACTGTAAGAAGATCTCGGTAGGATGAAGAGCTTACAAGTTGACCAGGAGTTGGAATACCTACTTTCCAACTACGATTGGCAAATTGTCCAACTACAGGTCTGTGAATACAATTAATAGTACTAATGTAAGATATCCGGACAATCAATTTAGGAGCATTAGGACATTTGTGAACATAAACGCGCCTTAAGATTATTATAGTAACGAATACCATCATATATATCCATCTTGACATCCAAATTTATCTACAACACCCACAACCACGCACAAGAAACAACAAAAGCCCCTCATTCCTCCCTCCCATCCAGAAATCCCCAAAATTTCAAAAACCACGTCCACCAACCAACCAACCACCCAACCCCGGGCAGTAAAATCAAGAATCCCACAACACGCCCCCCACCATCCCAAACACACAGCACCCATCCCTAATCATAACAACACTCACCCAACAACCCTCTTCAACCTCAAGTTTAACTCCGGCTTCTCCCACGTCAAAAACGCCCTCGCCCTCCCCATCTCATGCGCCGGATCCCAATTCGGCGCCCCGTCCACAGAGAGGATATCGAAGTTCCACAGGAGACGAGCGAGGGTGATGCGCATTTCTAGGTAGGAAAGACTATGTATATCACTTGACTTAGCACAGATCGAGAATCGCGCAAGGTAGGTTGAAGGCCGGGTTTATGCAGTATGGGGAATGGGGAATGGAGAATGGAGAATGGGGGAAGGGGAGGGGACAAACGTACTGTTTCCCAATACAACCTCTCGGACCGAGAGAAAAGGGTTGCGCGGATTTTTTGTGATCCGTTTCGTAGGATCTATCGATCCAGCGCTCGGGGATGAATGCGTCTGCGTTGCGGAAGTTGGTTTCGTTGTGGGAGGCTGCCCAGGAGCCGACGGATACTGCTGTCTGTGGAGGTATGTCAGTTCAGTTCAAGGATGTCGGGTCTAGAAGGGGGAGGTTAGAGAGGGACTTACGCCGCCGGGAACCAAGTATCCGTCTACAGTATCGCCCGCTTTTGGGACTGTTCTTAGGAGACCGCTGGGGGATGTTAGTATAGATTTCTGCTCGTTGGGATGAGGTCAGATTTTAGCCGAGAGGTCGGACTTTCTTAGCCACTGGACCAGGAGGGAATTAAGGGGTTACATACGTAGGCACAGGAGGATGGATCCTCAACCCCTCCTCAATAACCGCATTCAAATACACCAACCCACTCAACGCCTCCCACCTCAACTCCCCCTCCTCCTTAAACGCCCCCCTAATCTCAGCAACCAGCTTCCCATAAACCACCGGATTATAAATAAGCCGCGCCAACATCCCACTCAAAGCATTCGCCGTCGTCTCCGAGCCCGCCACAATAAACAGCGCCGAATTGACAATGATTTCATCCTGATGGAGATCGAACTTCACCTTCTGCTTCAGGATATACCAGATGAAATCCTTGTGGTCGACATCCGAGTTCCGGAGGCGTCGCATCACTTTCTCGGTGCTGAATTTGAGGTGGTTTCGTCGGTCCTGTCGGGCTTTGGAGGGGAGACACCAGAGGAGGAAGGTCTGTACCAGGGAACCGGCTGTGGCGAATCGGCGGGTTGCCTGCTCGAGAGCGCCGGCTTTGACGGTCTCGAAGATGAGGTTGACCCAGGTGTGGAATTCGCCCGAGGCGAGACATCCAAAGGGTTCGCCGAATGCGAGATCGCCGATGATGTCGAAGGTGGTGAAGTTGAGCCAGTTGACCATGTTGAAGGTTTCGTCGTTGGTGCACATGCGGTCGAGATGGTTGATGAATAGGGTGACGTATTCTTGTATGATGTCCTCTTGTTCGAGAAGAGCCTTTTGAGAGAAGGAATGTGCTAGGGCTCTCCGTTGACGAGCATGATTGGAGTCATCGGCCATCGTCAAGGTCGTGACTCCACTTAGAGGCTCGACGGAACCAACATGTACTGGGTCCTTGTGGAAGTTTGGGTGTCCTGGGCGATGGCCGTATATATCTTCCCATGCTTGGACAGAGTTGAAGTGTAGTTCTGTAGGAGAGACTCATACAACTGGACCATGTTTATCGTGGAGGAGTTTGTTTTCGAAGGCAATTCGTCCTCGAAGGAGAGCTTTGATTCCAGGTATTGGACTTATTGCATTCACCCTGGGGCCGGGGAATTTCGCTAGTGGATCGAGTGTCACTCGGTATATTGCCTTTTATGGAGTGTGAGAGAGGTCGTCAAAATGGATTTCAAAGTACTTACAAGTCCAATAGTATAAACTGTTCCCTAAACAAACGATTAGTACAGATCTTTGGGAGGAATACCACCTCGACGTACCACGACAACCGCAAGTGTGAGGAAAAGTCCAATGGCTCCCAGAATGCTTCGTGGGGCGGGAACGTCCATTCTAGAGTATCTTGGAGAACTTCTTTCGGTCCAGATATTCAGAATTTTCCAACTTAAGATAGAGTTTTTTCGATTCTATGTATCCACAAACGCTTTGCATTTCTTGCATTCAAAACATGATCCAGACAAGCTGGAATTCCTGGTGGGGAAGGTCCAGCAGCAAGAATGAATCTTGCTGCTGGGGTTAGAGCGATTTGTGATCAGTATACAACTCCGAGCATTTGAAGAACTCCGAGCATTTGAAGGGCGCCGAATGAGACTGCAGAGTCCAACCTTCCGGAAAAGGTTTCCCATTATCCGGACCCCGCTACCCCGCGAGCTCGCTACGGTACCATGACAGGGAATTCGAGTTTGGGATGGAAAATACACCCAGGCACTGGAATCCGTGGAAGTCGAGGAACAGAAAAGTCCTTCTGACTCCTGTAAAACCTAGGTGTGTGTGCTGCCTCCAACCTCCTGAGGAAGAGTCTTGAAAATAAAACTGCACGTGACTTGGGATTTGAGACTGAGCTGAGACTGCGAATAAAGGCTGCGGTGCTCTTCATGTGAGTAATAGAGAGTATATGAATGTTGTTTTTAATAGTCGTATATGGAAAAGCGATTGCTCATAACTTTGAATGTCTACCTGTAGAAAGAACCATCCCACCATCTACACAAATATCAACACCATTTCTATTCATAGTTAGCAAACAATAGTCAAATGAAAGGGGGACTTCATAACACACATATAGCTCCCAGCCGGCGAACATAAAAAGATCATAACACCTGCAATATCCTCCGGTTCTCCCAGGCGTTTACGTGGGTTTGCCTCTTCCAACTCAGCCGTCCCTCCCAACCTATCAATCAAACCAGAAGCCAATTTACTAGGAAAGAATCCAGGAGCGATGACATTCGTGGTGATATTTCTCGGGCCCAATTCTACAGCTAGATTCTTTCCAAGATGATGATTGTGGTTAATAATGAGTTTTGAGAGAGCAAGGGAGACTCACGCGTGCTGCAGCTTTGGAGACGGAATACATGATTGTTCCATTCTCTCCAACGTGAGGAACGTTCTTCCCGGCTGTTGAACTCACGATGATGATTCTAGAGGGATCTTGTCGCGTCCCTGAGGCCTCGAGTAATGGCGCAAATCTGGTATAGATATCGCTCAGCACTGTCCTTTCCGCAGTTGTAACTGTACTGTACTACACAAAACAAGGACCACTCACTTCTGCGCCAACAAAAACACCCCCCGAACATTCAAATCCAAGATCTTCGCACTCGAATGATCCGGCGCATCTTCAAACTTGGAACCCCAAGTAGCTCCAGCATTTGCGACGAGGATATCGAGCTTCCCTTCCGTCTTTTCTACGTACTGCACAAGTCGCTGGATTTCCGCTTGATTGGACACGTTTGCTGGAACTCCCACCGCGCGGCCCTTGATGCCGGAGAGCTTATTGAGCCTCTCAATCGCTTGGTCGATACCCTCTGCTCCTCCAGCTTTTCGCGCGCTGATGGTGACTTTCTTTGCGCCAGCGCGTAGGAAAGCCGTCGCGGTATGAAGACCCAGACCTCGTGATCCTGTTGTGTTCAGTACCCAAACGCAGTGAGATTGCGGGGGTGGGAACTCACCTCCCGTGACGAGTGCGACCTTGCCTGAGAGGTCGAACATCCCATCGAAATTTCCAAGTTCCGACATTGCGAGTGCAATTGTCTACCAAAATACCGATGCGGTCCTATTTTCAAAAAGCTTCGGATATTTTTGTATACATGTAATACTGGGATGATTCTCGCTCAATGACATCGCTCTTCTTCCTGTAACCTTCCCCCAAGATACCTCGGGCCTCTCGGTCATGATTCCCCACAATCCCCCCAAACTCTACCTATACCTACCCCAGTACCAGTCGGTCTACTGTACAGTACCATGTAACTCCAAGCTCCCCCAAGGGAGAATTACGTCCTCCATCCTCGGATTCTCCGGTCCTACACGAAGCTTATCATTAAAAATCTCCCATCAGACCTCAAAACCGGAGTTTTAAAAAATCTCCTTCTCTCCTCAAGCACAGCAACCCTTCAATATGCCTTATCATTCCCCATTTCCAGATCTGGATATACCAAAATTTGATATTTTGACGTACTTGTTTCCTCCGGGTGAATCCCCATCAACGACACCAATATGGATCGATTCGAAGGATACTAGTATTTCCTTGTCACCTGCTCAGTTATTGCAATGGGTGAAGAGACTGGCTGTTGGATTGGATAAGACGGGGATTAAGAAGGGTGATGTAGTCATGATATACACGCCGAATCATACATTCGTCCCAGCTGCGTATCTTGGTATCGTAGGAGCTGGGTATGCTTTTAGTGGTGCAAATCCAGTATATACATTACCGGGTAAGTAAACACGCACTACCTTATTTCTTATTCTAACAAGTCTCAGAAATGGCCCATCAAATCAACGATACCGGCGCTCAAATCATCTTGGCACACCCTTCAATGATCGAAACCGCTGTAGCAGCAGCCAAACAAGTAGGACTTTCCCCAAGCCGGATCTTTCAATTCTCAGATGTGGAAAACCCACCCGTGGAAGGAATCCTAGACTGGCGAGCTCTAATAGGAAGCCCCTCAGAAGGTGAGAAATACACATGGCCACGACTAAGTGCACAACAATCCATCAACACAGTAGCCACAATAAACTACTCCTCCGGAACCACCGGTCTCCCAAAGGGAGTCTGCGTCAGCCATCACAACATCATCGCCAACGTCGAACAATCCTGCTTCACAAAGTACCACGGCAAGCCATTTACACGAGAAACCGCACCCCCAGAGCGATGGATTGGTTTCCTGCCACTATATCACGCGTACGGACAACTCTACACGATCCTCATGGCCGTAAAACTCAACGTACCAGTCTACATCATGAAACAATTCATCTACACCGACTTCCTCCAATGCATCCAAGACCGTCGGATAACCCATCTACACGTCGCACCCCCCATCCTCGTCATGCTTTCCAAACGGCCCGAAACCGTGAACTACGATCTCAGCTCCGTGACAGACGTCCTCTGTGGCGCAGCGCCGCTGTCAAAGAACCTACAAAATGACGTCTCCAGACGATTCAAGATGCAGATTAATCAAGGCTGGGGGATGACGGAGGTTACTTGCGGCGCGATTGGAGTGGTGGGTGGTGTGAATGATGACTCCGGGAGCGTGGGACAGTTGCTTGCGAATACGGAGTGTAAACTTCTTGATGATGAGGGGAGGGAGGTGAAACTTGGGGAGGCGGGGGAGATGTATATCCGGGGGCCGCAGGTGTGTTTGCGGTATTGGAAGAATGATGTTGCGACCAAGGAGAGTATTAGTGAAGATAGGTGGCTAAGGACGGGAGATGTAGCAATCTGTGATGAGAGGGGTTATTTCTGGATCGTGGATAGGAAGAAGGTTCATCCCCTATCTTTTCCCATTTTTATCCTTTCCATCCCATCCCATCCTACCCCCATACCCTAAAAACCCCACCTCCTAACACACCCCCACAGGAACTAATAAAAGTCAACGCCCTCCAAGTCGCCCCCGCCGAACTGGAAGCCGTCCTCCTCAGCCATCCACAAATCGCCGACGCAGCCGTAGTAGGCATCACACTGCACAACGAGGAATGGCCACGCGCCTACGTCGCCATCCAAGAAGAAGCCAAGGGGAAAGTCACGCCCGCAGAGATCCAGGAATGGATCAAGCCTCGTGTTGCGAAGCATAAGTGGTTGGTTGGTGGTGTGACGTTCGTGGAGGAGGTGCCGAAGCTGGCGAGTGGGAAGATTCAGAGGAAGGTTATGAGGGAGTGGGCGAAGGCTGATGCGGAGGTTTTGGAGAGGGTTGTTAGGGCTAGGTTTTGAGTTTGTGGATGGTGGGTTGAGGTTGGAAATGGGGTTTTTGAGTAGGTTGGGGGTTATTGGTTAGATCTTTCGATTTATTTGAGAAGGTGATGTTGTCGGGAGTAGTCGCCATGACCATAGGTATAAATAAATAAGACTATATATGGGGACCATGAAAGTCTATGAATATATAAAGCCATACCACCTCACTGTTCCATTAGGCAATCCACTATCAGCCATTAAAATGGACTTTCAAACACCTGAATCTGTTTTGCTAGCCTGGCTCTTACAGTAAATCTAAAACTTGGAGCTATTTCGAAGTCTCGCTCTTGCCTTTCTTTCTTTCTTTCTCTCAGAAAATCTAGTCTAAAATCCCCCATGATACTAACCTATAACCATGCATCTATAAAGCACCACTTCCCCATACACAAACCCCCTATATCTTTCCTCCCTATACTATACTACCAAAACCATCTCCTCATTTCCTCCCCAAGCTGATCTGATACATCCAACATATCCCTTTCCAAAAAATCAAGATATCGCTATACAGCAATAACATAAATATCCTCGAAGGTAATTATAAGCCGACTAGCTGTTAATCATTCTTTCTTTCGTCCTTTGATAGTTTCCTTCATGCGGGGATAGGAAGGGCTTGGTGGAGTACTGTACCTAAAGGAGTTCGTGGTATGGTTTAGTTGAGGGAAGGAATGGGGGTAGGGATCATAAGGGTGTTTGTGTGAGGGATCTTTGGGAGGATTGGGGTTAGATAGTTTTGAGTTTTTGTAGAGCGCAGGGCTTTAGAGTGAGTATAATGCAGGATTTTTAGTGAATGAAGATGGTGTTGCTTAGGAAGCAATGTATGGTGGGATATATCCCACCACTAAAATACCACATTCCTAAATCCTTCCTCAACACCAATAATATCCACTATTTTATTCTCTTATTAGCTATACACTCATAACCTTTTATCATTCTATACCCCTTTAATCCTCAAAATCCGACGATTATAATTCTTACTGTCGAAAAAAAGCTATATATATAAATAAAGACAACAAGTATCTAGCACTCTAACAAACACGACTATATCTACTATACCTACTATATCGTTTGCTATACTATTATAAGCTCTTTTATCCTACCTATATTCCCCTCGCGAATAGCTCGACGAGTTTTAGAGGGGTTTATATATTATCTAGTTCTTATTAGAGCGTGTTATACTTCGCTACCTATCTAGCCGAAGTTATTACCCTACCCTATACTATATTTAAGTCCGAGTACTTGGCGTGTGCCTGTTTTTACTAGAACCTTATATTCTTTCCTTTACAGGCTACGTACTTGTTAATAAGCTATATACTTATTTTTTAGATAGTTTTACTACTTTTATATAGGACACGAGGCCGAGGGTACTTATACTTCGCTTTCTACTATATACATGGGCGAATTATAAGCCATTGAAGCTAGCCGGTAATACAAAAGAAAACCAACAATAAGCCTCATTTGATATAACGTGTACCGACTAACGAATGAACAAATATCGTGTACATATTATATTGGCCCTAGTGGAAGGTGAAAAGAATCGGGTAACAAGTGAATTCACATGTTTCTCTTCGTCTTTGACTTCGCGATAAGTGAGACGATAAAGCTATAGTAAGTAGTACGCTGTTGAAAGACATCTAAAGCTAATCTCAATAGTCCGTACAAGAGAGCAAGCTAGGTACCATCCCTAGCCCACTTCACCCCACACCCCCACCCATACCCCCTCTTCCCTTCACCCTCCCAAATCCCAAAAGTGCAAAAACTCCCCAAAAAAAAAGGCAAATCATAAGATTTGAGAAGATCCCTCAGGCGCGAGTCGAACGCGCGACTAGAACACTTGTTAGCAAGTGACTGAGAGTAATAGGGAGTGTTGGTATGCAAACTTACCATTCCGGTGAGACTGAACAATTACAGCCGGACGCCATAAACCAACTAGACGACCGAGGGTGGGATGATATGATTTTTGATGTTGAGAAAAATCTTATTTGCGGTTTTGTTTTTGGATTGTGCTGGGTGTGTGTGTGCCGGGTAAGGCCCAGGGGTGGGGTGGTGGGGATGGATGGATCCGGTGTGGGTAGTGTGGAGTGGTGGGGTGGATGGGTTGGGACTAGGAAATGGGCGAGACGGATTGGGGTTTTATTGTCATTTTTTAAGGGAGATGGTCTTTTGAGGGAGGGAGTATATGACATGGAGATGTGGTTGTGGTTATGGATATGGTGAAGCTCTCGCTTAGTATTTGGTATGGTACTCAGCCTCAACTTTCTGTCCACGCTAAGCTATGGCAATAAGAATTCTTTGCTATATGATGCGATAATCCTATCTCAGATAACGCTTGGAGGTTCGTTGAAAGTAAAAGAGTTTACTTCTGTAGAGTTTGCTAGAGGTTTAGTAATTCATTACGTATTCGAGTGTACAGTGTTCAAGAAACCAATTTTACGGGGTTTTCCAAAACTCCGATAGTATGCAAGCACATCAATAGGAAGTTCAATACTGATAATGTGGCCAAGTTCACGGTAAGATGTCACTGAGTTAGTACAAAAAGGGTTCTTTATCTATGTGGGACGGACAAGCACTACTGCAATTTTGACAGATTGCGGCTCTCCTAATTAGGCTTGAGCTAATCTTGTATTATCCGAGAAGGAACTTTCCATTCCCTAATTAGTATGCTAACTCTGGTCTACCTGAGTCAGAATCTATCTTGTCACGTGAATCAATTGCTCGTTACCCATCCCTGCCGTACCACCAAGTGGAAATAGTTTCCCGAATCCCCCGCATCACTCTTGACTGCATCTGCAACAGGATGTTCACACGCATACGTCTCTTCCGGGAAGAATCTCGGCCAGTAATGTGGAGTTCTATAGCCATGCCAGCTCTAGCTTTAGCCCGCATCGGTCCGCTGTGTACCCCACGAAGATCTTCTTGGACGCTGTCATGTAGTTGGCCCACGCGAGTATGCAAGTCTGGATATTACTGGCCGAGATCATTAATTCGCATCTATCTACGTTATACAGCCTGAACACGTGGATATGAGTTTCCGAGTAAGTAATACTGTTGGGGATTTCTTGTCCTTGGTTGGCGCCGTTCAAAAAAAGGTAAATGTGAGATAAAGGTTGTTGAGAAGCTAAATGTTGATAACGAGTCGACTTTATCTGATATCTATCAAAATACAACAATAGTTCAATGTCTTCTACCTCTGAGCCTGTCCTAGGCGTGAAACGGAAAACTCTTCATTCAGAAATTGGTGATACATCTGAATCACCTGTTTTCAAAATGGCACCATCAGCAATGCCGGATCCAAATGAGAGAACTTCTAATGGCACCAATGGAGCTGCTCATCCTCACTCCAACGGAACAGAGGACGAATGTTACAAGATACTCCCACAGTATCATTCGCAAGCGACAAAACTAAGGGTAGCTTGCGTTGGGGCCGGTGCATCAGGGTTGTGTGTGGCATATAAGATGGAAAGAATGCTTGAAGCTGGGTCTTGGGAATTGACACTGTTCGAAAAGAACTCTCATTTTGGAGGCACGTGGTATGAAAATACCTACCCTGGAGTAGCATGCGATATTCCTTCACATCTCTACACCTTTTCCTGGGACCCGAATCCCAAATGGAGTCACTACTTCGCCTACGGACCAGAAATTCAGGCCTATTTCGAGAATTTTGGGGAAAGACATGGAAGTAGAAAATACATGAAACTAAACTCAAAGGTGGTAGAAGCAATATGGGACGAAGCTGCTGGCACGTATACAATCACTCTGGAGGATACGGTTACAGGAGAGCGATGGAATGATTGGTGCCACGTCCTCATCAATGGTTCTGGAATTTTGAATAACTGGAAATGGCCAGATATCGAAGGGATTCATGACTTCAAAGGAAAATTGATGCACTCGGCGAAATGAGACCACTCTGTAGATTTCAAGAACAAATCTATTGGAGTCATTGGAACTGGTTCAACATCTGTCCAGCTTGTGCCAGAGTTACAGCCTGAGGTCAGACATATGAATGTCTTCATGCGAAGTCCGACTTGGATCAGCCCCCCTTTTGGTGGCGGCACGTATTGTACACGGGTTACTTAATGTGAGGAAATTGGCTGACAAGATTCTGCACTAGGTGTCTTGAATGAGTTGAAAAACGGAGTAGATGATCCAGGGTTGAGACGATACACGTTCACGGAAGCAGATAAGAAGAAGTTTTCAGAAGATCCAGATTACCTTCTCCAATTCCGAAAGAAAATAGAAGCCGAGATTAATTCATTGGCATGTACCAACAAGGATCAGATACCTCTAACGAATTCAGGGAAGTCATCAGAAAAGAAATGAATAAAAGAATCGGTCCTGAGAACGAAGAGCTGAAGGACTTTATCATTCCCAACTGGTCGCCAGGATGTCGAAGAATCTCCCCAGGGGATGGCTATTTGGAGGCTTTGGTACAACCCAACGTCCAACCTGTATTCAGTGGGATTAAAAAGGTTGTAGCAGATGGCATAGTGACTGAGGACGGGGTTCTCCATGAAATGGACGTATTGGTGTGTGCTACTGGATTTAAGGTTGCTTTCAGGCCAGCATTCAAAGTTGTCAATGGGGATGGAACGACGTTGGATGATGATTGGGGGAAGGGACCAAATCTTTATCTTGGATTATCCGCCCCACGTTTCCCCAATTTCTACACCATTGTGGGGCCGGGGGCGACATGGTCTAACGGACCACTCTTACCCTCCATTGAAACCAGTGTCGAATATGCCGTCAAGATGATGCGCAAGATTCAAAAGGAGCACATCAAATCTCTTGATGTAAAGCAAGAAGCTTTGGATGACATATATGCTCATTTCGACGAATTTCACAAGACAACAGTCTGGCAAGAAGAATGCCGCAGTTGGTTCAAGGATGGCAAGATCAAAAACAGAATCTATCTCTGGCCAGGATCCGTGAGTCGACTCAGCGTTTGCAAACCCCACTCTTCGGTTCACCTGCTAACCTATTCATATATCAGACAGTTCACTTTCTCAAGACCATTAAAGAACCTCGTTTTGAAGATTACAATATTCGCTATCGATACAAGAATCGATTTGCCTTCTTAGGAAATGGAGAGGTTAAGGCCAACACCGTGAAAGGTGACTATAAAGGTCTTAGCACATATGTGCAAAACAGCGACCACGAGTGGTCAATCGAATAGACCTAAAATTCCTTTCATTTCTGCACAGCTTCTATCGTGTATAGCACAAGGTGGCTCCAGACGATCGAGAGATCAAGCTTGGACTTTCCCTCTTTCCAAGACATGTTATTGAACATTTTCAACGCCAACATTGAATTTCGACTTGTTGTTTGTATTCTTTCCGCGAAATGCAACTACCGAAATCCACACCAGCTAAGTGTGGATTGATGCACGATGATGAGGTTCTGTCGAGGTATTCCAGCCATGGTGTCAGTTTGATGTGACCTCTTCCCACTTGGTTCATGTCTGCCTGCCAGCGTTGAAACTGACGAACAGTGGGGAGCTTCCTGCTTCCGCCGATCCGCGGTGAAATCATGGGGAAGAGCCCTATCGTATTTTGTGGAGAAGGTGGGCACCTGGACTACCCCGCGTTTTTTAGCTTCCTCTCTGAGTACGAGTACGCGTAGAACGGATCAGATTAAGGCGACAGCTTCTCCGCGTTTGTCTTTATGGATGATGCTTTCTTATATCAATTGTGGTTAGCAAAAAACACTATTGAATTTGGTATTGAATTTCATTGGCAACGCGATGAAAGTTCCGTTAGTCTTTTGTTTTTGATCCTCGCTTGTATTTTAATTCCAGTTTCCATATGTTATTTCTGATCCATGTACTGACTAGTCATGTATATTGAACGAGGCCCCACTAAACGAGTCAATCTGTCTTGATTTGTTTACTTGGGTACTACCAAGACAACTATGACCATACCTGAACAATCCCATTCCAGCTCTCTATGGACCAGAAATGCACCGAGAAATCCGAGCTAGAGATTATGCAAGTCGGTAAATGAGGCTAGAAGTGATGCAACCGAAATCTGGGGTTATTGATTGGGTTTATACAATATGGGGTAAGTCTTGGCTCAATGATGGGGGAGGTGTGTGGCAGCCAAAGATGGAGAATGACCTATTTCTCTAGTTCAATTCTTCTCCCAGACCTCATGTCTGTTACTTCTTATGCTACTTTCTAATTCTGCTATCCATCGTCGTTTTACATGTACTATTATCAAACTTGTAACTATCTCGTACAGCTCTTTTTTATCAACCATCAAGTTTGTGTTACTTAAATGCCGATGCGTATCAACAATCTTTTCGAGCACGACGCCTCAATGAAGAGGCAGGTTGAGAACAGGGAAAATCCTGTTGCTCCTCCAACACCATCGACCACTACTCCGATAATTGAAGAAGTGGTACAAGAAAAAGTGGCACCGCCACCAAATCAAGCTCCCAACACGAATTCAGCATCGAATTCATCCAAACCCGCAGCTCAAAGGCATCGTGCTTCGATTGCGTGCGCGTCTTGTCGGGATCGAAGAATACGAGTAAGCTGAGGTCCCCAGAACTGGTTTTTGTTCTACCAGGAATTGATTGCATGGCTGACTCTCCAAGTGCGTTGTACCACCTGGAGAACGAGATTGTACTCAGTGCAAACGCTCGAAAACCGAATGTATAATAAGGAATGATGATGAGAGACGAAGGCAGGTTTGTTCTACAAAATGGATTGATGAAGTAACTAACGAGCCAGACCCATATCCAAGGCCTACATGTCTTCCCTAACAGATCGAGTGGCAATGTTAGAAGAAATGTTGTCTGAGACAGGAACACCTGTACCTCCCCCAAACTATCCGCCAAAAACGAAAGCAGACGCGGTAGCGTCACAAGTGAACTCAAGCGATGCGGTACGAAGTCAGAGTCCAAATCAGAATCAACAATCCCAGATTCAGCGACAGCAAGATTCTCAGCCTGTCCAAAACTCCACTCCTCGCAGTATGCCAGACGAGTCTACGGACGGTGATAACGGATATCAGAATGAAGACACTTCAAATAGCATCATGGATGCCCGTCCATCTCCACCAAGGGTTCCAGCGTCGAAAAAGGAGGGGTTGGTGCACATGCTTCTTTCAACTCGTGGGCACTTAAGTTTCGATCAGTTGAGTGGCCGCTTGAGATTTTTTGGGCCTGCCTCAAATTTTCATATTTACGCGGAGAACGACAACTCCCCCGATATCCGCGAATCGCCAGAACAGGTTCGCCGAACAGAGCGCATTATTCGATGCTTATCTATAGAAACACACGACTATCTATTGGGTTTATTTTGGGAACACTACAATGCTGTACTTCACATTGTTCATCGAGAGGCATTTACTGAAGATATGTATCACGCGCACAGCAAGTATTACTCTGGCTTTCTGCACATCTGTATTTTAGCTATGGGATATAGATCTGCAGATCTCGAACGACAAGATATGAAGAATATTACATTGGGTATCAGAGAATGTACATTACATAGAGAAGCTAAGTATATGTTGGATATGGAGTTGGAGAGACCGGGCGGTATAGCTTCGGTGCAGGGGTTTTTGATTCTGGGTGATCTTGAGTGTGGCGTTGGTCGAGATAACACCGGATGGATGTATGCTGGTCAGTATTTGTTTGAAAAAAGACCAAGACTTCAAAGAGTATGCTAACACCAGAGAAGGAATTGCAAATAGATTGTGCTTTGATCTTGGACTACATCTGGATTGCCAAGATGATGGACTTGACGAAAAGGAGATACAACTCCGACATATGACTTTGTTCGCTTGTGTAATATACGACAAGTAAGCTTTGTAATCCTCCTGAGAAGAAGTATTAAGTTGATCTTTACAGATATTGGGCTCTCTTTCTTGGACGACCAACAGGTATAAAGAGCCAAGACCTCGAAATGTACCGGCTCTCTAAACAGTTTGCCTGTTTATCATCCTGCCAACCAGCGGGAGCCCAGAAGAGCCTAGAAACACAAATATATGAAGAGCTTTTGGATTTGATGGAACTGGCAGGAAAAATAGCTGAGATCCGAGATTCTGGTGCTCAAGCGACACAAGACGTAGACAGGGCCAATAGCGCTTACTTGTATGTCATGAATCTTGACCGCCAGCTTCAAACATGGTATCGAAGGCTACCCGATAACCTTGCATGGAAACCTGAGAATATTCAGACTGCACCCTTCTCTTTCTTCCTTCTTCATCAACAGTATCATTGCAGTCTAATTCTTTTACACCGACCTTGGGTAAGGTACGATGATTCGACGCCTCCCAATTCTGATGACGGCAGCGATGAGGATACATACATGAATATCGACGACAATCATTCCTTCATGTCTCGTTCCATCTGCACCAGACAGGCAATTCGCGTAGCGCGGATATTCTGGCATCACCGCCAGAGATTCGACACCCGCCTCATTTTTATTACTGGGATTCAGCAGGCTGGCACGGCAGCTACCGCCCTCGTAGCAGCACTCGCATTCATCAAGAATGTCAACGACCGAAAATATAACATGCAATACCTTGAATGCCTCGCTTCAGCACTGGATGACATGTCATATACTTACCAACCGGCCGCCTCCATGTCCTCCATCCTCCAAGCAGTGATGATCGAGCTCCAAAATTCCAGCTCGATAACTCCACCACCTCCAGATATCCGACACTCGCCCCAACGACGGGAGAGTACTTCCATTCCCGCGCGTCGCTCTTCCACAAATGACGCCGCAGAAGTCCGAACCTTCAAAAAACGTCAACTATCAAAATCCTCCACCAGACCTTTAAGAATGTCAGCAACCATCTCTATACCGGAAGCTTCCAAAACTCGAACCCCCAAAACCACCTTCCCACCTCCAGGTCCCGAAAAGGCTGACAAGGATTTCGTGATGATCACTCCTCGGAGTGAGAGGACAGCGTGGCCGATGCTGAACAACGATATAAATTCCTTGGATTACCCGATGACATTCAGTGGTGTGGGAATGGGCAGTGCGCCTTTGGGGTGGTTGGAAGGTGGGTTGAGTCCTTTTGGAGCTGGGAATGGTGATTCGGGAGTTGAAAGGGGTTTTGGGATGGGGGGTGCGTTAATTGGGAGTGCGAAGAATCATGAGTTGGATTTTCTCAGTTTTTGATTGGCTCGCGTTCCAAGGCTCGGTTAGGAAAAGGGGAGTTTTGTTTACTGGGGCGATTATGCAGTGTTGTTTCTTCGCGGAGTGTTTTGTGATGGTTGCTAAAGGCCTTTTTTTCCTTCGTTGCGGTTTATTAACGGTTTATTTCTTCGTACGATGATACCGCCTCCTAAATTTTAGATTGTGACAACTTAGAGTTAAGTAGTTTAGCGGATTTATGTTCTTGCTTTTTACGGTACTCCTATTTTTATACTTCAACCTATCTATTTACCTATTTGCCGGAGCACTAAGTTTATTTTAAGTCATTTGAGAATATGGATCACCCTATATATGTATTGTTATATTGTTATATCTATCTCTAGTCATATCCTCTAGTCTCTAGTTTTTGACGAAACTAGTATTGGTACAGTAACATAAACAGCAATGACTCCGTTTTGATAGAATTGTTCAGATGGAAAGCCTCGGTAGCTAAAAAGATGGGGTGAAATACGGAGTAAATCATGTGACGTTTTAGCGAGGAAGAACTTAATGGTTGAGGTTTTGGTAGAAATTATGCTGAAGACATTCCCAATTCAGTCTCCAGCTCCTTGTTTAGCCGGTAAAAGAGCCTCGTGTTCCCCTGGTTATGAATACCCACCAGTACCCAGTCAGCTCAGCTAAGGCGTTATTTTGGTATCGATACCGATAAGGTACAGCAGCCACCCCGGACGCCCTTTCTACCCACTCAGGGTTTGTTTCGTCACCACGTGTGTTGGATGGCATGAAAGTCGTTTCTTCGCCCACGGCGATGATGCTGAATTGGGAGGAGATTGTTTTCGATTCGATCACCTTAAATTAATAGGAAGAATCTGTTGGTTGCCTGTGGTTTCTTGAGGATCGCGGCGAGTTCTGGACTACTTCGAAACGAGGAATACTTGAGTAGAGGCCAGCAAAAGTTGAGGAAGGCGAAGAAGCGCAGCATGGATAATCTGTATCAACATCACCCACTACCTGAATTGCACCCAGAATCAAAACGAAGGGGCTCAAATTCGATCGACAAGAACAATGAAGACCTCGTGCACGAAAGACGAGTATTTACAGGTTAATCATGGAGCTTGAAGAAATTGCCTCGAGCTATTTCTGTGTCTTGGTTGGGCGTCTTCAGATGGAAAAAGCAAAGGTGCAAGCCTGATCACACCATAGAACACGGCCCAAGGTGTCGATCTGTATGATTCTCCAATGCATATGGTGTTGTACAGAAGAACGGAGATGTCTGTCTGGATTTAACACCATCTTTCGGCATACCAGTTCCTCAACTTGGACGCCATGCGGCATTACGGAAACGGGGATATCTTCCTCTCCCCTACTCGTATCCCCACATCAACTGGTGATCTAATATACCCAAGGTCGCTTTTCTACCTAGGTAGGTAGTCCACACCACCGGAGTTTCTATTTACGCTTATATTTACTATATGCCCCGTAATTCTTGTCTATAAATAAGGATTGAAGAATAGTGACATTTCTCTGGGAATATTTCTTTTACATCATACAGTAACTAAGAAAGAGTACCAAAGGGAAGAAGAATAACTTGGTATTAAAATGAAATTATACATCCTTTTTATTACTAGGCAATATACAGACGTAGGTACATAACTTCAACGTACATGTTTGATATATTAGAATTGTGGAAAAGGATCAAGATGTAAAGATAAATCTGTTTTAGTTGGGGTTTTAGCGCCGTCGCATCTAGCTAATTAGGAGACGGGTGCGGTAGGCGGAATGCTTCCTGTTTCCTCCATTCGGAAGATCCGTCAAATCGGTTACCTGGGCCTCAATCCATGCCTTCCACACGCGGTGGCGTACCGACCAGGCCCTGATTGTCAGGCTGTCCCTCAGCCATTGAAAACCTGGGACGGTGTGATTGATACCTGGGGTTCGGAGTGGGGAATCACACGTAAGGCGCAGCATGTCTCCAATTTCATTTCGATTCTGACCAACTTCTCCCGCGGTCACTCACCAACAACTCGCCTGAAGTGACTTGACGATTTATTGAGTTGCATTTTTATAACCCTCGCTAGTGTGTCTGTCTTGCTACCGGAAGTTTGCTTGCCCAGGACCAGACCGCCGATGTTGTGTAGCCGAGTCCATTGCAATACAGTCAGCTTGGCCTTTTGATATTAATAACGTTACTGTATCAGCGCAGCGCGAGACGTCAAGTTGTCAGACAAAAGCTATCGTTACCCTCGTCCCACTGACGTCCCCCCACCTCATCGACTTCAAACGCTGTACCACAACAAGTATATACTAACAACATTACAAAACTTCTCACTGTTTCCTATTTTGTTGTTTTCATGTGGAGGTAGCCAGCCGCTTAGGCCGATGAGCTTTACGCCATGACCGAACTTCCAGAGCCGGCTCTCTCTACCAACTTTTCACGAACATATGGGGGCAACGGCGCATTTCATAATTTTTACAATGATTATTCACATATCACCGATCCCAATCTTCGTCGGAGGTTAGCTCTTGCGGAAATCGACCAGGTATGTAATTCTAGATGTTGTAGCCAAAGCGTTCTGTTTAGTATACTAACTTGAAAAGGTTCCCTTTGGTTGGTACCATGTACGAGCTGTATTGGTAGCGGGAGTCGGATTCTTTACAGATTCCTATAACATATTTGCCATCAATCTCGTCACTGCGCTGTTAGGAATGGTCTTCTGGCAAGGTGATCCCATTCCTGGATCGAATTCAGGCGGAAATCATGGAGCGTTACCACAATCAGTCAACACGGCCCTGAAAGCAGCGACATCCGGAGGCGCCGTAGTAGGGCAACTGTTTTTTGGATGGCTGGCTGATATAGTAGGCCGGAGAAGAATGTATGGGGTTGAACTGGGGATTATTGTTTTTGCAACTTTTGCTCAGTCGCTTGCAGCTCCTAGTATTGCTGTAACGTTGACTGGGTTGATGATTTTCTGGAGAGTAATAATGGGGATAGGAATCGGAGGAGATTATCCGCTGTCCGCTGTAATAACGTCAGAGTAGGTGCTTTTCTCTCGCTTCTACAAGCTACCCCTTGATTCATCGGAAGGGGGTCCGCCAAGCACCGGCTTTCCACACTCGCAAAGTATAAGCTAACCGAGCATAGATTTGCACCAACGAGATGGCGTGGGGCAATGATGGCAGCCGTGTTCTCTATGCAAGGTACAGGGCAGTTCGCAGCGGCACTAGTTGCGTTAATAACAACAATGAGTTTTCGGAAATCCTTCGAGGGCACTACAAGCTCATTTTCCAGCTGTCATGCAGATTGCCAGGCCGCTGGAGACCGAGCATGGCGTATAATCGTGGGTTTTGGTGCCGTTCCAGCACTTTTTGCGTTGTACTGGCGATTGACAATTCCCGAAACACCCCGATATACCTTTGACGTTGCCCACGATATCGAAAAGGCCCATGCCGATATCAAGGCCTATATGAACAACGAAGCGGAAGGAAAGGTTGATCCAATCATACAACAAAAGACCAAATTAAGACAAGGGAAGAATTTGGCAGCGCCAGATGCATCCTGGCCGGATGCATTTTCTTATTTTTCCCAGTGGAAGAACTTCAAGGTTCTCTTTGGTACAACAGCATCATGGTTTTTCTTGGATCTAGCCTTCTAGTAAGCAAATTTTCCTGATTTGCTCAAACGTGGAACTGATTTTGTTTGTAGTGGCCTTGGGTTGAATAATAGTATCGTTCTTAACGCCATTGGATACTCATCAGGCGACACCATCTACCATATGCTTCTGAACAATGCCCTTGGAAATCTCATCCTTATATGTGCCGGGTCTATACCAGGTTACTGGCTCTCTGTATTGACCATCGATACCTTCGGTCGAAAGCCCATTCAAATCGGGGGGTTCACTATGCTTACCATCATTTTCGTCATCATCGGATTCGCTTTCAAATCGCTTTCATCCAGTTCCCTGCTTGGTCTTTATGGTCAGTGATCTCCTGCTTTTGGGTTCTATCATATTGTTTTAGAGAACCTGTTCACCAACGAGGAAGCACTTTCTTCCCCTCTATCCACCTGATATCTCCTCTACTATTTGTTGACCCTGCTTGAAAATGATAATACTGACCAGTGTCACAAGTCATCGCCCAATTCTTCTTTAATTTCGGTCCAAATACAACAACTTTCATCATCCCGGGTGAGTGCTTCCCTACTCGTTACCGTTCAACCGGACACGGTCTCTCTGCTGCATGCGGAAAGGTTGGAGCAATCGTAGCACAAGTCATGGCCGGACCACTCCTGGCACGAGATGCCAAACCAAATTGCAAAGGCATCGCATGCCAACCGTGGCTCAACCATCTCATGCAAATCTTTGCCTTGTTCATGTTTCTCGGCACCTTGGTATCATTTCTCGTCCCGGAAACAAAAGGACAGACATTAGAGTATCTCGCTGGTGAGACCAATAGTATTCCAAGGAAGACGAATCATGCTGGTGATGGATTCCGAGGTTGGTGGGTGAGGCATCACCCTTTCGCTGGTGGGAGACCCGCGGGGTTTAGTACGATGAGGTCGCCGAGTTTGATTGCGAGGAGTCCTGGTACGAGGGCAAGGAAAGAGAGGGTGGGGATTATGACGAGTCCGGATTTGATTCCAAAACCTGCAGGGAAGAGGAAGAAGGGGCAGAACCATGCCCGCACGTCGTCTTTTGACAGGGGAGCACATAGTGAAACAGCGGGTAGTAGTGAAGGGAGAGGATATAGTGCGGATGAAGATGATGTGTACACGACCGTGGGCACTGGGGGAATGCCCCCGGGGTGGAGTGCCGGGTGGGGGGTGCAGAGAAATCCGGTCAGAGATGGGAGGGTGGAAAGTATTATGTTGCATGATGTTGGGAGTTTGCTGAAATGACTTAGGTAAGCTTCTGAGTTGTTGGTACACAGTTTCGTTTTTCAGGAAGTACGATACCCAGGTTTGTACATACTTTGATTTTGGGGGAGTTTGAGGTGTAAAATAAAGGCAATCGGTTGAAACTTCTGCTGGGAGTGACATAGCTTCTCTTGCAGCGTCTATCCAGTCAGTCTTTAACGCAGAGCGTATACAGTATGCCTTCTCAATCTGACGTGCATGTCCAGATGACCGATCGTAGCGTGGAAAAACATTGGTCTCTTTTGGTGACTTGGTGACTAAGAAGCGAGGGAGGCTTTTGCAACCCCAATTTGTTTCAACATTATGCCAAAATTGAGTAATCGTCAATACGGAGTAAGATTATTAGCGATTGCCGAATAAGTAAATCAGCTATTCCGACATATGAAAGGAAGACGCCACCTATAAGGTCTACACAACGTAAACCATGGGGGAATTCCTACTGACACCTGATGGTCCTACCGCTCATCACAGCAGACGTCTCCAAAAACAGTACCAACACATTCTTTTGAACATGCAATCTACTTTACAATCGATATGGCCAGCATACTACATGGTCTAGAATTAATACCTATTATGATATTAGCTACACTCTTTTAGCGGGTCTTCTTTTGCGGACTAGTTCTACCTCATGCTAGTACTTCTATAAATGCTTTAAAATGCACCACATAAAGACAACTACATGCACGCAAAGACTTCTGAAGACTCAACTCCTGGATGATTCGGCGTATTTTGAGACACCGAAATTAAAACACGAACTAAACTCGCCAATATCCACAAGGCTGATCAGGATCGACGCCACATCTGATCCCCAGATTTCCAAGAGTGTCAAAGCTTCACGCAAATCACACGATAAGAACTCGTTCACGTCTTCAGAAAACTTAATAACTTTTAAAACCAATCAAAAGTACAAATCAAGGGGGAAAGTTCAGATGCGCATCCGAACTATAGCGTCTAAGTCCGAGCTACGGCGTATAAGTGCCGTCACATGCCAACCCCCCACCTTAAGTTAGGCCAAGGAAGTTATCTTTGCAATATAATTACCAGACTAGGACAGGAGCAAGAAGCGAAAGTCTTCTTTACAGTTGACACTAGGATATGGTGGTCACAATAAAATGCAACTCCATGCCAGTACAAGTACAGTACAGTAATTCTCACTCATGGCCGCCAGAACGGGGCGTGGAATCCGCAATACAAGCGTGGTAAAATGTCTTACACCTCCATGCGTAAGCTACGCCATCGTCCCAATTTGAGGCTGATTTGATGTTCAGGCCGCAGGACCTCTTAAATCATCCTCTGAACCACTGGAAGCTTTGTGCCAATGGGAAAGCCTAAGTTGACAGAGTAACCTCCCTAGATTTCACTATGAGGGTGTATAAAGCCAAGGCTCTCGCACATTCTTTAGGAATGGTCGAATTCCCACGCCATTTTTCAAGAGCCCTGAAGTCACCATACGACACATCAACATTTGCTCAACTGAACCCAGTCTAAGATGTTCAAGGAAGTTATTGTTTCAGCTGCGATATTTATTGGCTTCTTCCTCAACTTATTCTTTGTGGACCATCCAAATGTCTACTCCTACACAGTAGCGTTTGTTATAGGCCTGGTAATGCTTTCTCCAGTGGTTCTCTGGTGGCATACACGCACCAAGCGAACAATCAAATCCGACAGCAATTGCGATACTTTGTCAGCTATCGTCCATCCAGGTGCCACCGCTGGGCTCGCCATTGCATTGGGTCCAGTAGAATCGGATGTTGATGTAGAAGCGGGGAATCGGCTGATCTCATCGTGAAAGAGACATAAACACAATTGAAGGATATCGCAATGGACAAATCAGTTCGCACATATCAGACCTCAGGCGCATTTAACATCCAACACTTACAACGAGGAACCATGAATAATGAAGGCAAGTTTCCCTATCCTGAACTTTCAAAAAGAGTGAATTTGGAGTTTTCAATCATACCCCCCTTTCTCATTCACACACTAACCAGATATCAGAACAAACAAAACTGGTGGACGCATTTTCACTTGCAAATTAATATTGAAAAGAGAGCTCTTACTTCTCCTGTTCAGCCACTGTTCTGAACCGATAGAGCGATGATGACCTTACACCTGGAACAACCGATAACCAGGGACGCATTGCTGGTGCCACGGTACTCCAGAGCTACAATCTCTGGACCAACACACATCTGTGTTTTGGGATATGGATGCAGTAATTAGAGACTGAAGAGGAGGGAAGGAGGACCCCGCTTGGGAATGGAATGCGACAATCAACAGACAGATTGGATTCTCGCATCTGGAGAAACGCCAATCGACTATCCTTGCCGATCTTCACCTCCCAACAGATCAGAAAATCGCTATATCACCACATTGGAACCATGAGTCAACCGCTATAGCATCCCCCGAAGTCTTTCAAAGTGAGAGCTATATTGAGATTACCCATCAGCGATTCAACGATTCAACGATTCAGCAATAGCAGGGGGCAGCGAACACTGGTTTCCACTCAGAGAACTCCAAGTCATTGGTATTCTCATCTTTTTTGATAACGGATATCAAATGTTCTTCTCATAATCGTTCTCTTTTGTTGTCAATCCAGCGGGCTTAAATGTGGGTTTTGGAGAACTATTGTGTACACACTGGCAATTGGCTTATCCCAGATTTGAAATTTCGCGTAACAATTGGCAGAGGACGTCCAGAAGTTTTCTAGATGTGTAGAGTCATGGTGAATCCAGTGGAGATCTTGCTTGAATGCAACTGCCCTGTTCTAATTTTCACGTGACATAAATAAAGCACAGATTTGATGATACACATTGTTTCAATTCCCCTTAATAATATTGCCCTTCTTTGAACTCAAACCACCTGCGAAATCTCAGGAGTCCAAAGCTTGTTTATAAGTATTGGGTTGAAAGGGTATTGGGTACTGAAGGTCATGGAGAATTGATTGCATTGTAAAAGGTAGCTATCTAAGGTGTTTATATAAAGAGTGTTAGTTTTATGCAGACATGAAGCATTTAGGCAGCAGAGCTATAAGTGGATCAAATCAGGAAGTGGAGCAAAAGAGAAAGTAGACCCAGCACAACAATAAGTTTTAACCTTCACGTGATATATCTTGCTGATTTTACTCCACAAGCTCAACTGTAAGTAGTAAGAAAGCCTTTGTGGTTAATAATAGGAGATTTATAACAACCTGTTATCGAATCTCTCAGACTCAAATACAGTCCCAAACCTTTCTGTAAATTATATAAACATTTTCAATATTCTCCTTGCCGCCGTTTCGCTTAGCTTGGTCCCAGCCAGGGAACTCCTTATCGTATCAAGAATCTTGATAGTTGTTACGTTGTAAGAATGTTTCAACATCATTGGTAGTTCTTAGCAATATCCTCAGGATGACCAGAGGGCCGTTTCCATTCTAAAGGCTTATTTAACAACGTCGAAAGCAAAGAAAGCGACCATTCCATAAGCCCAGCTTGAAAAACAAGATTCCTTAGAACCCCGCCAAGTGCAACGGACAACTCTAGAACAAGATTACATCCCATTTTCCTCTTACAGAAAGAACTTGGATTTAACTCATGATTTGAGTGCTATTGTGCCAAGTATCCGGAAGGATGTCTGCAAACTGCTTATTCCTAGTACAAAGATGACCCCTGAGTCCATGTCCAGTCCACCCACTCTTACCTGCATCTCAGCATTTATTACGCGATTTCGTTCATCGGTTCTCATCTCAATTTCCCCAGTAGAGTGGTTTTGCCAGCGGTTTTTGATGATAGCAACAAAGTTTATATAATTGGATTTATCATATATTGAGAGTTTTAGCTGGCTTGTTTTAGCGACGAATCATTATCAGCGGTTTAGGTACTAGAACCTGATTCCGTGGATTTTCCAAATTCCATTCTATTTGGAAGAATTCTAGAGGTTCTTCAGGATGGAATGGAATGGTTCAAAGGATATATGAATATGTCGCCCTCTAACTAATAAGGAGACTCAAATCAAAGTGATGTATCTTATAAGAGGTAAATAAGGCTTATACCACCACCTAGCTAGAGTAACACCCTTAATACGGAGTAAGCGCTAGCGTAGTATATATCCAGCAAATACTAGATTATACTAATACATACCAAGGTTTATTCTAAGTTTCCTATTAGCTGCACAGTCCAGGATCACTATGGATAGTTTATGCGATGTATGTTAGAGTTGGATTCTCTATTCTATCCCTTCTAAATGCCAGAGTGCCAGGTACAAAGGTAGGTACAAAATAGATAAAAGTTAATACCATTATTGGGGCTTAAATACTTAGAAATGCTACCTGGTTACCCAAACGACTTTGATTTATAGAGAAAATGTCATAAAGGGGGACAACATGACTCTACTTAGGAGTGCACGTTTTTTCTGGCACTCTGGCGTCTGGGAGGGATATTCTAGAACTAGAACATTCCAGAAATTGTGTAAAATGGAATGGAATATCTTATAGAGGGGCTCTGGAATAGATTGGAATTCCATTTATTGAACAATGATGAGTATCAAATGTAGTATATAATAAATGAATAGGCAGGGTACAGGAACGGTCTCATATGTAAATACAAACACACGGAGTCTCTCTAGAACTTGAAGATTTATATCGCTCAAACTAGGCTCAATTTAGGAATCAAAAGTGGGATAACTTGTGAACTAACTTCTGTTAGTACTAACACCTCATAGGCCTTTTCAAACAGCGCTTGTACAGCGGTATACATAACTAGCGTTACAAACTCGATTTTCGGGTATACTAACAAAAAGTGTAAACGTAGAATCGAAAAATAGCTCCCCTTATATTAAATAACAACTACGCTTCTAGGGCTTTAGCCCTACTATAGGATCGTATTTTAGTATATTCTAAGTATGTATATCGACTTTTTATTTGCCCTAGGAGGACTATTGTTTTATAATTTAAGGGAGGCCGAAAGTTAGTTTTTATATCGGTCGCACGCTAAGACATAACCCCGCTATCCTACCTCGCGGTCGCAGGAATCGATATTTTGCCCCTTCTTAGATTATAATAAGGAAACGCCCTATTATTATATAAAAGTTTAATACACTCACTTAAAACAAACTAAAGTATAGTTATATAGAAGGGCTAAAGCCCTAGAAGTGTAGTTGTTTAATAGTAGAGGGTGGTTGTTTTCCTGAGTTTCTAATTCACACTTTTTTTAATGTTTTCGGCTGCCCGCATTTGTAAGGCTAGTTATGTATACCGCTGTAAGTTTCGCTTTTTTTACACAGTCATCGCATGGATTTTGTCCACTTCTTGGTATAAACCTAACCACAAACCTCTCACGAAAACCCGTTAGCAAAATCGCTCTAATAGCAGGTCTTAGAGGGCTAAGACCGTTAGTAAAACGGTCCCGCTCTCCATCTGATGATATACCTTTTTCGGAAAGAACGGGACGGCATGTATGCGTTAGCCGGTAGGTGAGCATAGTTGGCTTGAAACGTAGCAAAAGTATATCCTAGGTATTCGGACCAGTAAAACGTACTTGAAGAAAACGGGCCCTACGTCCTTACCAAAAAGTGCTCGGTTTCGTTTTGGTACTTTCCTCATTTTACTCTCAGACCTCTAGGAGTAGATGCGAATTAAGATATACTACTGGTACTAAGATATTGGTACGTCCTTTTTCCGCAGTGATTCTACACGGCTACATGTTTATTTTTTCTTTTAAGTCCACCTTCACGTATTTCACGATTTCCGATCGGGTAGCTAATTGAATACCCCCGCCAAGCAAAACTTGGGTATGCTTTCCTAAGCAAAAAAACTCAAAAGCACTTAATAGAGACCTGCTTTACCAACAGAATAAATGTAGACTTTTAGGGAGAGGGCCAAATCTGGTCTTTTTCAATAAGGCATGGCTTTAAGATCTCTAGAATTAGCAGACCAGGGTCTTTGATAGACTACCACTACAGTCCCTCGGGCGGAGTTTCTAGAAAAGGTGTATTTTCAGATGAAGAGCGTAAGTGTTTTACTGGGACCCTCGGTTCTCGAAGATCTAGCATTTAGCGGAAACTTCCAATAATCCAAAGACTGTATTTTACAGACCCAGGCGCGGTGTTCCAAAAAGAGGTTAAATGGACTAATCTTTAGAAACCCAGCTCTGATATAAGAAAGGTGAGCTTGTTTATAATACAGTCTTTTAATTGGAATTTCTACTCAGTGGCGGGTCTTACAGGGCTGAGAGGTGTTAGTAAAACAATCCCGCTCTTCATCTGAAAATACACCTTTTCCGGAAACATCTGTTCTGAGTCTGTACAGTAAGCAAACTTTTCTTTTATATACCAGTATGCGAGCTGGGTTTCTAAAGATCAGTCCATTTAGGTATTTTCCCGAAACTTCGTCTGAGGGACTGTACTGGCTTTACAGCCCTAAATTCACATCCCCAGAACGAAAACGAGTAGGAGTACGGGACTATGTAGTCCAGGGTACATAGAATCAGGTCGGGGGTACATGACTTACTTATAGTCTTGCTCCCACTGAGTTCTGAGCTTCTTCAAATAAATGTTTCTGTTCAGTGTCATTCTATCATGATCCACTCAATAATATTATCTAGTCTTACCCTCCTCGCGAGCACAGAAGCGAGTCAAAGTATCCTAGCACTCCTCCCATCCCCAGACCTCTGCAATACCTACGAGAAAAACGCTCTCCTAAACACCGCCCACATCAACGCCTTCCTAAATTCCTCAAGCTGTTATGAAGCCTCTCCAAAACGGCCGTTGGCAATTTCAAAGCCCACACCCCCAAAAACAAATAACAAATGGACCACCAAACCCATATGTCAGCACAACGCCGAGAACCAAGAATTCTGCGTCTACACCAACACCCACTACGCCAACAACCGCGGAATTTCGTTCTTCACCACTCCCTCCATAGCCACCAAGGTCCTCTCCCTCCCCGCCTTCACCAACCCCTCACTACTGGACTCCGCAAACGATTTCGCCAACGCACCCTGGGAAGTGCGGAACATTCCCGGGAAAGGAAAGGGGCTTTTCGCAACGAGGAAGTTAGAACGGGGAGATTTGATCCTAGCGAATACACCATTGGGAGCTTATAATACGCATGCGTTCACGGCGGATCCTGGACTGGCACCTGGTTTGGGGTATCAGTACTTGAGGAAGACGTTGGAGCAGCTGCCTGAGAAGAGTCAGGAGAGTTTTCTGGGGGCTGCGACGCATGCGGAGGGAGATGTGGTGGTAGAGAGGATCAAAACTAATGCCTATGTGGGGGAGATTGGGGGGGGTGGTGCATTTTATGATGTATCCTGAAACCGCGGTGAGTTTGTATCTGCCTCTTTTCCACTTCCTATCTAGGAAATTCTGGTATTGTATGGGAACTGATGGGTTTGAGTAGATTATAAACCATGACTGTCGTCCAAAGTAAGAACGTCTTACTTGTATTGAAATTTAATAATAGAACTAATGAGTACAGCTCCATGTATTACCACAGTGCAACCACACTCACCCACTCCACTCACGCATCACGAACTATCCATCCCGGCGAGGAAATAACCGTCAGCTGTAACACTCGCCCACCCATTCCCACATACAATACAAAGAAACTTACCAAAGCCAGACATCAACCCCCTCCAATTCCGCAAGGAAAGACATGAAGCCCTAAACAGGTGGTGGGGATTCACATGCACCTGTTCACTCTGCTCAGCCCCCGACGCAGAACACCACCACTCAGACCAAAACATGGAGAAAATAGTCCAACTCCAGACCGTACGTACTTCTCCTCCTCTCCCCATTCACCCCTCCCCTTCCAACCTTCCCATTCACCTATATCCACCCACCTCTCACATCCCCCAAGGAACTCTCAGACTGGACACCCACCTCCCCCGCAACCCCCAAACTAGCCGAGAAGCTAGTGAAAACCTACAAAGACGAGGGTCTCCACTCCGTAATAAACATCGGCCATATGTTCGCGGCCTTCACATACAACGCGGTAGGGAACGTCGCGATGGCGTTCGAGCATGCGGGGAAAGCTGTTGAGACCAGTATGGGGGGTACGGGGAGTGTCAATGATGATGAGGTGGATATGTGGGCTTTGTTGCAGAATCCCAAGGGACATTGGAGTTATATGAAGCGAGTGAGATTTGGGTAGGTTTGAGATGAAAAGGTGGTTTTGGCGTAGGATAGTGGGTTTGTGTTTTGGTGTTTGGGAGTTTGGGTTTTGAAGGGGTTATTTACTCCTAATTCTGTAGACAGAACGCTCAATTGGGGTAGCGAAAATTTACAAAGTACATAAGGGATACTATACAAAATAAGTCGCTTATTCCACTTAAATTAATAAACACGACCATCCCCTATCCCCTGGTATGCACTTTCAGTATGTACCGTGAATCACCCGACAAATACCCGTCCAATAGTGAAATTACTTTAGAGCTTGTAAATAGAGGCAATGCCTAAAGTTCAAATATTTAACAATATAGTATTAGCAACAGGTTCTTGCTTTTGACCCCATCCCCCAAAACGCCTGCAGTGAACTATATAATGACAACGACAAGCTCAAGCACCTTTCCGGGCGAATCTTCCCAGCGCAGGACCGAGTTCTTCCTCAGTCTCCTTTAATCTCCTCTTCTGCTTCTCACTCTGGTTCTTTCTCAGCTCCTCGATCTTCAATCTCCTCTCATCGATGATATTCCTAGTTCCCTTCTTTCTCAGATATTTTCTCAACGAGCTATTCTTGCCGCGTCCGCGATTCTTAACATCCGCGATCGGGTCCACGGGCTTCTTGTCCAGATCTTTCTCGGCCTGTCTTTGCTCGGCAGAGAGGAGATCGAGATTACCAATGTACTCTGGGTTGAGGGAAATCATCTCTGGCTGCAGCTTGTTGAGCAGAGACTTGACTTCGGCTTCTTGTCGTTGTTTGGTGTTTTCGTATGGGTTGACTTCGAGTGCGTCGAAGTTGGGTTCTCCTGCTCCTGGAACGATGATTGAAGAAAACCCCTCGTTGTGCGAAATCCCCAAAAGATCCTCGAATGGACACCATTTTACCCTCTCTATCCTCTTTCCTTCTCCGCCCGATCCCATATATGGACTTTGGATTTTCTCCTGTTCTAGGGCATGTTTTGTGAATAATCCTCTCCACACAGAGGTTTGAGTACCCCACCCGACTGCCGTGAGCCCACGATCCGATATTGCAACCGAGGATGCTGGCGTTCTGGTGAAGTAACTGTTGACTTCCTTAAACATTCGAATATCCCAAACTGACATTTTCAAATCCTGGCCAGTTGAAACCATATATCTACCTTCCCGATCGACTGCTGCAGCCCGTACAGGGCCACGATGTGCAAGTAGCTTTACTAACGGGGTTGTGGAATTGGGTGACCATAGAGTTACAGTTCCGTTCTGATGACCCATATGAAGGATTGCATTATGCGGGTTTTGCGTGAGAGCTGTAGGTGAACCAAGTTTGGTGGGTATTTCGATAATTATTTGACCAGTAGAAACATCTTGATATTTGAGGTATCCAGGTTTCCCCTAGAAAACGTCAGTAATGCAATGATTACTTATCCGAATTAAAGAATTGTACTTACCACAGTTGCCAGAAGGTAGTGGTATGGCAGAAACTCCATATTTGTAACTTCAATATGCTTTTTCAGGCAATGCAATTCCACACCAGCGCGGTCGTATATATAGACATATTTCTTCTGCGCAACAGCAAATAGCTGATTATTATGCAGCCATTTTGCATCCCGCACAGTTTCCCCAAGCTGTAATTCGCATCCCAATTTCCCTTCCCGCCAATCCATGGTAGCAACATGGCCCTTCCTCCCAGCAAGTAAAAGCTCTCGGCCATTCCTCGTATAGTCGCAAACATACGGACCAAGTGTATCCAATTTGAGGTCAAATCTCTTTTTTGCGGTCTCTATGGGTACATCTGCTACAATATCTTCCTGTCGCACTTTGTATGTTCGTTCGAGTTCCGTTTCGGGCTCGAGGAATCCACCGGTATTTTCATGAAGAATCTCAGAGTCTTTTAGTTTGAGGGTGGCTTCTTTGTATTTGCCCTCCAAAGCCTTCATGTTCCCTCTGAGCTTTTTGTCCTTTATTGCCTTCACTGTTGATAGTCAGTATAAAATCTATTAGAATATGTTATAGCAGCTTGGGTGGTGTCCCGCCAAACAAGCGTCACACTCGTTCATAGTATAGGCAACCCAAACAAGGCGCATTCAAAAGACGTACCAGGAATCTTTCGACCTCGACCATACGCCAGCTCTGCCTCTTTCCTTTTCCGTAATAGAGCAGCATTTGCGCTGGTCTTGGTCAAATCGGTTCGCGCATCGGGTAACGACAGAGCCCCATTGAAATGGGACTGCTGCGCAGTCTCGTCGGCTAGATCAACTTCCATCGCGAAGTGTATGCAATGGGAGCTCTGAAGGTATTCGAAGAACGGGGTATGGTTGTAGAGGCGGGGGCTGTACAAGTAGGATAGAAAGAGGCGCGGGAAGGGGAAGCTAGAAAATCCACCTCCAACTTTTTTCCTCGATAGCGATAAGCTTCGGGCACGGGCACAATCCGCCCTGACATCCTTATCCTCCACTTCGACGCAAATAAAAAAAATTACCCCACATTGCGACTGGAATCTACAAACACAATATCCGTCATTGGGATCACCGAAGGCCACTACAAATTTCACGTCTCAATAACTGATCCGTCCTTCTCGTCGTTTCTCCCCAATCTGGCGTCACTTCCTTTTCGATTCAAATCCGGTGGCAACGGCACCATGCCTTCCTCCGTTGCTTCCCATTCCCACCGGAATACTACAAAATCCGCGAATAAACCATTCAAGTCTCGCAAGTCCACCAAGGGATATTTGAAAGAACTCTCGAAAGGTAACTTTTATCAATACTCACCCTGCAAAAGTAAATACTAACTATACTACAAGGCAAGATACAAGACCTCAGTCACCGAAAGTCTCCCCACCAACAGCTCATGTCCAAATTCGATCGTCGCAACCAAGCCCGACAAAAGCAACAAGTAAAACACAGAGAGCATCTCAGAGAGAGCAGCGTATTTGTCGGCCGCAATGGAGCGCCCAGAATCGTTGCGGTTATGCCATTATGCGAGGATACCAACGCTGCTACTGCCGTACGCCTTTTAAGTAGTAGTCTGGATGTCGAAGTCGAGGTACCCGAGGAAGGTTCAGTCCGAATAGATATCGAACGATTCAAACAGAAGATTCAGTATGTGGTGGTCAAAAGAGATCTGGTTTCATGTTTGGATGCTGCCAGAGTCGCAGATTTTGTCGTATTCATTTTATCACCAGATCAAGAAGTGGATGCCCTGGGAGAACTCATCCTTAGAAGTGTCGAAAGCCAAGGATTATCCACACTATTAACAGTAGTCCAAGGATTGGACAAGATTGAACCCGCCAAAAAGAGAACACAGGTTCTGGCATCACTCAAATCCTATATCACTCATTTCCACCCTGACCAGGAGAAGGTTCATAGCCTGGACTCACGACAAGAATGCGCCAACATGATGCGCTCATTATGTACGACTACACCAAAGGGAGTGCACTGGAGAGATGAGAGAAGCTGGATGCTTGTTGACGACATTCAATGGCCAGAAACCGAGGGGGGGAATGTTGTTGTGGCAGGAGTTGTTCGAGGAAAAGGACTAAAGGCAGATCGACTTGTCCAAGTTGGTGACTGGGGAGATTTCCAAATTGAGAAGATTACAGCAGCTCCTTTAGAGCCCAAAAAGCGACGTTCAGATGATATGGCAGTGGATGAATCCGAACTGGTTCTTGACACACCAACTGATGACCAAGATGATCTTGCAGAACTGGCTCCAGAGGAAATCATGATGAGAGATGACGATGACGATGCCACAATGTCAGTTGCAACAACTGAAAAGCGAGGAGTGCTTCTAGATGATCACCATTATTTCTCTGATGATGAAACCCACCTTCCAGCTGTACCCAAAAAATTACCAAAGGGTACATCGTCATATCAAGCTGCCTGGTTTTTGGGAGACGATTTCTCGGATTCGGGGTCTGATTGGGAAGAAGTTAACGAGCGAGGAAATACATCAACAGATGTTCCAGCACTTCCAATGGATGGTGTCGAGGGATTTGCTCCAAGAGAGCCGACTGAAGCAGCACCTTCGGAATATCCACAATCAGAAATGTTCTTGGATCCAAATCCAGATGATGAAGCAGAAGCCGAGCAACTTGCTTCTTTCAGAAAGCGTAAAGGCGACGAGGCTGAGGATGATAGAGAATTTCCTGATGAAATTGAGTTACATCCTCATGTTTTGGCACGAGAAAGATTGGCTCGTTACCGTGGGTTAAAGAGTTTGAGAAGTAGTCGTTGGGAAGAGGACGAAGATAGAGCCCACGAACCTGAAGAATGGAGAAGACTACTTCAAGTTCCAGATTACAAGGCATCTCGAAGCCAAGTTACCCGAGAAGCTTTGGTCGGGGGAGCGGCAGCAGGAACTCGTGTCCATGTTTACCTTCGCAATGTACCATCCTCGCTAAAGTCTACATACGATTCCAGCCGCCCACTCAACCTCTTCTCGCTACTTCGCCACGAGCATAAGCGAACTGTGGTTAATTTTAACTTTACTCTCAGTTCCGACTGTGCAGAACCAATAAAATCCAAAGAGGAAATGATTATGCAATGTGGGCCTCGAAGATTCCTGGTCAAGCCCTTGTTTTCCGAGGGTGGAAACACATCAAATGATGTTCATAAGTTTGATCGTTTCCTTCATCCAGGGCGATCAGCGATTGCTACTTTTGTTGCCCCTCTCACTTGGGGCTCTGTACCTGCTCTTTTCTTCAAACGCAATACCGAGACGGGCTCAGAGACACCACTCACACTCCTCGCAACTGGAACGTCACTTCCACCTTCCTCAAGCCGGGTGATCGTGAAGCGTATCATTCTCACAGGACATCCCTACAAGATTCATAAGAAGCTTGTCACAATCCGATACATGTTCTTCAATCGCGACGATGTAGAGTGGTTCAAAGCATTACAGTTGTGGACAAAGCGAGGTCGAAGTGGATTTATCAAAGAGAGTTTGGGAACGCATGGATATTTCAAAGCAACATTTGATGGCAAGATCAATCCTCAAGATTCGGTTGGAGTTAGTTTATACAAAAGAGTATGGCCAAGATCGGCAGAGCCTTGGAGTTTTGCGAATGTTAGCCAAGAGACTGAAGACATGGTTATGATTAGGGGTTAACGATATTGGAGGAGTTTGGCGTCGGGATAATTCGTATGTTTTGGTAGGTAGTTTCATGATAGGCGTTTTTGACGACTGATGATCTGGGGACAGCTAGAGCGAAGGCAGCTGCTGGAAGAATTTCTTTTCGTATCTTACAAAAGTACGGAGTACATGTAGAGGGAGAAAAAGTAGTTTTGATAGAACCTGACATTCTCCAATTGCAAGGTGATCGATCCACTAAAATTAAGAAGCCTCCGACTAAGTGCCGATGACAGTGAATCTATTTTTCTTTTGTTGCAGTTCGAACTTTTTCCTTGCCCTGAAGTCCAGGCACACGAGCGGTTCCAGGCACCCGACATTCAGTGACGTCTGCCCTGGAAAAAGTTATCGGACGGGCTACCAGTATCACCTCCCATAACTCTACCTCTACTTTAGCACCAGCACTTTTCCACCCTCAAACCATAGCCATAGCTAGCCACCATGGCCGACCGCGCGGCCCCAACACCGGTAGCAATGCTAATCGGCACCGCCATCGTCGCCGCACTAACAGGCTACATGATCGGGATCGCCTCATCGCTAGGCTTCTTCCCGATCCCCTTCCAGAACGCACCACCTAAAAAGCGCGGCTTGGAGCACTACGATGATGAAGAGGAGAGTGAGGAGGAGGATATTGAGGAGTCGTTGTTGGATCATGCGCCGAATTGGGCGAATGGGGTGGAGGCTGATAGGAGGGATGGGTTGAAAGTACAGAGGGAGGGGGATGGGAAGGGGAGTGGGAAGGGAAATGGGAAGGTTAAGGTTGAGAAGGAGGATGGTGAGGAAGAGGGGAAGGGGTGGACGAGTAAGGAGGAGTATAAAATGGTTCTAGTCGTGCGAACAGATCTAGGAATGACGAAGGGTATGTTTCTCTTCCCTTCCATCCCCTTTCCCCCCTCCCCCATTCAAGCACATAACATACTAACAACCCCCAGGTAAAATCGCCGCTCAATGCGGCCACGCAACCCTAGCATGCTACAAATCCAACCTCCGGAAAAATCCCCAAGCCCTCAAAGTGTGGGAGAATGGCGGACAGGCTAAGATCGCGGTGCAGGTCAAGAGCGAGGAGGAATTGTTGACGTTACAGGCTATGGCAAAGAGTCTGGGGATCACGGCGGAGGTTATTCATGATGCGGGAAGGACCCAGATTGCGAGTGGGAGTGCGACGGTGCTGGGTGTGGGACCGGCGCCGAGGAGTTTGGTTGATGGGGTTACGGGGGGGTTGAAGTTGTTGTAGGGGGGTTGGGACGGAGGAGGATAATTGATAATAGAGGGGAGGAGGTGCTGGGGCTTAGTGAGTCGTGGAGGAAGGCAGATATGGTCGATTCACATTCGATACCGAACTCCATGGGGACAAAAACGAATAGTGTTAGCTCAATGCTTACGCCTCCTCGATAAAAGAGAAATACGTAAGAGCACACAAGTGCTAGAAGGAACAGGGGCATGGATGGGAAACATATATCGGTAGACCAAGGTCATTCCTGTTGAAAGCGCCACACTCCCAGTGGGCGAATTGTACATACATATCCATCATCCATTGGGTATATCTTACCATGCGGGGTTTTACTCGGCAAGAATATCAGATACTTACTTACCTTGCTCATTCTATAATTTTGCAAGCCTACTAATTAGATCGTTTTGATGGTCTTCTTTCAGAATTAGAGATGTCTTTGAATTATTTGCTGTCAATGAGGAGCGACTACCAGCAAGAGGTCGCCAACGTGAGGTACAATATGCTTGAAATACATCTCCGTCCTCAATGTAGAAGCAGCGACCTTCTATAAGTATTTATTACTAACCTCTCTTTCGCCTTTCCTTCTTCTCTTCTCTCCTTCTACACCTGCCCCCAAGATCTCGCTAGTTAAAACCTGCCTCGCCTCACCCCGCCTCCCACTCGCTTAGCACGAAAAAAAACTCTCAAAAAACCACCACCAACCAAAAATAACAGCTCAAGCACTCCTTCCTTCCTTCCCTAAAGGGCCAGGAAGGAAAAAGAAAGAGGAAGGCAGATGTTAAATAGGTCAATCTGGGATTCGAACCCAGGTCCCAGGTAATTTTTGACGTGATCAAAAACCCATGTGCTAACCGACTACACTAATCGACCGTTGGTGATTTGAGTTGAGGTGCTGGGTGTTATTTGGATTGTTTTCGGTAAAGATAGTGCCGAGGAGTGGGGTGGGGAAGGAGTGGCACGTGCACGGGTCGGGTGGAGCTACTTTGGTAAAGGGTACCCGAGCCGCTGAGCTACTCGTACCTTCTAAGTAATGTCGGTAATACCTTAACTTAATAACTGACTTTGGACAGAAAAAGAAAGGTACGGAGAGATGTAGCTACGCTTATTAGCACGGATTTAATGGTTCGATATCTACTTTTCTAACTATAGCTTAAGATTACACTTGGAGTTCGAATGGTGAAGCTTGATAACCTTCCCGGTAGCACCGTAGCGGAAAAACCCCCCGAGTATCTCTACCCTTTAAAGACCAAGGGGAAGGGTATTGTGGTTATTTTACTATCCTAGGCAAGTGGATTGATCTTAGATCACGCACGTTGCTTATGTTTTAAGGGCGACCAGGAGTTGTACCTATGTAAGACTCTTCCCTGTGATTTATTTTCTATGGTCAAAACGAATGTAATGGTGAGAGCAAGTAGGAGAGGAGAGGCTTTTTACCCTTACTCTGGACATAGATAGAGAAGTTCCTCTTTTGTTGATTCAGATCCCCCTGTTCTCGCCACGTTATCACGGTGGATCCAAGACTGCAGGTAAGTTCAAGCGAGGCGAGAGTGTGAGGGGTAGGAGGTAGGCAGAGGGTTATAAGACCAAGCCTAGAGTGAGATTTACATGATTAGAGACGAAGTGGTTTCTTTGAAAATAAAAGGGTCGCTTTACTCCTTCCCTTATTGCGGTGGCACTTGACCTTGAGACATAGTGCCCAACTCTCTTCCTTTGGGCTATTGGGAAAGCCAATCTTGAATATAAAAGAAATCACCATCAAGAAAGGCACAATATACCAACTCCTTCCCTCTTGTGGACGCTACCTAGATAGGTACCTATAAGCTTCTGCAATCACCCATTCGTTCAATCTCCTAAAGATCATGACGATTACTCGGTGACCATCCATCATTCTGAGTCTTCCGGAATCTCAGATTACAGTGACAACCATCTCAGAGCTTCGGAATACTTGAAAGATTTAAGGTTAAACTCTCCCCAAACTTCTTGCACAACTGTTTGATTGCCATTCTGTACACGGCTTTAGGCTCCTTCACAATCTGCATTCTTCTCGCAGTACTACTGTGCCTATGGGCATCGAGTTTGAACGGAATGTGGAACAAAGTCAAGCGTTACGGCCATTAGGAGGGATCGACTCCAGCGCCAGCCCAACCCGCGAACCATTTTTTCTCTAGTCCGAGCATCGAGTTCACCAGAAAATCGAAAGGTAAAGAGCTGGCTCGAAAAGGAACCCTGTTCCTTGACCATCCGAAGGAGTTTGGGAGTTCAAACAACCTAATATGAAACTCAAGCACCGTATTTTGCTGATCTACCAGCACAGAATTAACCTCTCAACCGAAACCAGTTTCCTTTCCTGTTGATATTATGATGAGTTTACTTCTGTAAAATACTCCCTGCTTTACGGTTCATGAGTGCGAACGTTAGCGACGCGGTGCAATGCAGGGATGCAACGCCTTCTAAATCTCGCTTAAGACCCCTTACCCCTTTTCTCTTTGCGCTGGCTAAAATGGGACAAGGAAAGTTGTAGAAGTATGGGCATTGTCTTATCGTTCCTTTCTAGGCTTGCAAAAAGTTAAGTGATAAAGCTAAATCCCTTGAGAAGCATTACATATAAATACTCTGGAATTTCTGGTTGATGGGTTCACGTATTTGAGATGCTTGATGTATGGGAATGCTGAAGGTTGGGTGGTGTTAAGAAGATGCTACGACTATTTCCAGGTTGATCCGACCTTTTCAGTTCACCATCTGCCTGGAAGAAGAGTTTATCAGGGCTCGTATGGTTGGTTCCTTGAGTGGAATGTTTGTAAGCATAATTGGATTATTCCACATCGATATCGGGATCTCATGGTGATTTAGAATCATTCCGCTTCATTTTGATTTGTCTTTTAAACTATAGTCCTATACAAACGCTGGCTTGTACTCACGTCTAGAATTTCCAGGGGGTTTCCACTGTTCTTCAGCTATCCCCTTGACACCCATGACTCCTTACTTTAATGCTTATGAATACCACGAAATTGAAAATGGGCTTGCCAAAATACAAACCGCATACAATCAGGACTCAAGGTGGTTTTGAAATTTAACCATGCATCCACAGCAATTGCAATGTAGAACAAACATTAATTATATAAGCTTCTCAACCACGAAACCTTATACTAAAGACACTGATAATACCAAGGTGGCGAAACTCCTTTGCACGAGAACCCAGCCTATATCAACCGCAAATCAGCTCAACGTCCCCCACATTATACCACAAGAATACGACGCGAAAAAAGAAACTTACAGCACAAACAGTACAACCTTTCCAATCAGTTCCTCCACATTGATCCCAGTGCTTCTGCCTACATCCGTTTCCACCACCCGGTGCTTGTGATGAAGTAGGTTTACTCGAAGAAGTCTTCGTACTCGTCGATTTCGTGGTTGTAGTAAACTTGGTGGATATAGACGTAGACGAGGAAGTACTCGAATCCGTCGGTTCAGGCGGCTCAGGAGTATCCGTAGAACTAACACCCGTCGAACTCGCCGTCACAGTACTCACAGTACTCGTCGGATGACCACCCGGCGGCTTCCCAGGAATCACACCTCCCGGAGAAGTATCCGTCGTCACCTCACTCCCATCACAATACGCCACCCAGCCACTCAGCGTCATGTTCTTCAGTACGGTACTGAAGCCCGTCATGCCTGGGGATTGACACCCGACTTTTCGCTCGTCGGTGGTGACGGTTGGTGGTTTGGAGATGTACTCGATGTGGTAAACTGGCTTGCCGGCTTTGATGAAGTTGTCGTATTGGGTGCATTCGCCAAATTTTCCGCACTCTTCGTTGACGGCGAAGGACATGAGGTTTGTGAGAGAGGGGAGGACGGAGAGGCTGTTTTTGAGCCCGATTTTGAGGCCCAGTGAGCTGGCGTAGCTAGCGAGGAATTTAAGGTACTCGATTGTGTCGGTTTCTTTGAGGTTGAGGCCGTTGGTGTTTTGCTGATGAGGTTAGCAATTGTGTCCTCGATGGAAGGCAGAATGTGTTGGTATTTGGAACAAGCATACAAACCCATCTGCAAGTCCGTTTGTTAGCCTTGAAGTCCCACACTGAATGGCGTGCAGGAAAAATCAAGCAATCTTTGAAGTCATTATGAAAACTTGGTTAGCTCATACCTGTATTATCCGGATCCACAGCATCACACCCCTTCTTCTGCGCCTTCTGTATCCTCATCTTCATAATATTCCTCACATTCCCACTACTCAACCGAAGCCACCTCTCTTTCGGCCATTCCTTCAACTGGGTCCCCAAATCCGAAGCTGCGAATCTATTAAAGTCCGGCCGCCAATTCTCACTGGTTCCCGCGCTGAAATAGCATATCACCGTCTTGCCCAGGTCTTTCATGGCAGTAATGGTCTCCGCACTGGTATCTTCCAGATCGACATCCCAGACTAGGGCATCGCTCGGCACCAGAGTCTTTGAGAGGTTGGGGATCCCGTTTAGGACGATTTGGAATTTCTCACCCACGATGAAATTGCCGGCCACGAGAGTGGGGATGAAGGTGTATATCAGTAAGAGCCATGATAGAAACATCGTAAGGAAGATTGAAATTAGACAAAAGGGCTTTTGAAAACCGTTTTATGACATTTCAAGTGGGGCAGTACAGCAACAAAAAAAAGGAGGAATACTTTTTCAACCGAGCAGAACCGACGAAGAGAAAAAATAGAGTGTTCCGGAACGTGGTATTCCACAGAATGACATTCTGAATAATGAATACGTCTGAAGAACATTCTAATTGGTTCGAGAAAAGTAGATAGATCGTGCCGCCGGTAGAGATCAGCCGCAGCCATGATATTCTGGAAGCTTTACAGCCTGCGGACTCGCTTATGTGCTTGGTGTTGCTTCACACCAATCTCAACTGATCACGCCAACAAACCCACCTGGCAGTTCATCACAGAGCCAGTAACAAGATGTGACAACTCAACGAGCCACGGTTAATAGAAAATCAACCGGAAACGAACATACCCTTGACTGGAAGTCTCTGCCAAGAATCTGGCGAACAAATCAACTGCCGTTGACTTCGTGCTAGTTGTGTACGTCCATATCCAGAATGAGTCGTGAAAAGGGGACCAGGTGTCCAGCAAAAAACTACACACATTGGCTCGAAGATCACTGTGCCTGAAAATCTTGCAAAGGGTGTTGTCAAGCTTTTGGTGTGTTTAATATTGCTAGTTGATTGATGCGGGGAAACCCCAAGAAGGGTTCTTTGGGTTCAGAGTCGCGTTTCCGGGTAAATGGATAGTGTGGGATTTTACCCCTATTGTGGCAGAGAATTGTCTCTAACTCCATGGTTAAGGAGACGAAATGGTTGCAGCGGACATTTTTTTCGACCTAGTTAGATACCAAGTGCTTGAACTTTTGACTGGAAAGGGAATTAGATGTTTGCTGTAACGTTGTACGTATGTCGATTCTGGCGTGGGAGATGATAAAAGGGATAGTTAGTCCCTAGCCCACAACCAGAAGAATTTGTGTCACACAGGTTATTGTCTGGAATCTGATAGTACCAATGTACCTCTGATTTCCAAAGCTGCAGGGAACTTGAATAGTCCGCTTAAGCTTCGCTTTCACAGCGGATTGTTATCAACAAACACACCATAACCTCCAAAAGTATTCATGGTCCAGACCAAGTAGTCTCGGTCGACTCCCTGGGGTCAGCAAAGGATCTTCTGATCAACACCAGGTTCGAACATACTAGAAGCTTATGTTAACATGGATTAGTATTAAAAACTGCCTATCAAAGCCATTTCCCAGAGTTTAACTAATACACACAGTACCGGAACAGAAAGGTCTGGTCATATTACCCGCAATATATACCATATTTAGCCACTTGAACATATTCAGCATCCATGCAAGTAGCTCTCCATGGTCATACTCGCACCTCCACGAAAAGAAAAAGCACGAAAGGGATGCCATAGAAAGGATTAGATGCAAGCGTACCCTAAAACAAAATGCTTCCTACAACTCTGCTTCGTTAGATGGATTTCGTGAATAGACGACAGGCTAAGCAATTAATAAAAATCCCCGGCCCTTCTCCCTTGAAGATTACGGCGAGAGAAACACAAGCGATTCCTGGGTTTCAGGCTGCAGTCTGGAGCCGAGACTGCTACGTGAATATGGCTAAGTGGCAAGCTAATCGGGATCTCTTGAGAACAGTGGATACGGCCAGGAAGACGAAAAACTACATGGTATGGCGCAATTGGCCTTACTTGTTTTTGAATGATATTATGCATTTCGCATCGGTGGCTCATTTCAGCTTGTGTGAGCACAATCAATCTTACCTGAATTGTCTTAGAGGAAACAGTGAGAAGTGATTACTATTCTAAACGATTTATATAATGATCTTAATTATACAAGGCGTTCAGAATAACATTTAAAGCTAGCAGCGTATAGAGTATTACCCACATCTTTCACCATCGCCCCTTCAGACTTCATTCCCAAAGCGACCAAACTTCAAGATGTTCCAGCGACAGATCACCAAGGCTACGAAACGCATATAGTCTAGATCTTGATTTTCAGGTAGTATGTACTATCCTCAATCATAATATGTAATTGTGACTAGCAACATCAGAAACCTAATTACAAAGAAAAGAAAAGAAGAAGAAAAAGAAAGGGGGTAAGAAATGTCCAAATTCAAGAATCCCCGCTAAATACTCCTTCTTCCCCATCTACCACGCTCCCCTCAAATACCAAAAAAACATAGGGATCAAAATGCAACGGGGTATAAATCAAGTAAACACATCCGACCAAATCCCACCAGCTTTCTCTCTCAAAATTTCCAAGCCAGGTAGGCGAAACCTAAACCCTCCCAGCAATCTCCCCCTTCCCCGGTTCAAAACTCCTCACAAACTCCATAACCTCAAACGCCAACCTCCTCGAAGTCCTCTCCTCCATCTTCCCCTCCGCAACACGAACAACAATAGCCGCACAATCCTTCCGGGTCTCCACACCGAACATCTCATCTCGTCCCACGCGCTGGATATAGATAGTGAGATCAGGACCGATGATGCCGCGCCAGAGAGTGGCCATCCACTGCCAGTGATCAACGGGCGCGTAGGCGTCATTGATCGGAATCTTGAGGGCGAATTGATCTGAGGTGGTTAGGGAGAAACCACCGGGGACGAGCGCGATGGGGAGGACTTTTGGGTGGACGACGTCTGAGGATGAGGAGGAGTTGATGGGGGGAAGACTGGTGATGTGTTTGATCATCTGACGGGATTTGCTGTGCCAAGTGGCGATGTTGGAGAGGTATTCGGAGAAGGGATCGGGTTCTTCGTCGTTGCTGGTCATTTCTGCGTCTTCTTTTTCTTTTGGGTCGGGAGCAGTACTGGGATTGGGATTCGTGGGTGGTCCTTCCCATGTTTTCACGGCGCAGGTTTGGTCTTGTTGGAGGTGTTCTTGTATAAAAGCCCCAACCTCAGCGAGCAATTCTTGATCAGACCCTTCCAATACAATCATCGCACCCCTCGTGTCAACCGCCGGACTCGTAGGTCCCGGATCAGCTAGAGGGGGAGAGATCTTGGCCAGGACTTTGATCTTGTTTGCGAAGGGGATGGTCATCACCATGGCCTCGACGCTCCTCGCTTGCTCCTCACTGATCGCATTTCGGGGATCGACTCGATGGGGAGGGCCCGACGAATTGGGAAGCTGGGTTTGTAAAGGTGGTAATCGTAGGGATTCGTCAAACGTGGCCGATTGCGGTGTGTATTGATGCCTTGGCGTTTGGCTCATGGAAGAATGTTGGGGGGGTGGTCCCATTGTTCCTGGGCGGACCAACATTCCAGTGGTGGGGGCTGGAAAGCGTTGTTGTCGGTAGGATGCTGACATCGGCAACGAAGGATTACGAGGATAGCGTGGCCCAGCAGAATATGGTGCTGGTGATTGGGCATAGTTTTGGGGATGTTCATTATAACCATATGCATCTTGATGGTTCCTTCTCCTTTTGTGGTGAGGACCGGGACTTTGTATCCTAATGTCATCTTCTTCCAGTTCATGATGGGTGGAAAGACGTTCATAAGGGCGAGACACTCCATGATGCATCTGTTGTGGGGGGCCCCGAGGAGATTCCATTCTTTGGTTCTGCATCGGCGTCAAATACTGATTTCGTGTGTGCTCTGTTATACGGGAAGGTGTAAAGGGGGGCTGAAGGCGGTCTGGATGCGCACTCGTTAGTCCACCAGGAAATTGACTCAAAGGTGTACCAGGTGTTGATATATATCTTCCGTTGCACTTCGGGCAGCGGATCTGGTCCTCAGAAGACGAAGAAGATACTGGTCGGTTGCCGTTGGCTTTAGCAGAACGTCTTGGTTGATATCGGTAACCTGGATACTGTCGCTGATGTCGAATCTTTTCTTCCTATTTGTCTCAAAGTCAGTCTGTTCTCTCTTGAGACATGATTTGGTCCTACCTCTGCAAGACTTTTCCATTCAGCTTTCACTTCAGGGGACTGATCTCGCCACTGTTCTCCAATGATCTTTGATATCTCAGGGTTTGCAAGTCCTGGGTTTTGGGCTACGACTTGAGCTTGATAATGCTGCCGGTATAGGATGAAGGCTACAAAGAAACATTAGCTATGATTCGATGAAAGGCTCTTTGGGATAAAAATAAAGAGAACCATCTCCTGGCGCAAAGAGAGTAGCCAATCACAGTCTAAAATTACACCAAGAAAAGCATTGAGTATTCACGCACCGTTTCGTGGCCTCGGAATCTTGGGATCTGGTTGACAAAGGCACACTTGCGTAGGATCTCCTGTCTGTGGTATAGGAGTAATTGCACTATCCAAAGCCAAATCCCCCATTCCGTGATGCTTGTTGGCAGTGTCAATGTCAAGGGAAGCTGCCCTTTTCCTCGCTAAACGAGTTCGGGCAGAGCTGGGGAGGACGTCCAAACTCATCGCAGGAAGCGCCGTTCGCCCAGATTCACGTCGACTTGAATCCGTAGAGTTGTCTACTGGCGATCGAGAAGTGACTAGCGGTGCTCGGCCCACTTCCATTGCCTCTTGCATGTTTCTCGGTTTGTGCTCCTGTTCCTGGCTGAGGTGACCAGGTAAAGGAAGTTGGAGGGATTTCTAGCGTGATATAGAGAGTAATGGCAATGGGGGCAATAAATTGTAGCGAGAAGAAAGGATGAATAGCCCTCTTGTTGTTGAGGCGATTCTTTGTGCAGGCCCCATTGATGGGACAGAAAAACAATGATGTTGCCAGTCAATCACCCTGTCAGGGGTTTGTTGGGCCATTATTGCAGCTGTGATGTCTTTGTCTCGGGAAGCCGTAGACCTCCAACGCCAACTTTCTTTGTACCAAACGTTTCCGGTATTAATAAGGGGCAGCATATGGGGCTGTCAGCCCCGAAGAGATAAACGCGTTTGGAATGCTGCGGCGCAAACAGACTTTATTATTTCTCTCTATACTGGTCCCAGCCAAACGGACTGTCTCAACCTCCAACTCCCATAATTCCTGCCAACCTCGACGCCTCCCGAACACGACGAAAGCTTTTGTAAAACCCTAAAATTACACGGTTGAGAACTGATCATATTCTGTTCCTTCTATGAAATGAAGTGAGCACCAGCTGCGCCATTCACGATGGCCGCACTCCTCCGGGTGTCAATAAACAAGTCCTCGCATTCTCCCACATCCGCAACATCAATCTGATTGCGACCGCTTACCCGCGCAAGAATGCTAGAGGGCGTAAGGAGCTGCAGTGCATACCTCAAGCTTATGCGCGTACCATGGTCTGCAATCTTTTCCAGCGCAGCTTCAGTAATCGCTAAGCCTTCGACCTGTACCCGAATTTTGATGATTCTTTTGATTTCGTCTGCCTCGTACTGGTTGGTTGGAATAATCAGCAGGCGGGCAAGAAGATCAGGAGGAATACCGTGCGCCGAAATTAAGTCCTCAGTCCCACGGATCGTGCACATGCCCCGGTTTGAAGCAAGAATAACGATGGGGGAAATACTCGACTCCAGCGCACGGTTGAGATATGTAAAGCACTCGATATCCAACATGTGAACCTAGCTGAAAGTTAGCCTCCAGTGCGAAATGATTTCAGCATACTTCATACCTCGTCGATGAAGAGAACACCAGGAACAAGTTCAGCAACACCTTGATCAATGTATTTATTGACCACCTTGTTGATTTCACTCCTTAGTTTCTCGGTGATTTCGGTCATTTTTGGTTTCATTAATTGGCCCATCATACTCATGATATCCTGTCCGCCTTGGGGTCGCGCGTTGGCAATGTCGAGATCATGTAATGTAACATCCTGAACTATTTCCTTTTTCTTATGAACCTCGCCTTTGGGTATTGGAACATACTCCTCGGCTTCCAGATCAAATTCCGTCGCGTATGCATCAGATCTGCCAACACGTTTGCAAGCTCCGGTATTTGCCTCGATATATATGACATCGCCAACCGTGACTCTTTCCTTCTGTATAGCTTCGTAAATACTCGGGTCTAACCGAAGCTTCTTTTGGCCCTTTGCGCTCTTCAGTCCAATTAACAAGGTGCTGATTGTTTTGCCATAACTGCCAAGGGGATTTTCCGCCTCTTCAGGTGTAAGCTCTGTAACCTCTCCTTCGTAAACCTCCTTCGTCTCTCTGACTTTGAGTCCAATGGCTCTGCGGAAGTTTTCCATCAAGGCTTCGGTCTTCTTGACTTCTGTCGAGTATAATTCGCTTCCCACGATTGGGCAAAATGGCACTTTCGTTCCGAGTTCCTGGCTTATGGCGAGAGCCAGAGCCGTTTTTCCAGTCCCTGGACCACCTGCCAGCAATATAGCTCTGCCAGCCATCTTTTGCGCTCTAATCAAGTCGACCACAACACCGCAAGCCTATTGAACCATGATCATTAGTAACGACCAAAAAACTTCGATTGAGGTCCTACCTCTCGGGCTTCAGCTTGTCCCACAAATCCGCCAGCCTGTTTTTCTGCCGTTCCATCTGGCTTGAGACCTAGACCTTTGATGTGTGTATGGGCTGCGGTACGATTGTCGCGAGCATTGCCCTTGACCTCGCTGATTTGTACCATTATTTCGACGGAAACTATTAGATGGGAACGAACTGATGGCTTGAGATTGGAAAATGCAAAGAAATTGCTTCGAGATGGCACATAGATGTCGTCGAAGTTGTCGTGAGATGGAGCTCGCCTTGCCGCCTTGCGAAAAGTCGACGCGACACGGTAAATCTGCGGTTGGCGAAACCTTGGCAAATAAACCACCAGGGTAGCGAGGCAAGGGAGGGTAGAGTGACATAAAAATATATAAGTGTGGTGTAAAGATAGCGAATACTTGTAATCTAGTTAAACATTACATCGACGTACACTGCGGATTGATATTCTTTCTCTTAATTTCACGTTCATAAATTTAGAATCTATATTGAATATTTCTCACCAACTAAAATAAGCTCGCTGTCGTCACTCTCAGTTACCAAGGTTCCATCACTTCAAAATGCATCAAAAGAACTAGAAACTGGAAGACCAAAACTCAATTCATTACTATTTCTCGATACTATCGTACACACTAGTAAGCTCCCGGGGGCATCAAATGATCCTAAACCGCTGAAGTAACCTATCGGGTGAGTGCAAGGTTAAATTATCAGTGAAGCATATCAAAGCAGCAGCAAAGTCAAGTTCAAACCGCTAGCGCTGGCAAGACGATCGCGAATCTGAAAGATCCTTCTTCAGAAGATACTCCTCGGGGCAATTCATGACTCAACGCGCGACGGTTATATCAAATTTTATGCAAGACGGAGCCATTTGAAGTCCATATACCAGTAAACCCATGTAGAGAGACTCGCCAGGAATGAACAAATCGAAGGTAGCAGCACGCATGTGTAGTCATGATTACTGAATGCGATGTGTCATGTCAAGTATGGTCAAGTCAATGCAGTTCATCGCCTAGCAATTCCCAAATGTAAGTGTCGTTCATGCACGTCAGATCGTGGTTGGCAGCATCGAGTTAGAATGGATCCCTATATCGAAAGAAAGGTTGAAGTATGAGAAATGGATGAGCAAGCAAGCAATTCGTCATCAAGTGCATGGTAGCATGTCATATCGATCCACCGTCGAAATTCATGGTCTCAATACAGTCAGGCGAAAATATGTGCAAGTCATGCAAATCATGCGATCAAGGGGTATCTCGGCTATCCAGAATGATCCAGAAAGTGTGTGAGCGTCACTTATGAAGTTCCGGGGGGTTTTGATGAGTCGGGCTGCGCTTGTCCTTGTTGCGCGGCCACCGCTTGATACCAAAGAGCTACATATGCCTGGTACCCACCATCTAATAGAAGTTAGCAATGCAGTCTTAAGCCGTTGATACACGTAGTTCTTACAAGCTGCATAAGGATCTTCACCGCTGGCGGGAGGAGCGGCCTGGGGTTGCGATTGTTGTTGGGCGTATGATTGCTGAGCATAACCTCTGTCACCATGGTCATTCTGGGCAGGGCGAGCTCGTCCAGTTCCACCACCGCCGCCGCCATTCTTTGCCGCCTGCGAATTGTTAGCAAATTGCAAAATCTGCGAAGAGAAAGAGAAACTCACAACGGCTTCAACTTTATCCTCAATAGCACGCTTTGCTGCATTAATAGCGTCTCGAGATCCAACCAGACCAATTTCGCGCTCTACCTCTCCAGGTCCGGATGACGGCGAGACGTTGATTTTACAGCCCGTAGTGTTTTGCATGTCTTTGATGGTCTCCCCTCCTTTGCCAATAATCATTCCGACGGCTTCCGAGGGTACAAAAATTGAATCGTTGACCTTGTCACCACCTGCTGCGTTTCCATAGTTGCCACCAAAGTTCGGGTCTCTGGCAGGCTCTCTCTTGGCTGGAACGCGTTCTTTGTCTGTAGTGCCCTTGCTATCACTTTCGACAATCTCCATAATCAAATCCTTCGCTCGAGCTGCTGCCTCACGACTTCCTATCAAGTTTACAGGTCTTAAACCGTTGACACTCTTCTGCTCACCAACAATATTGACATGGCAGCCGCTTCTTTCCTGCAAATCTCGAATAGTTTCTCCACCACGACCAATAATAAGACCGACTGTTCTATCAGGAACCATAATTTGCATACTGTCCTCGCCGTCTCTCAGGGCAGGCTGATGTGTGGACCGAGCGCCGGTAGATGGACCAGCGTCGCGGGTAGGGACAGCTGCGCGAGCATTTCCGGCCATACCACTATCATCAATGATGCGTTGGATTTCCTTTCTAGCTTCGCCGCGTCTTGCACGAGGACCTATGATTTTGCATTGTCTGAAGGGGCCCGTCACATCAGGACCGGTGATGAACTGTACGCGACAACCAGTCTCCGACTCTACGCGCCGAAGGTTTTCGCCCTGCCTACCAATAATTAAGCCAACCAGATTTGATTCGATCGTAAGAGATTCTTCATTGTCGTCCCCGCCCCGTGCAGGAGATCGCTCTCGTTGATAATTCGCGCCTGCCTGGGCTGGTGAGAATGCGCCAGCAGGACCTCGACCTCTAGGACCAGGGGAGAAGGACCGTTCACGATACTCTCGAGTCGGTGGTGCTCGGTCGCCTCGTCGCTCGTCACGGTATGGGTTGATGTTGTCGCGGAAAGCGTCTCGTCGTGCAGGTGGTGGGGAGCGTGATCGCGATCGTGAAATTCTGTATGGTCTTCCACCAGATCCGCGGGTATCTTGGCCGTAAGAAGGTGGTCGATTGTATACACCCTTCTCTTCCGCGATCGCCTTTGCCTTCGCAATTGCTTCATTGATGCTGACGGTTCCTGAGCTAACTGGCTTGATATTGCTGAGGTCTACGCTGCCCGAATTCGTGGGTTGTGGTAATTGATAGTTACCTGCACCGCCACCATAAGGATTCTGCTGTTGGATAGGTTGCTGCTGTTGCGGAGGCTGCTGGTAAGGCTGCTGGTTCTGAGGGACGGTATTTGGGCGTTGCGCAGCTATATTCTGGTAAGCTTCAAATTCAAGGGATGCGCTGAGAGTGTCATTACCTAGTGCAGCCAAAATGGAGCTGATGCTTGCTTGTTGGTCGGCCATCTTGCGCAAATGTCTGGCGCAATAGCTATGAGATGTTAGGTTCGTGATCGCACACAGCCTAGGTCGGAGATCGAGTCGGCTGGAATTCGAGTCGTCTTTGATCTGGCTTTGGATGTCAGATTTGATTGTCTTGGACTTCAGGTTGTGCTAAGAACACGCCAAGGTCGGCTAAATGTTATGCCCCATCAGGAATTGGGTGAATCGACACAAAGACACCGCCTGCACCACCTGACATGACAGAAATTATCATCAGATTGGAGGCCTTAGAATCCAAAGACACAATTGCAAATTGAAAAGTCCAGCACTCTGATTCCGATCTTTATGTGATAGATTTACCATTTAGTCACCAGAGTGGCCATCGCTTTTTAATGTAAGAGGTATGGTCATCTCTCTGCTAACTTCACATAAAGGCTTTGCTCTAAAATACTTGTGCTGCAACTACGAAAACTGTGTAAGGCAATTGAGCTCTTCTTTATTTCAATTCCTCTAGGACTTTCAAGTCTTCTAGGAGAGTAAGTCAATTGCTCCATATACTCATCAGATGGTGTACACACAGCAGCAATTAAATCTCTTTCTGAGACACCTGGCTCTCTTCTAGACTCTGACCTATTTCGTCAAAACCAAAGAATTTCTACTCGTTGGTACTAGCTAGTGTTTGTTTATTTAAAATATGCCTTGTGTAATTGCTTGACTGACTTGCACCTAGGTCCCAGTATCATGTTTCCCATTTGCAATGCTTGCATATGTAGGACCTGCCCAAAAACAGTCAACTAGGACGAGCCATATAATGTTTCAGGTTCTAGGCTTATTTATTAGTTAATCAATACCCTTGATATTGTTGCTAGTTCAACCATGTCTGGGTGTTGTAGGTGTATCATAATACACTGTGCAGCCCAGACAGTTCATTTTTCTGGTAGCTGTAGGCCATTTCTGTTTGCTAAAGAAAAGCTGGCCAATGCTTCTAGATGAATTGAAGCTGGCTGATGCCATAGCAGTAGTGTATTTTGATGCTATGTATCTACTACCTCTTGTAAGTGGTTGTGCATCAACATCTCATAATCGTTGCTTATTCGTGTTCCTCAGTAGACTGTCTGTTCCTGTTGTTCGTTCCTTGCGTAATTGCTGTGTTTTGGAAATGCTACAATGCATTTACATTGCAAACAACAACAACAACAATTCTTAGTGGGTGGTTGCCAGTCTGCAGGACATAGTACATGCAGGTTGACTGGTACTCGCAGGAGGACGGTCACGTCACTCTGTCTTGGTTGCCTTCTAGAACAACAAGGTTCGCGTCTTAGACGTACATGCAGGTCCTGACTTACTTTCTGCATGTGTCTTCAATCTTGTATGTCTTTTCATGAGATTGAAGTACCTACGATACAGTGAATATGAGCGACTAGGGTTTTTGCTAGTGCTAGTCTTGCCGACCTCCATAGTGGGGGGTTGGAAGTCATAGGCAGATTCACTGGAGAGCATACAGGCATGGATCTTCCGTTGGTTGTCTTCCACCACATCTTAATATTCTACCTGCACAGAGGGGGGACACAGAGAACCATCTCAACCTACACACCTCCAACCATCACAAGAAGTGGTCGCAACTGGGGGGCGAGATATCGCACTGCTTGTATCTCCATGGAGGTAAGTCTCATTCATGCCCGTTCCTAGTTTTGGAAGTTGCGCCTCAGTACAGAGGGCTCTCATCTCCAGCTCAGTCTGTTGGTTGATGGGTGCCGGGCGGTATTCCTACCTACCTCTGGCAACGCCCCACCCCGCTCTCAACTATAATATACTGTTTTGAGAATGCCTCCTTGAGGTCACTCATATCTTCGACAAACTAACCTCTGCATCTAGAACCCTCAAGGCTTCGGTTGTTCTCGTGGAGACGAGAATCCCACAACCTCTCCGTCCTCGCCCTCGTCCCCCTCCTCGACGACTCCTTCCCAAAGTTTGCCCGAGGGCCATGAGCTTCTTCTCGACCACGGGCTCCTGCCTTCAAACCCCCTCGAGCCACTGGGCACTAACAACCTTGGCTCAATTGACAGCGAAGAGTTTCCACCCCCCTCGTCGGCAAACACAAACAACACCACGCCTCTACACACGCCTCCAAGCCCCACGCGTCGCCCTCGTCCTCGCTCGACCAGCTCCACTTCATCTTCAAGTTCAGACTCTAATTCTTGGGATGCTCAAGAGACACGCTTGTCAAAGTGAGTACCTTCGTAATTTCCCTCGCGGCCAGCGCTTGTCAGGCCATGCCCATGTCGCAAGACCTTCATTCCCCAGAAGCAGAACGACTAACCAGGTATATGCTTTTAGTCTCGACAACTCTGCTGAGGATACCTCGATAGTCGATATCGTCACTAGTAAGAACTCGCCCGTTGGTGCCTCAGATGTTGAACACCGCCAAACAAGAAAGTATCTATACATACTCACTGGTTCTACCGTCTACTCCATACCAATCACGATATCGCACCACACGCAAGGAGCTGACAACGTCACAGCCCAAACTCCCGAAGACGAGCAGAACACCGACGTGCTAGTGGTACCGACTCGATCACAAAGCATCAACCCGTTTAGCATCTTTAACAACGTAGTCGACATTTCGGAGTTTCTTCGTCACGAGAGCCTCCAAGCAATGTTAGATCCCTTCGGAACCCATGATCCAAAGGCCTATGGTATCTTGTCTACCTTCAATCGTGAATATACCGAGATTCTGGCCCTGAAATCAGGCCAAAGAGGCACTGACTCGCGATCATGGACCGTCGTAAGTGAATGAAACAATACTATTAGTCTCGCAGCGAGTTAACGAATGTCAGGGATTTGACGTACGAATTTTCGCCCGCTCCGTTCGTAAATTTCCTTCCTCGAAGCCCATTCACTGCCCCTATAAGCTCCGTGGTACGCACCATGAATATGAGGCTTATGTCAGATCTGGAGCTCAGTGGACCAGACGACACGCAAGTGCAGACGTTATAAACTGTAAGTGGTCTGCTCGAGGATTGTTTCAGTATTAACATCAGACAGCTTTCTTGAGTCCCGTTAGCCACGAATCACCTGTCGCACCAGAGCTTGAAAGAATTGCTGATGCTTTCTTCAATGGAAGAGAAGTGCCTGAAGACATCGAGGTCGAATGTACAAGCGAATCCAAAAAGACCAAGGCATACACCATCGAATATAAAGTGGGCGAGCATACAAAGACATTGAACTCGAATGTCGCTAAAGACAAGAAATTGATCTTCTTCCTGCAGGATTGCGCGATGGCAAATCATCTAGAACTGGTATATCAACAAAAGGGCACAGCGCCGATGGGATTGACAGGGACCGATGGGTCTATCAAGGTTTACCGAGATGATAAGCACAAGAAGTATTCAAAGCTCGTTGGGATGGACGACGACCAGGATATTGTAGCAGGTAATCCAGCGGAGTCTGGCTACGCTGTCATCGCCGTTTTACACCCCAATATAGAGCTAAGAGATCCGTTAGGTCTGCCAAACGTTGATACTACTACAAACAGCCAGGACCCTCCGTTGACCCTAACCGATGAGGAATTGAAACAATTAGCGGCTAGTGTTGCACAACCACCCACCCAGTCCAGAAAACCCAAGAAGAAAAAGGTCGGCAAGAAGAGTAAGCAACTTCATCAAAAGATGCTACAATCTAGCGATCTCTCCACGGAAGTGCATTCGCCAAATCAGGAAGACAAACCACTGGCAGATACGGTTATGGCGGAAACCTCGCTCAACTCCAAAAAAGCTACTAGTGAAGTCAAGTCTGCCCCGAAGCAGGTTGACAAGAGCGTCCAACTAGGTTCAGTCAAGTTATTTCCCAATGGGATGAGTGGCGCCTCGAAGCCCAAAGATGGAAATGGAGATAGCGGATGGAAAACGGTGGAGCCAAGAATACCAAACAAACCTCGAGTTTCTGCCGCAAAACTCAACAATCGCTCTACTAATTCCAGTCCGTATTCTCCTCGTACTTCTTCGCTACAAGCCAATCATGGGAGTCCCTCTCGACAGGCCAATTCAGCACAACAGGTTCCGAGGGTAGCATCAGCACAATTCTACCATCATGGACAAAAAGCAGCGGGAGGAAGAATAAACAACGCGGGGGATAGCATGTCTCCAGTAAGCAGCATTAGCCTTCAAACTATTTCGCCTGCTGACATTACCTTAGAACAGAGTTTCAGCTCCTCCAAAAACTGCTCAGATTCCGCAATCTGTCTCGGCTTCGAGAAATACACAAATCGTCCGTGACCAAGTTTCTCCGACGAAAACACGACTTCCAGTCCTCGAGAAAGTCAATTCAAGTGACAAGGAAGCTCCACATCCAAGAGACAAGGTCGAGTCTAGAGCACCTGAACCCAGCACGCGCATCTTTGACCCAAGCGAATATCCGGCGATGCCTTCGAGGCCTAAATCCTCAAGCGTAAAGGCCCCAGCCACCAATGCAATCACAACGTTCGAAGCTGGTCAGGACACTGAAAAAGAGCCATTGAAAGATACTACTGAGATTACCGACCGGGTCATTTCTAACCTAGGCCGTGAGACAACTCCTTCTATCGACTCCGACAAGAGCTTTGAAGCGAAGCCAGCATCTGAGTTTATAGGAGGTACTGATGATAAACCAGGGCTTGTTGCTGATTCTCCGACAATCTCGGAGAGTGAGACTGATGAAACCCCCGATTATAGCAGTCAATCAGTATCTGGTTTGTCTGAAAAGACGGCTGATGCTTTCCAGGGAACATCTTCTACTAGTCAAGTGAATGCACCGTTCAGTGGCACATCTGTTAGCAGTGAAACTGTTGATCAACCTGAGGAGCCTTCACCAATTGTTGAAAATGATGAAACAAATGATGTTGCCGTCAATTCAATTGACGAGGAACAAAACACGAGGCATCAATCAAGTGAAGTTCTTCCATCAGATTCCGGTGTTTCTGCACGGATAACTAGCGACGTTCAATTGCAAGTACTTGAGCAGGATTCTTTGTCGTCCGATTATAATGGCGTCGACGTTGAACAGGAGGAGTCTCTCGGCAACGGGCTGACAGCGGCTGATGATGATAATGATGATGCATTATCGTTCAAGGAAAATGCTAACCAATCACTGAATATGGACACGAGCAACCTTATGAATCTGCCACCCATCAGTAGTGCCCCTACTTTCAACAACAATGTTCTTCCAAGTTACAATTTCCATCAGCATCCAGGCTGGGTTTCGCTTCAGCACCCACCACCGGCACCTTTCTATCACCCCATAGGTGGTGCTCCTGTTGGTTACGGTCATCCATATGTCGGTCCCATTCCGCCAGGACCACCTCCTTTTCAACCTTACAATCCAGTTCCCCATTTTCATCCCTCCCAGCAAGCCCTTTACACAAATCATCTTCATAGAGATGCTGCTGAAAACTCCCAGCAAATGACTGTTGAGCCCGCTACCCGCCAAGATTCTACCATTCGCAGTCATCCAACTGAAGCTCAATCTGCGAGCCCGACTCCAAGCATCATCGAGAGCGCCGACGTGGGCACGAATTCCGGCAAAGTCGCTGTCAAGGTCGCAATTGAGCCTCAACCCGCTATATATAACGCCTTCCGCTGTTCATACTGCCAGGATTCTGGAACGCCCAAGGATGTTCAATCTCTTGTGTTCTGCCCAGGGTGTGGACCAACTTGCAACATTCGTTACTGTTCAACGGCCTGTCTTTTAGCCGATGCTCACGACCATTCAACTTGTTGCATGAACTTCCCTGCCTCACAAAGACTCGCATTCCATGACCTTCCAGAGCAGTTCATATACGAAAAGGATCCTATCATGCCGCTCAACGGTCTCCCACCATCTCCGGAACAATTTCGTCAGAAAGCCTATATGATGTACTGTAACTCTGGACCATTTCCTACCACTCTGAAGGCATGGGCTAAGCGAAATTCTGCTGAGACGAGCTTACAAGGTGTTGACCATTTGGAGCAGCAAAAGCGAACCGGAGAATACCACGTTTTTAGATCTGCACTTACAACTGTGGGTACCCGTCGTAATCCTGGAGCGGATGTCATCTTCGTGAGTTACTTAATCATGCCGGTAATATCGAAGGAAGCTAACTTACGTTGCAGACTATCATTTTGCGCAAGGGTGATCCAGCCAAGAAAATTCTTAGCCGTTGCCTTAATGCTAGCTTCCTCCTCTACCGACGTGAAGTTGTGGAGTTTCTTTTCCTCTTCATCCGCCACTTTATTCTTGATGCCGAATTGTTCGAAATGGCTCCACATCACGCAACCAACACAGTTGTGCTTGAGGAGTTCAAGCATCAATTCACTAGAGAGTTCAATTTTGATATTACACCTTATGAAGATGATCTAAAGATGTTTAGCATCGATGAAGAAAGCCGGCGTATTCAACCTCTTCTGGATGATATCGAGTCCAAGTATCCTATTCTTCAACGTTGGTGGAGATGTTAAGGCAGCGCAATCTATTCTAAAATCCGTGTGCTTATTCAAAATGCCTCCCTTGGGGGAGATCTGGGACAGGGAATGAGAATATATTCGTTTTCGAAATCGACGCCATGAATTTCTTGAAGCGTGGGATTTCTCGGTAGTAGATAACAAGATTGGTGAAAAGTTTTGATCGGCTATCTACAGATTAGGAATCGGTTTGGGAATTGTGAATATTCTCCAGTCCTTTGGCTTGATACTTAGACGTAGTCGATAATGAACCAAATTGTCCTTGAAATTGTTGATGTGTAAATTTGTGAATCCTGATCCTTTGATACTAGAGCTTGAATTGTATTTCTCATGGATCTGAACCTTCCGTCGTAACTTTATACCTTGAGTGTTCTCATACACGTTATACCCGAAATAACGACCTCGTTATATTTATCTTGTGGCTATATGTTAGGCTTCAAGGCTTGTGGGGAATTGGTTAGATGGTCTTGTATGATGATATGGATGAGTGATGTATGGCTATTCATGTGCGTGATAGCGTGCTAATATATTAAAGTACATGGATATATAATGACGGGATTTGATTGGCCATGGCGAAATATGGGGTGTGTGTTGTGTGTGGTAGGTTGTTGGGATTTTCTGGTTGTGGATATGATTTATGGATCCTGTCTGGTTATCATTGTATGAGAGACTAGGCCATTGCTCTGTATTCACGGTGGAAAGGGGTTGTATGAACTAAACTTCTGGTAAAGGAAGATTGTTATATTGGTATATCTAGGTTGGTAAGCAGCGAAAGGTAAAGCTTCTTGGAAACTGTTTGTGTTGGATTTTGGTTGTTAGAGGATTTTTGGGGTGGTTTTATTTATAGGTAGGTAGGTTCGTAAGTTACAGAGTCATCTGATAACCATGTCTCTTACGGTAGTTAATTTGAGATGAGGTATAGAGGGTACCGGGAGCTGTTATAGTTCACATTTGTCGGCTTTGGGGAAGTTGGATGTATTCACACGTCGACTCGAGTCCCTTAAGCTTCAGAGTAGTAGTATGCAAAAGGTTCACGTTGAATCAAGAAAACTGCTTCGTTACTTGTGTATGTATGAGCCATTGACTAAACTGATCTCTATTCTTACTTGGAGTCTCAACAACGACAAAGCACTTCTGGATGACCGCAGTTCAGCACCAAACTACACAGCCATCCATTCAAGCATCCTCCTCACTCAAAAGTCTAGAGGGATCCCTTCTAATCAACTCCCTCAACGCCTTCTCCAACTCCCTATCCATCTCCCCCATCCTCTCCTCCTCCTTCTTCTTGGCCGCCTTCTCCTTCTCCTTGGTCGCCGGGCTCGGAGGAAGACTAATCGTGACATTCAGCGCCTCCGCACGTTCCAAAGCACGCATCCTCAAAAACTCAATCGCCTCCCGTCGCTCCTTCGCATTGTCCTTGTTCCGCTTCTCCTCCCGGACTCGCTGCTCCTCCTTGAGGGTTGCGCGCCGTTGGCGTGCTTCGCCTAGTGTCAGCGTTTCGGTTCTCTTGAGCTCCTCGGCCATGGCGTGGATTTCGTCGTCGCCGATGACGCCTTCCATTAGTTCGGCGGAGGTCATGGAGCGGGTTTTTAGAAGGCCTGATCGGGAGGAGTAGGTCTGTCATGTTTGTTAGTTTGGAATTTATGGGGAGGGAGGGTGCGACTTACGCGGTGCTCGTCGGGGCTCTTGACCTTGCCGTTTTCAGTGAAGGTAAAGTCCGGGAAGGGGGTGTTAGTGTTGACTCCCAGGGCTGCTCTTCTGGCTGTGTCGCCTGAAGGTAAGTTCATGGCTGCCATGCTTTGTTCGAGGCTGGTGGTGTCGTCTCCTGATCTAGGTTAGAAGAAAACTTGAGTTGGAAGATGGTATGGGCTTGTGTAACGTACCTGGGCGAGTGTTCTCCTCCGTGATGGGCAGGCCGGCTCTGGCTCTCTCGGCCATGGCGTTGATTCTGTCCGCGAAGGTTGGGATCCCGCTGCGGTTTACGGGTGGTGGGACGCGTTTTATGATTGGGGGTGGTTTGGTGGAGGATAGGTCTAGTGGTGGTGGTCGAGGTCTTGACTTTGAATTGGCTCGCGTAATTTGATGGGGGGTGTCGTTGCTTTGCAAGGCACTATCATTGTCTTGGAATGGGTTTTCACTTTGGTAAGTATCACTACCTTGAAAAGTGCCATCAGTTTGGAAAGGGCTTTCACTTTGGTAAGTGGCACTACTCTGCCAATCACCACCACTTTGAAAAGCGCCAGGGGGTTGGAAAGCATTACCACTTTGCAAAGCACCACCAGCTTGGAAAGCATCACCACTTTGGTAAGTATGACTCCCTTGCAAAGCAGCAGCGGCTCGAGCGGCTCGAGCAGCTCCAACAGCAAGTTGGTGATTGTAACCTTGCAAGGCACGAGTGGCTTGTAAAAGATTTTGATTTTCGCGGGTATCAATACCTTCCAAAGTACCGCCACTTTGAAAAGCACGACCACCTTGCGCAGCATTCCCATCTTTCTTAGCATTTCCGCCTTGTGAATGTTAGTGACGGTGACCAGAATTGACGCGTTGTTGTCCATACCTTTGCGCAGACGTCTTCTCTCTGCTATGGTCATCGACTCTGCTGGGCCAGAAGCGCTGGCAGATGGCGTGGTGGTCTTGCTTGCTTGATCATCCTTCTTGCGATTGATTTTCTTGCGGAGCTTGTTGGGTTGCATGGCTTGGTTGGGAGGTAAGGACAGTTGGGGGGGAGAGGGTTTGAGAGATAAGGGTAGACAATGGCGTGACAGAACTTCTGGATGAGAGGCGAAGAGAAAGGGATTTCTCTAAGCTCTGGAGGAGGAGGGGGATGAGGATGAGGTTTGAGACGACACGCAAGACGCGAGGACAAAGAGGTTTAGAAAGGGTATTAGGGATGAAGGCTGATGACTGGTCCACACAATCTGCTCCTAGGACTTGTCTATGATCGGAAATTATCATCAAAAATGTACCCTTATTGGCTGACTAGGCTCTTCTTTTTCAGAATATAACGGGTTATAATGATCGGATCCAAATCGGAAATTGCAAAAGGAAATTCAATGTCTAGTAGAGATATCAATTCACTTGTTATACAATCTCACAGGCTCATTTTGTGAGAGCAAGTGGTGAGCACGCATGTCACGAATGTCAGAGTACTGGTGTACTCGCTGCTGGGAGGAAGCTTTAACACGATTCTAACTCTCACCCTAAAGATAAATGAGAGTTATAATCCCAAGTCGTTGCAGGTGATAGATTTGAGGTGGAGACACAAGAGTCACAGTCTTGACTAATAGTGTATACTGATGAAGCTGATGTACATGTCTTGACAAACTATTTGGTCTTAGTCATTGAAGGTTCTCTAGGTAGTTGGGAACAAGAAACTCACAGGTAATTTGGTTGAATGTCATTTTGTTCTCTTTATAAGTGAAAGAAGGGACTTTTCATGAAAGTGTTTTATGCTGGCAATCTATAGCGCACATTTTCAAATAAGTTATGGGTTTTTCATGATTTCTAGAAAGTGATCTTCTGGCTGCTTTGATACTCTCGTTGAGGTGTCTAGGGTTTGAACATCAATTCTGGGTGTTTTGTTCTTTCTATAATAATTGAAAGACGTTACTGTATCTATACGGTACTTTCTTTGAGGTTAAAGTTACTATACAACATGAATTCACTGATAACACTTGCTCATAAAACAATGAGCCTTGAAAGGCAATATATTTGCTAATACAAATAAAACAAAATAGACACTCTTTGTAGAACCAGTATGAAAGAATGAAAATTTCATTTATACCTAGTGATGTTCCAGTGAGATTTTGGAATAGGGGGAGCAGTTGACCCTATCAATTACCTGACTGCAATTATCACTCCAGACCTCGGGACCCTTGATCATCATCGCATTAATGATAATCCGGGTGGCCGAAAAAGCTCCTCACAGCCCCAAGAAATTTTGTTGGATTACCTCACTACACACCACAAATCCAACCATGATTCAGAGAACACTCCTCCGTCAATCCAGAGCATTGGGCTCATGTATTAGATCTGCGCCAAGGACATCGTTGGCCCGACCACAATTTCAAAATCCAGCAGTCAATTCTTTCGCGCGGTCCGCATGGAGGGGGTATGCAACTGAGCCGGAGGCAACCAAGGCAGAGGGTGAGGCAAAGGGTGAGGCAGAGGGTGTAGCAAAGGAGGAGAAGACAGAGGCAAAGAATGTAGAGGCAGAGGATCCCGTGAAGAAGGAGTTGGAGGCCAAAAATAAGGAGATAACGGAATTGAAGGTTCGTTTGCTTGCGCCAACCACTTTTTGGCACCGGGTCATCACCCACTAACATACTTCCCTTCCAGGATAGATATCTTCGATCAGTCGCTGAATTCCGAAACCTGCAAGAACGAACTAAGCGTGATATGCAAAATGCAAAGGACTTTGCCATTCAAAAGTTTGCAAAGGACCTGGTTGACAGCGTCGATAACCTTGACCGTGCCTTGGCTATGGTTCCGGAAGAGAAGTTGAAGCCGGAGGAGAAGTCGGAGCATCTCCAAGATCTGCGCTCATTGCACGAGGGGTTGAAGATGACGGAATCAATCTTGATGTCAACTTTGAAAAAGCATGGTTTGGAGCGATTCGACCCCAGCGTCGCAAACGAGACATTCAATCCAAACGAGCATGAGGCAACCTTCATGTCACCTATGGAAGGAAAGGAAGAGAACACCGTTTTTCACACCCAACAGAAGGGATTCAAACTTAACGGGAGAATATTGAGACCAGCCAAGGTTGGCGTTGTGAAAAATAATAGCTAAAGAGGGGAAGGCATTGGGGCCCTGTGTACATTGTACGATTAAGTGTGGTATATTATGTTAGGCGTTGGATGCTGGATTGGCAATGCTCCTCTCACCGGCGTTGCAAAAAGGGATTGCACATTGTATAGAACCGGGTACGATATTCATGATGATACGGTACGAAGTTTTAATGCAAGATCCACCATTTTCACAATCGCAAGATGGTTGCTTATTTAAACAAAATCTATTCTTCATTCCTCATACATTTAGATGCGCCAGACTCTACATATCCACCCCAATAACAGTCAACACCAAATACTTAAACAAGACGCGCGAGCTGACTCATACTCAGACAAAAATCCCAACACAAAATCTCTCGCCACTTCTCAACCCTAATTCAAACTGCTACCACCCTTAAACATCCTCCCCTCTGAACAGATAATCAGTCTTCAGCTAGAACGACATGAATATTCATTAGTTCCAGGTGAACGTTTTCGATAAAAATCTGAAGGTAGTGCATGCGAACTCTCGCCTCCCTAATTCCATGCTGGAATTTCAACTTTTCGAGGTTAGCATTAACATTCTCTTCCTCAAAACGAGCAATTTCCAATTCAACACGCTCAATTTCATCTCTAAAGTGACGTCTGTACTGCTTCTTTGCTGGATGATCTAGCTTGAAGTAGCCAGAGCCATAAGTGATATGAAGGGGCTCGACTCTGGGGGGGAGTGTCTTGGTAGCCGTGATCCAATCCCGCTGTGCAACGTTGTAAACATGCTCTTTGCCTTGTTCGTCTTGTATAGCTGATATCTTCAATTTGAGCGCGACTCGATGATGCTCTAGTGTTTCTCCTGCGAGGCGCTCTACCTCCTGCAATATACTCTCGTATCTTTGCATGGCAGTCTGGTCCGCCTCTGCGAGTCTGGTCAATCCTTCTACAGACTCGCGGTAGACGCCCTCATCTACGTTTTTCATCTCGGCCTTTTGGCGTTCGCTGTCGAAGAGGAAGTTTTTGAGGCTCTCTTTGGCGAGATCCAAGGCGTATCGTGCGTGACATTCATGAGCGGTGGCCATCCCGACTTGGTCTCTAACATCCAGCCGATCTTGCTCTTCCTTTTCGTTTCGCTTGCGGAGATACTTTATGTACGCCTGGGTCTCGTATAATCTTGCCTTGGCCTGTTCTCTAGTACCTCCATCCGTGGCGAAATAATCGATGATTCTCTCCTTTGAAATGGGTTAGCGAAGTCGATGTGAGAATGTGAGTGGTGTACTTACCTCGGTGAAGGTCCCTGGCACAGAGGCCGTGCCGAAGGAATAATTTGGGTAACGTGGGATGCCAGTCTCGGTTCGGAAACCTTGTCTGAGGAAATCTTGATATTGGAGGGGGTAGCTATATTGGAACATCTTTGGCAAACTCTCCAAGTCCAGAACGCCTTGGTATGTTAGCGCTCATCACCTTTGGTTCTTGACAACAGAAGGCTTACCTGGAGGGTTGCGAATCAGCTTTGAGGTTTCAGGTACCGAGTAGCAGTCTGACATGTACTCGTCGGGATGATCCTCAGGAACTTTGATATCCCCTCTTGCTCCTGGATGGAATACCTCCTCGTCATCTTGTGGTGGCAGCTTCTCCTGTTGTGTATTCACGTTAGGACTTGATATCTTTCATGCAGTATGAGAATGTTCTCGGTTTTCAACTTACCTGGGAGTTGAGGTCTTCGTTCAAGTCAGACTTCTCAGCGACAAATACCGGCTTGTACGTTGACAAACCCTCGGCCCATCTTGCAATAACAGCAGGCTCGATTTCAAAATCTTTACCTTGAGGCACAGGAGCTACCTTGGGCAAGTCGGTTGCTGGATTTGGAGAGGCTTTCTTGCCTTTAGCTTCAGCTGCCATCAACTTGGTAACTTCGTCGATGATATTCAACGGTGGGTCACTTGGTGGTGATGCTTGTACCCCAGCACCTGCCGGACCTCCAAAAACATCATCTTGAGGGTTAGGAGGACAGAAGCTATCAGCGTGCTTTTGCATTGCTTCACGTTCAGATGGCAACATCCGCGGGGAAAAGGTAGGAACGACGAACCCGCAGTACCACGTCTCGAATTCCTCTAGTTTTGCCTTGGCTGCTAGACTTGTCTCCGCGCGGATTGTGAGTTTGGATACTTCGGCCTGGTGGCATTGCAGAGCTACGTGTGCGGCGAATTCGTGGACTTCGTAGAATTGGGGGTTGTGGGGGCAGATGGTGCAGACCATGTGGAAACTGGTGACTGGGTAGGTTTCGGCCCTGGGCTCCTCCTGTTCGGTTGGCATTATACCTGCTTGGTTCTTGGTAATTGGGAAGACATTGTTCTCGGCGTTGGAGATTTCAGGAAGAGTGGGTGATTTTTTCGTTTCTTCTTCGTGGGTATCTGGACTGTTGTTTTCACCAACAGGTGCAGGACTGCTGGTAAGCTCGTTCTCACTTTCCTTTCCAGCACCGTTTTGCTCCTTGATAGCCAACTGCTCAGAGAGAAGGTTAGGAAGGTTGACGTCAAAGAAAGAACGTTCGAAGTCCTCGAGTTCTTTCTTCGCTCCTGGCTCTGACCTAGCGCGATTCTGGAGCTCGAATCTATTCGCTAAATGAGATTCTGAAGAAAGGTGGGTGAGTAGCTCAGACACATCAGAGAACTGCTGTGGGCAGATACTGCAGATGAGAGGAACTGATGGCTTCAACTTGGCTTCGGGCTCTTGTTCAGATGGTGCTGTGCCTGTTTCAACCTTGGAGTCGGGAGCGATCTCGGTACCATGGTCGGGATAATCATCGAAGAGATGGCTATATTGTTCCTTTTCTTCTTCTGTGAGACTTGCTACACCTTCAAAGGAGGGGGAAGTAGAAAGACCGCGATACTCCTCCTTTTCTCCTTCAATTTGAAGCTCAGGCTCTTGAGGCGCGGGATAATCATCGAAAAGATGGCTATATTGTTCCTTTTCTTCTTCCGTGAGACTCGCTACGCCTTCAAAGGAGGGGGAAGTAGAGAGATCGCGATACTCCTCCGCTTCTACTTCCGTTGGAAGCTCTGTATTTTGAGGGTTGGAAGAATAAGCGAGAACAGCTTGATCCTTTTCTGTTTCTTCCTCCGTAGTAACTTCAATGTCTTGAGGATCATGAGAAGTGGAAAGGTTGTGATACGTTTCCATTTCTTCATTGGTAGGGAGTTCTGGGTCTGCATCGAAAGGATTGGAACTCGCGCGATGCTCTCCCGTCTCTTCCTCCGTAGGGATTTCTGGGCTTTGAGGGTTAGAAGTGAAAAGGTTGCGATAGGTTTCCATTTCTTCTCTTGTAGGAAGTTCAGGGTTTGCATCGAAAGGAGTGGAATCAGCACCATGCTCCTCCGGTTCTTCTTCTGTAGGAATTTCTGGGTCTGCAGAATCGGAATAAGTAAAATGATGACGATACATTTCCTCTTCTTCCTCCGAGGTAACCTCTGTAATTCTAGGGGTAGGAGAAGCGAAAGGATTGCGAAACTTTTCCTTTTCTTCCTCCGTAGGAAGGCGTGGGTCTTCAGGGCTGAAAAGACCAAAACCGAATAGAACAGGATACTTTCTCTTCTGTTCATCCGTGAAATAGCAACCAATCTTCTTGTCGACTTCATTTTGGGCGCTGACGTTGCGAAGACCAAAAAGATCAGGACACATCTCCTTTTCTTCCTCCTCGGAAAGTTTGGGACCTGCGTATAGAGAGCTGCCTAGGCGCTGGGCAACATCGTCAGGCTGCTCGAGATCATATAGCCAATCCAACAACTCGAAGTATGGCACCTCTCTCGCGTTTCGGGGATAAAACTGATGGGGCAAGATGGGAGGGACGTATTTTGGGATCGAAAGGTCAGTACAGTCATCTGGTACGTTTGCAGCCATTACTTGTCCCCAGTCATCCGGGTCTACCCATTTGCTGTTGATCTTGATCCATCCGGCGTCCTCGCACTGCTTTTCTCTTCCAAGCTCGATGAGATCTTCATCCGTTAAACTTTTTACCCTGGCCCAATCATCCTTACTCAGATATACTGGGAGTTGTGCAGCTTGCCAATGAGGATTAAGTCCTTCAATAGGATACAGCTTCTTCCACGCTGAGTATGGTAGGTTGCCAACATGGCCGCCGTGTAGTGGGCGTCGCTTAGATGTTCTTGGCGATTCTGGGTGCTGGGGAAGAAGTTCTTGCGAGGGCAATGGATCGGGTTGTTGAAGGGGATCCCAGAAGTAGATCTTCTCGGGGTCTGGTTCAGCCATTCTAAATATTGTAAGTTTTGTGAATTACGAAGTTCATATAAAGACACTGACTCCTCGTCTAGATCGGCCTCCCCTTGACCATAGAATGGAACGGATACCAACACCGGATCTTGATTGACAAAACGCGACGGATTCTGGTAAAGAGCACAATGCAACCGATCGCAGTAGAGTGGCGCACGATACTTCCCAGTCGTACCTCGCATGGCGGCATATGCTTGGATAGTCTCAAGTGTAATTGGGATACGAGGGTGAAAATTGAAGGAATCCTTTGGTTCCACGGAAACCCAAACTCCCTTGTTGTCGTAGAAACCCACCTCGAAGGTCTTTCGCCACTCCCCATTGTGATCAACGAAGCCTGGTTCATAGAACACCTTTTGCACGCCGAGTTTCTTGTCCGAGACCGAGGGCTCTGAAGGCGCGGTACGGATTGGTGATATAGGCTCCATGGAACCGCGTCTCAAAAAATGAGACGAAGCCATTTTTGTGTCGATGCCCCTTTGGTATTCAGGTGTCGTATTGGTGCAATATTGTTTTGCTTCGTCGTTCTGTTTATAACTCGTTTGTCTTCACACTTTGTTTTCTATTCTCTGATATACCCTGTTGGCTGTTTTTAATTCTCCCAATGAGACGCGCTCTGGTTTATTCACCTTGTCTATTCTTCAATCCTTTGGCCTTTCTGAAGGTGAATTGGTATTCACGGAGAAGTCTATTGGGATATACCTAGAAGCAAGAGGGTCAGCGCCAGAGCGAAGGTGAAAGAGAAAGGGATTGCTGAAAAGCGCGGAAGCAAAGAAGAATCAAGCTTGCTGTGGAGATCTAGGTCTTGTGAAAGCGATTGTTGAATTGAGGTGTAGTAGAAGGAAAGAGATCTCTCCAAGCGCACTCTGTGTTTGCGATGCGTGCGTTGGAAAGGTGGAAAGTTGGAGAGGTTGTGGGCAGAAGATTTTGAAAATATTGCGTCCATCTTGAGGGGTTTAGATAGCACTAGTCTTTATCTCTGGCCAGTCTCTATGCTTGGGGATTGTCAACAGGAGGTTTTGGTTAGAGCGGCAACTGTTGCCGACTAAGCGAGCTCAGGCGAGTACCATGGATTTGGCCATACTATCATTGTCGCCAGCACAATCAAAAAGCTCAACTCCAGCCGGCCGAATATAACCCGCAGACGCTAGTTCAATTGATGCACAAGGACATCATAGGGCTGAATGTAGAGAACTGATTATCACATTGTCTGGAAACCAAACATCTATTTCCTATACATGTTGTACCTCAACGCAACACCACTGCAAAGCCATACCAGCTCAACAGACCAAGCTTGCGCGCACACTAAGGTCAGCAGCGTCAGACAACAATATGGCTTAAAGCAGCATCAAACGCACAACGCCCTGTCAAAACACACTATCGCACTGTCAACAATCAGTATCAATACTTTGAAAGAAACGTCAAGAGACCACAAATAATTTCCATCATGAGACAATTCAAATACCCACAACCACAAAACGGCACTTTTTCTCTACTTATTCTAATTCAGCCAACGCTCCTATCTTTTATGTTTTGTCTGAGGTGGTGAAGTGTACCAAGACATTGACATTGACGCGTTCGGCTAAAAGAAAACGTGACTATCATCACGTGTCACCCCTCAACCTTTAACAACTCATCAAACCATCAACCCAAAAGCATACACCAACCATCACACCACACTCTCCAAACCCCCATCCTCTTACCAAACCAATTCAACCATCTCAACCATCAAGTCCTACATCCCAACCAATCCCCATCTCACCACACCACCAAGCCAAGCCACGCAAACTCACATCCGACCTACTCCATCCTACGCATCAAAATGTCATCAACATCCAGTCCCTCATCCCGCGCTCGATTCAGCTCCTCAATCCCAGATAACCAGCACCCGACACCGTTCTTCACATCACAGATGCAGGATCGGCAGGCGAGGAATAAGAACCCTTATGCTAGTGATGATGATAGTGATTTTGATTCGGGGGGTGGACGGTATGATGCGTGAGTTTTGTGTTCTCTCTTCTCTTTTCTTTGGGGGTCTTTTTGTCTGTGTTTTTTGGAGGAGTCTTCCGGGTTTGGAGTATGATATTTGGGTTGTGCGATTCTTTCTTTTTCTGTTGGGTCTGCGAGGGGGAGGAGATGGTTGGGAGGTAGTACGAAGTGTACCTCAACTATCTCCGTCAAGATAGGAGGGACATGACTTTCTTCCTCCCAAAACGATATCAACTTTCAAATCCCTGTTCATTCAATCTCATACTTCTAAATTTCCATATACGTTGTCTACCCTTCTATCCATCTAAAGCTTCATTTCTCTTTCTCCACCCCATTCAAGTCCTAGAAAACAAATCCATCCCCCGTCTCATAAAGCAAAAAGAAAAAAACACTAACAAAAAACACAGCTACAACGCCGACTCCTACGCAGCAACCCAACTCCGCCGAGACGCAGCCATAAAGCTCGACTCCCCAGAACTAGTAATGATGCTAGCCCAAGCTCGAAACGACGTATTTCCCCCTTCCTCCCCATCTCCCATCTCCCATCCCCCCTTTCCCCCTTCCTCCCACCCCATTACCCTCCCAACTAACAAACTAACACCCCCAAGTCCGTCCCATCAACCCGCAACTACCTCACAAAAATCCTCTGCGGCCACCTCACCCAACCCGACATCGACGCCGAGCAAGCCGCCGAAGCACAGCGAACCGCCGCCGCCGCGCAGAGAGTCTCCACTGGGCATAGTGAGAGAGATGCGAGGGCGGGAGAAGGGAGGGGGATGATGAGAGGGAAGAAGGTTGGTGGTGGGGGGAGTGGGAGTGGGAGTGGGAGTGGGAGTGGGAGTGGGAGTGGGTTTGGAGGAGGTAGTGCTAGTGCTAGTGGTAGTGGTAGTTAGGTGGTGTTTGTTGTTTGGTGTTTTTATAGAGATTGGGATTGAGTCTGGTTGGTTGGTTGTTTTTTGTAGGTTGATTATTGAAATTGCTGAGTAGGGAGCGCGGTTAAGTAGTTATAGGTGCTTTGAGGAATAGGAGTTGTGTGTTGGTAGATTATTACTTTCACGATTTGATCTTTGACGGTTTTTCATTGCAACGCTAAGATTCTTTTTCAATACTCGCAAGATCAAGAGAAGGAGCTAGTACAATGTAATACATTATCTTACAGTACAGTACAACTCCTTCCCTAAAACACGTATTAAAATCCTAGTAAGTCTATCTACTCTTGTTACTATTATATAGGCTAATAAGATACCTGTATTTATAGTCGGTATTTTATATTTTATATCTTAACTACTTATTCTTATTTTAATAGGTTCTATATCTACTATAAGTACTACTTACTACTATAATACATTTCTACCGTACCTTTCTTTTTCTTTTTATATCTAGCGTAGTAATACTTCTAATTAAATACTTAACCCGACTCGAGTAGTACTTAAGTTAAGTTAAATAAGTATAATTAGGTAATTCCGTTAAGTTAGGTTAAGTAGTAGATTAACTATTTAAGTAATACTCAAGTAGTTATATAAAACGTAACTAAACTATACAGAGATCATATCCCTATGCTCTAAAGTTATAAAGGGTCTAGATAGCTTAGGTCTCTCTAGCCCCCCTCGCGCGCCCCCTCCCTCTTCCCCTCTTAGTTACTTTCTAATATACCTCTCTACAAATCGAACAATCCAATTAGCTAAGAGGGTTATATTATAGGCTTATTATACCCTGCCTATAACAAATTGTATATAGGGTAGGGGGCGACTAGAGCTATCTAGAGCCTTTATTAGCTCTAAGGCAGGGGCACTCGGCTAAGTTCTATATACGTAGGCGGACCGACTGTCCGGAGTCGGCCAGCAAGCGCGGGCGCGCTACGGGGCATCGGGCAGATAGTACTCGAGTTACATATACGTTAATCGAGTACTTAGCGAGTTAAGTTGATTAGTGGTTTTAACTACTCGAGTTAAGTTAAGTACTACTTCCTACTATACTATATTCCTACCCTTTCTTCCCTTTTCCTTTTATATCTACTATTTACCATCCATCATCCCTATTTAAACCCCAATCTTACACAATACACACAACAACCATATTTCCAGCAAACTCAAACAGCGAGCTATAAATCTACGTACTCTATTCCTATCTATTCTACCTTTCCCCCCCTTCCCCCTTCCCTCTTCCTTCCTTCCTTTTTTACTCATTTACTCCCTTCCCTCCCCCTACTTTACTTAAAAAATTAAAATGTGGAAAGAGAAGAATAAAGTATACCAAAGTACATATACTAATATATATCAAGATATCACACACACACACACAAAACATAGCTCTTATAAATAATTTAGAAATGTATACCTTTATAAAGAAAGGATATTTTGGAGCTATTCCTGAAGTATACAAGCCTTATGGAGAAGACTTATATTATTACGATGTGAACTCTTTATACCCTTATACTTCTTTAAATGACATGCCCGGATTAATTTGTACTTTTATAGATTTTATTGATAAGAGTCCTAATATAGATGAATTATTTGTTTATTATTATTGTGATATAGAATGTACAGATAATTACTTAGGGTTATTACCGTTTAGAACATCTGAAGGATCTGCGATATTACCTAACGGTAAATGAAGTGGTGTATATTCTACCATAGAACTTAAGCTAGCAATTTCTAATGGATGTAAAATTAAGGTTAGATATGGTTATAGTTTTAATAGAGAAGTTGATGTTTTTAAAGATTATGTAGAGGATTTATATGAAACTAAATCAGAGTCTATGGATAATGTTCATAGAAATATAAGTAAAAGTTTACTAAACAACTTACTAGGTAGGTGAGGGATGAGTATAGTTAAGCCTATTACATGTATTTTAGATCATAAAACATTAGACGAGCTAGGTTTGACTCGAGTTATTATAAATACTATCCCTATAAGTCCTGATTCTAACTTGGTAGCATTAGAAGGTATAGTATCTAAAGAGGTATGTGAAGAATTTGGTCAGGATTATATAGAAGCTTTGGAAAAAGATTACAAAATTAAAGCTTTAAATAAAGTGAAAAAATTCACGAGTGTTAATGTCGCTATCAGTGCCACAGTTAATTCATATGCTAGAGTTTATATGGCAGAACTTAAATTAAAGTTATTAAGTCTAGGGTATACAATATATTATACAGATACAGATAGTATAGCTCTAGATAGACCACTAGATGAAAGTTTAGTAGGACCTGAGTTAGGTAAATTTAAACTAGAGCATAAGATAAAAAGAGGTTACTTTATAAGTTCTAAGTTGTACTATTTAGTTACAGATGAAGGTAAAATAATTGCGAAGGCTAAAGGAGGGAAATCTGATAAGCAAACGGAATGTGATTATATAAAATTATTAAACGAGGAAAATATAAAGGTTAATAAAAGACAATCTAAAATTATATACTCTGAAGGTTCTGTAAATATTTCTGGTGGAGATGTGACATTTAAAGGAAACGCTTATAAAAACAGAATTAAAGTATATGATGATAAAGGTAAATGGATAAATACAAAGGCTCATTATATAAATTTGGTAGACGATGACATTAATGCTAAGGATTCTGATAAATAAATACGTGCCGGATCAAATGCGGATGTGCTATGTATTAGGAGAGAGAATAGCTGGTTATAGAAGGAGCTTTACCATTGACTAAATAAGTTATAAAGCGTAAAATACTGTAACGAATACTCAAACTGGCTAACTAAACTTGGCTGGGTGTTCGCTGGTTGGTATGCTATGATAAGAAGCAGACTATCGGGTTGTTCACTTGGAAGTGAACTCGTTACTTGTATCAAAGATGTCAAACTAATATGATAAGATTGATAACTAAGTTGAGCACGAAGCTCCTATCTAATGGCAGACGTGTCAGTCTTATATAGAACCTTCGTTCTCTTTGATACTACCATGGAATGTCAGATCGTCTAGAGTCGCCGCGATCTACTTTGGGTCGCTACGACTCCCTATGATCCCTAGGTCACATGACCTAGACCCCGTGAAATCCTTGGGTCGCTTCGAAGGCCACCAGGCCTTCTATTCGACCCTTCTGCCTATATGAAAGAGTATGAATCCTCGGGGTTCTCCTGTCGTCACCACGGACGTCTGAGCATAAGGTTCCCTTGATTCACGTGTTCGTGACAAATACCCTTACATCCTAGGATGTAAGGGTATTTAACGGCATTTAGTTACTTGGTCAACTAATTTAAAACTAAATAATTGCATAGATAGCTTTCTTATTTTTCATTGCATCGAAAATAACCTCGAAATCTGAGACGTCTTTAATAATAAATCTACATCTGGATACTTATACTCTTTATCATTGTAAATTATATACTTAGCTTTAGTAGGATTATCTTTATTATCTACGAATTTAATTTGATTACCTAAGGTAAGATTCATGTGATCTATAATACATTTATCAAATATTTTTAAGTATTCTTTATCTGAATATATATCTAAGTAAACACTTTGTAGTAGTTCAATTAAAGTTTCCACAAAAGGTATAGGAACTGCATAACAATCGTGTACTGTGAATATGCATTTATTTACTGAAATATATCTATTATATAACGCAGTAAGAGATGCAGCGTCTAATGAATGAATTAAATTAGGCATTAAAGCTCTAATTTGTTTATTTTTATCTAAGTTGTCTTTATCTATAACTTATGTCTAACTGTAAAGGATTTTTTTCTTGGCATCAAAAGGTTTAATCTGAACTTTTTTATCTGTAAGATAACTTTGATCAACCCTTAAACCACTTGGTAGAGTTCATGGTATAGTCAGACTAAGTTTATTACAAATTCGCCCTACTTCACTTAAATATAGTCTTAATTTAGCTAATTTAGGATAATCGTTCTTTAACACATCTTTCATAGCAGCAACTACAAGTAAAAAATCATCCTCCATTAGGTATTGGTTATGATTAGATTTGTTATTACGTATGTACATTCTTTCTTTATATTCTTCCAATCTCTTCGACGGGTCGTATATATCTTCTTGACCGAAGTCAGGTTCGTTTATACAATAACAGGAAGCCTTTAATGAACCAGCTGATTTAATTAAAGTAGCATTATATGATTCTATCATAACAGATTTTTTTATTAAAGACCTGTCAGGTTTAAAATCTATTATACGTATATACCCCTCTAATTTAACAGAATCTACCTCTGTATCACTTTGGTATAAATTAGTTAAAGTTTGTGTAATTTTATTTATTAATAAACCGTAGAAATCCTTAGGTACATCCTCTTTTTTACTTGACATTAAATTAAGATTTTTACCCAGGTCATTATCTCTAGATAACATGGCAAGATGTTGGTATCCGTTACATGTGGCGTCTAATTGTATAGGTAATTGTGTATACACAAACCAAACTTTTTCCTCTTTAATTACATTTTGAATTTTGATATATTCTAGTGCAAATGCTATAAATAAAAACTTATTATTAGCTTTACTTAGTAATAGTGTATTATTTTTAAAGTTCATAATATTCTCGTGATTATCCTTAACCCATTCCACTTTTTTAACTCTAGATTGTTTATCCAGTCCATTACCGTAACAATTAGCTCCATAGCTATAAAAATATTCTAAGCTACTATCGTCATTTAAATATAGTTTACTTTTATCGCTAAATAATAATAAAGCCTTTGCTAACTCCCTCCCTTGATAATTTAAGTACAAAGGTGTACAATATATTCTCCCTCTTACATCTAATCTAATAGGGAAATATAATCTATCGTAATTACGATAGATATTCGCTATATTTAATATATGACTCTCTAAATCATACTTACTAAAAGACGCTAAAGACTCTCTATAGTCAGATTTATTCTTTTTAGATTTCAATCGTAATATAGCATCGTCAAATAATCCTACCCTAGGATCTAGTAACAATAAATTATTCATACGACCATATTCGTCTAAATAATCTAAAACGACTTTATTTATACAAAATGGGGTAGAACTAACTCCATTAATCATATTATACATAGATTCATTATTAATTTGAGATTTATGTTTAAAATGAGGTTTATTTATGATCACTGTTTTCCGATATTCACTATCGTTTAACAGGTAACCACCTAAAGAATTGGATGTGTATTTTTTAGGTTCTTCTACCATAGGTAAATATAAAGGTGTAGGTTTGAAAGTTTTAATATCATCACCTAATTGACTTAAAACTATAGAGTTAACACCTAAAATATAAGTAGTTTTACTTTTAGTGATACCATCTAAATAAGAAGTTAATATATCATGGTCTATTAGCAATTCAATTAAAACACCTCCACAAGAAGCTGTATAGGTATTAACATTTATAGAATCTACATCAAACAATTTAACTAAACAATCCTTATTTTCTAAAACTCATGTATTAAATCCTAAATAATTACCACCTTTTCTAGATTCTTTGTATATTAAATATAAATTTTTAAGTACAATATTAAATAATCTCTTACCCAATTTAATATTAAGCTGTAACTGAATACAAACCTCAGGGTTATCTTTATTAGAAATAACCGTAATAAAAATAGAGATTAATAAATTAGCAACCTGCTCAGGACCTACCAACTTTAAAATATATGCTAATCTAACATCCATTAATTTCCTACTAAACTCATTAGAAGATTTCTGATTATATTTATCCATTAAATATTGTAATTCACTCCCCTCAATTAGGTCTTTCATACGATTTTTAGACATATTTTTAAGACTTTGTATTAATTTTAACCTACAAGATATAAGTCATTTTCTATTTACATCATTACCCATACCATAGTCATTTACACCGTTAGTACCATACATCTCAACTCATTTTTCTATATAATCTAATAAAGCCGTTTCAGATTCTAGCTGAGTCATATGAGGTCTAAAAGGTTTATTATTAAGAATATCATTTAAAATTTTATAATACCCTTGAATATATAGATTACCTGTAGAGTTAATAGAAGGGGTAGAAAAATATCTACTTCTAAGCTCTATTTGTTTTTTATTATATTTACCACCTTTTCTAGATTCTTTGTATATTAAATATAAATTTTTAAGTACAATATTAAATAATCTCTTACCCAATTTAATATTAAGCTGTAACTGAATACAAACCTCAGGGTTATCTTTATTAGAAATAACCGTAATAAAAATAGAGATTAATAAATTAGCAACCTGCTCAGGACCTACCAACTTTAAAATATATGCTAATCTAACATCCATTAATTTCCTACTAAACTCATTAGAAGATTTCTGATTATATTTATCCATTAAATATTGTAATTCACTCCCCTCAATTAGGTCTTTCATACGATTTTTAGACATATTTTTAAGACTTTGTATTAATTTTAACCTACAAGATATAAGTCATTTTCTATTTACATCATTACCCATACCATAGTCATTTACACCGTTAGTACCATACATCTCAACTCATTTTTCTATATAATCTAATAAAGCCGTTTCAGATTCTAGCTGAGTCATATGAGGTCTAAAAGGTTTATTATTAAGAATATCATTTAAAATTTTATAATACCCTTGAATATATAGATTACCTGTAGAGTTAATAGAAGGGGTAGAAAAATATCTACTTCTAAGCTCTATTTGTTTTTTATTATAACCCCCAAAATAGACAGCAGTCGCTTTAGTTACTAAACCACGCGCAGGGGAGATACGACCAAGTGATAATGCATTAAAACCAGCGGACGCAACTAAACTCCTTTTATTTCATCAGCGTGACCCTGACCCCGTTAAAAGACAAAAACTCGGTGTACCTTTCATTCCTAGGGTCGAAAGGTCAATACTCCCATTTTTATTTAATTTATTTAGTTTTACCATAAGACTAGTAGAGATTTGCACTCTATACAAATATAAAATACAAGTGATAAACTAGATCCAGTCATTTTTGTTTTCACAATCTAGACTTGCTTATTCTGGCCTCACACCTTGGGGGATTCTTTTGTATCTCTCGCTAGCCTGTCTTAACATACGTAAATACTCTACTTCAAACCCAGATTCTTCTAAACTTCACTTCTCTCCTATTACTAATCTTAAAAACTCTTCTTCCGAAATTATCAATACAACTTTCAACAACGATATAAAATATTTAGAGTATTAAAGGTGTTAACTGAGAAAGTGGTAAAAGATTTTAAAGTTGGGGATAACGGTGGCGGCGAAAAGACGTTCTCTACTGTAGTAGATAAAAAGAGAAGAAAGAGGGGAAGAGGTAAAGTTTCATCTCCTTCTATAAGAAAGTTAACAAACAATATGAAATCTAGTGTATAACCCCCCAAACCCATTCCCAAACATGCCCTTAACATATATATACCCCCTAATCCCCCAATCCCCAAAATCTCACAACTCCAACATCCCAACATCCCAATCTCCCTACCTACATCCCAACCAACCCAACAGACGGACAAACAAAAACAGACCAGACCTACCTAACCGACCTACCTAACACAGAGACCCAACATTCTATAGAACGACAGAACCCCAATCGAGTACAATCACACACACACAATCACACACTCAAATCCATCTATCCATCCATCCATATAAAAATCCATCCATGTAGAAATCCCCACTACTAGTACAGTACCATCTAATTAATAAATTGATTGATTGATGACACAACACCACCAGATACAACACCTATAAACATAAACTCCCAAAGAAACTCAAAACCTCGATAAAAAGGCAGCTTCATAAATAAATACATTACCCCTCCCATCCTAAAAGAGGTGGGGGCGAGGAGGAGGGAGGAAAAGAACAAGCCATGTGTATGTAAATGTATATTATCCATTTTCTCATTTAGCCCCACAACAAAAATCCTTGTGGTGGAAAAATTGATATATACACTTTCTTTCACAACTAACCCCTCCCTCCTCCCTCCCTAATCCCATTCCAAATCCACTACACCGCACCACCATCCAGCCTTCCATACATACAACAATCCCCCGTTCCCAAGCTTCCTCTCAACCCCCACAGACACACAACAAAAAATCTCATTGTACTGCCATGAATTACCAAGGGGGGTGTGTACCTCTCTCCTCTCTGTATGCTCTCTCTTCCCTCTTCATCTTCTTCATCCGACTCTTTTTCCAAATACTATATGTAAAAATGCCCATTTTCGCCAAAGAAACAAAAACGCCGGGCCCCAGAGCATGTGGGAAACCAAAACAAAAAAAGGAGGAAGGAAAAACACCGCCAATGTATGAGACTGGTCCTTAAACCCCAGGGACTTCAAAAGGGGTCTGTAAAAAACGAATATCCGGAAAAGAAAAGAAACCCCCAGAAAAAGGAAGAAAACGCGCTTCGCTTGCTTGCTTGGTCGCCAAAAAAACACAAAATCATGCATATCGAATCGAAGGCTGAGGTCGCCACCCAGGCTGCGCTGGTTGCCATCGCCCATCATTCCCCCAATGTCCTCCGTCTGCTTGACTCGGAATTCTCGTCCTCGAGCTTTGCTGTCGCATTCCTGGAGCCCCTTGGTACCATTCTGTTTGTGGTGGTATAGCTTTCGTGGCTCTTTGAACGCGGCTTCGTCTTCTACACCTACCGATGCAACATGATAGGATGGCGAGTAATATCAGACCTCCAATTGCTGAACAAAGAGCGATGACAAGGGTTTTGTTTCTCTCAATCCAACTGGTGATTTCTTTCCTTACACTTGAGCCAGTACATTGACCGTTGGCACATTTTCCTCCTCCTTGGCAGGTTGTACCATCAAGGAAATTCTGTTGCATAGAATAGCAGACATTATTACCAAATTGAGGTGAGGCACATGATATTTGACAGCCTGATGTGGAACAGGCGTAGGTATCATTTCGTGTGGTAAAGGATCCCATAAGGGTTTTGCATTGGGTGTCACGCGAAGTACATTGTCCTGAAGCGCAAGTCAAGGAAGTGGAGTTGCCACATGCGGTACCTAGAGTTTGTTAGTACATCACAACTATCTTGTGGGTTGGGAAGCATACCATCTGGTGCGGTGACATCCGCCGGGCATGCGGCACTAGTACCAGTGCATACCTCAACAGGATCACAAGATCCAGTACTTTCTCGACAAGGCGTACCACTGCCAGCGAATTGACACGAGGAATTACAGCAATCTTCATTGCTAGGGTCGCAGACGGAGTTGGAAGCGAACTTGCAAGTTGTTGGGTTACAACATCTGTTGCCCCTACATCCAGATTCGCCACCACAATCACAATCTTCCCCAGCTTCAACAATTCCGTTTCCACATTGACTTCCAGTAATGGTCGTCACATCCTTATTTGCTGTCAAACAATTCGACTTGACACTGTTCCTTCCCATGGCCGAGCAAATATTACCAATCGAACACGGCGAGAATTTCTGGATGTTTGATCCAGTACTTGGGTTCATGATGAATCCTGCTGCAGCATCACAAGTATTAGCACTGAGAGGGCAACATTGTTGAGCCGAGACCGTGGTTCCATCATTGCAGGTTGACGCTGTGCAATCGTGTACAGCACCAAAGGTGTGACCGGTCTCATGAGCAACCACTTGCCATTCTGTGCTAGTTCTCACCACCACATTGGCTCCACTGACTGTTTCGTTGACATTATTTTGGGTAGCAACCTGAGATGTAGCAACACATGCTTGACCCAACCAAGCGAGTCCGACGGCTGATCCGGTTCCACAAGTACTCAGAAGGGTCCAGTAAGCATTAGTATCAGGGCGTTGACCTCTCCAAGCGGAAAAAAGATTCAGCCTATCCTGAATGCTGACCCTATCACTGCAAGGAACATTCCATGGGGCTCCTGCGTTGGGAACAGCAGGGCAAGCAGCCTCACTAATGGTTAGATTTTGAATTCCCAGGGTGATATTGAAACTGTCCTCGTATTGGGTGGAAGCGAGGTTGAACACACTGATGATATTCCTCCGGACAGCCTCCGAGGAATTAAATCCAGCAGTGTACGTGCAATCCGTTGCAACACCAACCAAAGCAACTCTGCGAGTTGTCGGGCATCCAAATGTTTGTCCGATGGTCGAAGCTAGGTTGACACCAGCGCCATTTCCTCCAAGTTGACCATCAATGGAATCTCGGCCAAAAATGGAACGTTTCGAGGCAGATCCCCAGAATTTGTTTTCCCGCTTTAACATTGCTCGGTATACGGGATGGTCCGCTTGAGTGTTGAAACTTAAACCATCGGCGGAGCAGGAAGGGTTTTGCCCAAGACTTCTTTTCAAATCTCCGTGCATACCCCCATCATCCTCGCTCAATATATCGGAATCTCTCCAGACGATCATATACTCCTTCTCGGGATTTTCGGGGACCGGATCCAGTTCATGCTTCGTCCGCATGTAATGCGTGGTCGTCTGAATATGGTGGTGGTCGCCATCAATGTGGAAAGCCCCTTCGAAAATGGGATCGTTTCCATCGCGATGAAGCATAATCCGAGCCCAGCCGACATTGGACCATTCCGCACCAGGGTGTCGCTGCATCATGGCTTGCCCCTTGAATACTCTATATTCCAATCTATCCAGCGGCTCGGAACGACTTATTCTGCCATCGGCGCCCAAGTAGTTCACGGTCGCTCCATCACCCAATGCATTGTGGTTTGGCTGCATGACCATCTTTATCCTCTGTCGGCCGCCATGTAAATCAAAACTCAGGGAGAAGGTCGATAGCGCATGCGCGCGGTTGAACGGGGTATGTATAACTGCATTTTCTAAAGGTGAAATGTATGATATGGGATTTCTTTGTTGCGAATCGGCTGTGAAGGAGTTGCGATGTCAGTTTCAAATCCCCTGGATGCAGCAATGAGATGAGATGGGTGCGCATACCATTTGTCACTGTCACAAAGAGCGCGCTGACGATTCCCGCCGCTATACTTTGCAATAATCTCATAATCTCGTAGTGTGGTGGTGGGTTGTGTTGTTGGATGCAAGCAACGATCGAGTTCGACGATGGCGTCCCCTTTCAGCTCACGGTAATTATCTTGGTGACCCCGTTGTTCTCATCCGCCAGGCCAGCCTCTTCCACGCGTACTCAAGGAAAGTGAATGGTGTACGAGCAAGGAAGTGGGTTGAAAGCGAGTGAAGTGTGTCGGCCAGCGAGAGACGGGGTGGGAGGGAAAAGGAGAGTGTGTGGTGTTGAGGCGGGAAGTGTGGTGGCTGGCGCGCGAGGTTGGAGACGACCACTCGGGTTCAGTGGTGAGTGTTGGTGCTGTGAACGCTGTGGTGATCAGAGGGTGGCCCTGTTGGAACTTGAATGCGAGGCGAGATGGCCAGCGAGCCAGAGTCAGGTCCTGGACCAAGTGAAACAGGCACTGCGATTGGCAATTGGCGACCGTCTCGTTTTTGTCTTGTCAACGGCGATGGTGTATGCGAGTATGGGAGTGTGAGTGTAGATGAGGTGGAGGTGTAGGACTGATTGTATTATGGTACGAGTAATATTATTGAAGAATTGGGAGGCGGTAGGTGGGTGGTGGGTGGTATGAGTATGAGTCGGTACATGTACTGAATGTGTATGGAGACGAGCATGTACCGAGCACCAGCGAACAATTGGTAAGAAAGAGGTAGGCTGTGCTGCTGTGCCGTGCTCTCCAACGATCACTACTACCACTGTATTACGCGTGCGAGTTGGACGGGAGGTCTAGTCTACTCGTTCACTTACTCAGAAGAGTTTTCTTTGCGAGTCCCTGAGACGGAGACTTTGACTTGACAATTCCCTATTCGGACGATTCCATCCCATCTTCCTTAACGCCCCCCCTTAAATCCGGCTTTGCGTGACGAATCCTCTCTTGGCCGAGTCACTTGCTCCTCTGCTGAGCCGACCAAATTCCTGATCCAAGGACCCAACAGCAATCCACAACCATACAAAAGGCCTCTATGGAGTGGATAAGCTTACTCGCTTTCCGCACTTCTCGCCTCCAACTGGCCGACCAGCGACCACTCGTCCTCAGTCCTGAGGGTACCGAGTATCCAAGAGAGTGGCGAAGCTCAGCAACCCACCCGAATTTCCGAGATCTGAGAGAGACCGACCGGAGACTGGCAGACTGGCAAACTGGGAACTCTGGAGTCTGGAGACGTGCGTGCAAATCATCAGATCAGCCTAAACTTTCTTGCGTCGCTTCGGAATCCGGAACCTGTTCTCTGTATCCTCACATCTGTCTTTGTGGTTCTCTTCTCCATGTTTGGAACATTTCGCTACGAGTACCCACCCGACGCTAAAGAAGGTCCCCGTGACCCCGTCAGAGGTTTGGTATCCCGCGTATCGTTTGAGTTTCACTCTCTTTCTGCTCTGAGTCTAGCAGGATTGAGTGGGGGAGAGGAACGTCAAACCTTCCGTAAAAGATAGACTTTCCTTACCCCAGAAAAAATCACTTTCGGATTTACGGTAGCGGTACGATCATAAAGGGGGTGGACAGTCAATGCTGGACACTGTCACGTAGGTAGACCATATGTGAACAAAGTCTATATCGCCCAGAAATGAGTCTTTGATTCGCTGGTTTAGCTAAAAGGCGGGGCCTAGACCTACTATGATCCGCGACAGTGTCCAGCTTTAACTGTCCACCCCCTTTACTACCTAGTACACCATACCTCGCACAATATCTAGGCACCAGTAAGGATACACATAAAAAAGACATCAAAAATAAATTTAGGTTGGCACCTTCATAGAAACCTTCCCATCTTCCCCTCAAACTCCAATATATTATACAGTATCCATGTAACCAGTTAACAAACAATCCACCCGAACGGGCCACTAAATGGTTTGTTAAGGCACCGAAAAAAGAAACAAAACATCCTGCAATCCCATCAATGTCCGAAAGCTTAGGGTCTCCCAGTCCACACACAAAAATCTCAACCTCCCCCCCTTCCCCCCACACCCAAAAAGGACCCCTCTCTTTCCCCCCTATGTACTTCAAAATAAAAAGGGTAAAAACGTCCATCAGCCCTACTCCAAACCCCCATCCACCCGCGGCTACTCGGTATTCACGACTCTCCCTCCCTCTCCCCTCTCCTCACTACTACACACTCCACAATACTCCGTAGCCTACCGGTAATACAGCACACGTTCACAACACAGCCACCCCGGCCGCGTAATGATGCTTACAATTCCAATTCCAATTCCCATATCCCACCTTACGGTACCTCCCGCCTTCTAGAAGCACCTTGGGCCTTGGCTCTCTCCTCTCTTGTATCTAATTGGTTCTATGTTTTCCATTCTGTTTTTGTGTTTTGTGTCCCGTGAGTAGTAAATCTTACCGGGATTTGTTGTTGTTGGAGCTTAGGTTTGTTGATATAGGTAGGGGTTGTTTGTCATCCCGAGGTACCTTTTAACTTCCACCTTCTAACTTTCTAGAGAGAATAGGTAGGTAGGTACTGGTAAGTAGATGTAAAAAAGTACTGTAGTATACAGAGAGATGATGTGGAGATAAGAATATGTTAGGTAATGAGTAATTACCTACCCTATGTAGTTCTAGTACATACTCTATCCGTATCTTACATGTAAAGTAGAAATAGAAATCGACCTGTTTCTTGAAGTAAATATTAAACCTAGATGTAGGTATCGGTACTGGTGCTAGTATCTGTATTCCACACTTCCCCTCCTCTCCTCTCTTCCTTTCCACCTTTCCGCCTTTCCTTCCATCTCTCAGTAGTGGCGTAAACTTCTCCTGTCTTGTTTTGTCTTATCGTTGGCATGCCATCGCCACATATACAGTTAGCTGTCCTCACTCACTCACTCACTCACTCACTCATCCAAGAATCCCGAATCCCCCCTCTCAAAAAACTTTCTCTGCTCTCATAAACAACAAAGTCCCCCCTCCCTCCTCCCCGCCCCACCTGAAGAAAAAGGAGAAGAAAGGTCAGGTCGATCGAACGGTATCATTCCTCCTCCTCTTACTATACACTATCGACACCACCAGGAGCGTTACTTATCACCTGTCATATCCTGGCTTGCTTGTTTCCATTTCGTCCAATCCATCTAGTCCGTCCGTCCAGTTTCCCAAAGATATAGGCTAGGTTAGCTAGGTAGTTATTCAGTATCAGCATCTAGACTTACAAAAAAAAAACCTCCTACATCCTGAAAATACCATAGAAGTAGTACCTACCTTCCCACCTTCCCACCATTATAGCTAATATATATCGTCCATCTCTCAGCATAGGTAGTGCCGTAGTAGCCCTAATAAAAAGCCATTCCAAACATTTGCCTCATAAAAACCATCATCTCAAAGCTAAAGTAAAGTAAAGTAATACTCGCGTATCATATGATATAAGTACTCTATACGCTTTATCTTTTCAAAAAAGAAAAAAGACTTTACTATTCTTTAGATACGTAGTTAATAGAATACCGAAGAGTAATAAGGTATATATATATCCTAGTCAACCTAAGGGATATACCTATAGGATAATCAAGTTCAAGATCTATAAATCTAAGTAACAGAACTCTCTCCCAGAGTTCACCACGTTCTTCTTGCTCTAACTATAAATGGAAGCTAAGTTCGATAATCGATATGCGGGGCTAGAGAGATGCGCTTTTCTAGCCATTTAGTCAGTTACTACAAGGTCGATCTGGTCTTTTAATTTGCGATGGGTTAGGTTTGAGAACGCAGGGACGCGCTACCTATCTATCGAGAGAAGAGCGAGGTTGTGCGTCTCATTTATTCGCAGTTGATTTTGGCGGTTACAAGTATTTGAGGAGATATACAATAATAGGGTGTTAAAGATATCTAGAGTTTCGCCTAATTAACTGTCTTATTCTACACCTAATACATCCTCCCACCCTATCCCCTTCTCAATCACATCCTACTTCTCACTATAATCCCCCCTCGCCCACCCCCTCAAAACATTCTTCTTCACCTTCCCCGTACTAGTCTTNTTATTCTACACCTAATACATCCAGCCACCCTATCCCCTTCTCAATCACATCCTACTTCTCACTATAATCCCCCCTCGCCCACCCCCTCAAAACATTCTTCTTCACCTTCCCCGTACTAGTCTTCGGCAACTCCCCCACAACCACCACCTCCCTAGGAACCATAAACCGACTAATCGCACTCTCTTTCTTCGCCCACTCCACAACATCCTCTCCCTTCAATTCCTGCCCACTTTGTAACGTAACAAAAGCCACCGGTCTCTCCCCCCACCGCTCATCCGTCACAGCAACAACCCCCGCCTCCAACACACCAGGATGCTGCACCAGCATAGCCTCCAACGCAACCGAAGAAATATTCTCACCCCCCGAAATAATAATATCCTTCGCCCGATCCAGAATCTGCGCACTCCCATCCGGATGCCAAACCGCAAGATCGCCACTGTGAAGACCACCTCCCGCAAAGAGCTTTTGAGTTGCGACGGGGTCTTTAAGATATTCCTTCGCGCAGATATTACCAAAGAAGAGGATCTCGCCGATTTCCTTGCCGTCTTTGGCGACGTCGATAAGGATCCCTTCGGAGGCTTGCTCGGGTTTGACGATACGGATGGGCAGGCTGGGGAGGAAGCCGTGGCCTTGACGGGCCATGCGGGTATATTTTTCTTTCAAGGGGAGGGTTTCCCAGAGGGGCATGTGGTAGCCTTTTGTGATGGGGCCGTAGGTTTCTGTGAGGCCGTAGACGTGGACGGGGAAGAGGTTTAGGTTGGTCATTTGTTCGAAGAGGTGGGCGGTTGGAGGGGATGCGGCGACGGTCACGCGGACGGGGTGGTCTAGTTTGATGGCTGCTTTGGAGGCGCAGAGGATGGTATTGACGGTTGGTGCGGCGTTGAAATGTGTAATTTGTTCCTCTTTGAGGATTTTCCAGATTAGAGGGTAGTCTATTTTTCGGAGACAGTAATGGGTTCCTCGAACTGCTGTGACTGCCCAAGGAAAGGCTAAGTTCATTAGAATAGGTTTATAAACTGTCTGATGTGGGATTTCACTTACTCCACTAAATTAAAAGTTAGCTTTTAACATAGTACATGTCGGATTAGGAGATACTTACACCCATAGCATGAAACATTGGCAAGGTCCACAAGTACCTACACCGTCCAACATTATAATTCAATCCACTCTCAATGACATTACCCAAAGCCGCCAAATAAGCACCTCGATGAGTATAAACAACACCCTTTGGTTTCGCCGTCGTTCCACTAGTGAAAGGAACAGCAATGGTATCGTTTTCATCCTCGCATTGAGCTTCCAAGCCAGCCCATCCCTGATTCCCATTCTGCTTGTCGTAATTCAGTCCTTCCAGGGTGGCCTGATCAAAAGGACCTGATAATGGACCTTCTGTGGCGTCTGTATCGGTGTCAACTATCACGGGGACATGTGGGTGGCTTTTCTTGTAATCATCTAAGAGGGGAGTAAACTCGTCATCAACAATGATAATGTCTACCTGTGAATATGATCAGTCACCTTTGATACAATTCAACTTCAGGACGGATCCTAAGTTCTTAAATGGGAACCTACTTCAGCAAAGTCAAGGATATAAGAAATGTCTTCCGTTTTGAGCCTGTAGTTTACCGGAACTAAATGAGACTCAGATCAGCGCTTCCATCCCACAATTCCGAAGGCTTTGGAATGAAATATGAAAATAATCAAACCACTGAAACACCCAGTTATTCATTAGAGGTTTGTATGTTGGGAAAGCACTAACTCAGCTCAAACACACCCCATACCAAGGCCCAAGAGAATATGAACACAACCCCCAAGGAAAAACATCTCGTTCAACCCCTCAAAGCAAATAGCAAAGCCGGAGTTGAACGAAAAAAGTAAGGAAAAAGTAATACTACACCCGAAGAGGAATGAGCGGATGAGGCTCCATCAGGTCCCACAAAAACCAGCAGTAACCAACAACCGACTGACTACCTCACCCTCTTCCTCTCCCACATCAAACCACCAAAACTCCTCAAAATCAACAATCCTCAAAACCAACAGTCCTCAAAACCAACAACCCTAATAACCAACCCCAAGGAACAAAAAAAGAAAAACATAAAAGAAAAGAAAAAAGAAATCCACATACCACAAACCCCACCCCCCGCCCCAACCCCAAAAACACACTCCAAAAAAGCCGGCGTATTCGGCATCAGTAAACCCACCCTCTTAGATCCCCTCCCCTTAAAAAAGAACGCCAGCCCCCTAGCTCTCTCCGCGAACCCCTCGTACGAGCGTCGTAACGTCTTCCCATTACTAGTCACATGGTAGATGGCAGGAGCATCGGGTTCGATCTCCGCGGCGCGGGGGAGGAAGAAGGTTGGTGAGAGCTGGTGGATGTGTGGTTGTGATGGTGACGGGGAAGAGGAAGAGGATGAGGATGAGGGGAGGAAGTGGGAGGTTAGGGCTTGGAGACGGGTTGTTGGTGGGGACATTGTTTTTGCTTTGTGATTTCTGAGGTCTTTTGGGTTTTGGAGATGGGTTGAAGGACGTTGAGTTCCTCAGAGTGAGAATCGAGAGCTGGTAGTGGTATATGAACCGAAGAGTTGATACTGAGATGAGGTGGTTGCCAGACTCGATGATGTGGTACAAGAGTACTTGATGGTTACCTCGCGGAGCTCGATATGGATACGTAATCCAAACTATCCTTCAATGGGTGAAGTCTCTGCCCCTACACCGGTACTCGTCAGCAAATACCAAATATCAAATGAGAGAATCGTCAAAGTAGAAAAGAAGTCCAACAACTCAAAGGTCACAGTAAGTCCTGTCATCCGTCCTCCTACTCGTACTTATGTACCTATCAACTCGGCGGGCGGGAAGCTATACTGTAGTGCCGATCCCTGCCGTCCGCTGTCAATGCCGCCCTGATCCTCGGCACCAGCCGGTAATGGTGAGCCAAGTTCATGACTACCGGTATTACTAATAGCGGTATCGGGCTCCCATTATGAAGTCGAGATATAAACTCTGTTGATGGAGTTGGAGATGTCAGGAGGGTCTACGCCGTCATTGTGCATGTGTGGGGACAATCAGGGATTTGGCCATGCTGGATGTACATAAGGGTGTACTCGAGTGCATGGTGGAAGGGTTGCATAAATGCTTGGGTAACGAAGAAAGAGCATATACGGGGATCCGTTAGCCAGAATTCCAGTGTCTCAAAGGGGCTATCGCTTAACCGTTTCTCAAGTCAAATCAAAACCAAAAAACACTTTAACTCAAGTAGGTAAAATGGCCCAAGTAAATCAACTGGGCAAGGGCATTAGATGGGATTCTGTGTCATTTGATATCAGCTGTAACTTGATCATTCTCAATTTCATTAACACCAAAAACGCCCCGGCCATTTTTATTCTTGATTGTGAATTCATTTCCCTATGAGCGGCATGCAAGACGAACGCTTATACACAGCAGAGGCCCAAAGCTTTTCATCAGCGCTCTTTTTCCGATGATAGCGACCCTCCATTCCGTGCCAAGTTTGTTTCGTAGAACCAGCCTTGAGATATTTTCCCAATTTGGGTAGAACAAAGCGTTGACGAAGTTGGTGTTGAAAAGGAAAATTATCTTCAGTCCAGAGAGCCAACAACCACCCAAATACCCCGAAAAATGCAAATTCGTAATATTTAGTAGCCGTACTCAGCCAACTGCTTCTGGGTCTTCTCGTCAACCTTGGCGCTCTTTGTGGCGTCTGAGAGTTGTTTTCGTGCGGTCTTCTTGCGGGCGTAGTATGCGGCTCCCTTAACCTTTCTTCTCTCCTCAAGTCTATTCTGAATTAGCACTTCATCCTAACCTCCAAACGTAGCTCAGCAATCCAACTAACCTAGCAACAACATCCTGGTATTTCCATCCGACCTCGTGGCTCAATCGACCAACGGTGCAGTATTTGCGTCCAGGCTTTAATCTGAGAACTCTCAAGGCTTGGGGAACAACAACACGCTTGACGTGGTCGTATGGTGGTGGGACACCCTCGAAAACCTTGAGTCTCTCCATAGCAGCGGCACCACGGGCGGTCTTGTGGGGAATCATTCCACGGACGGTCTTGTAGAAGATTCTTGATGGGGCACGGAAATGGAAAGGACCTGTGGTGAATTAGACACCAATTTCATATATTCCAGATCCGCAGTTTCTGCAAAATCTAGCAGATGGAGATATCTTACCTCCTCGGGTTGGGTTGTATCGGGTCATCTTTCGGAGGTAGGCGTGGTACTTTACTGTAGTCGAATTTAAGTCAGCCCTTCAATTCCTTTGCGCCAATTCAAATCCACCACGTTCAAATCGATTATGCCGATGTAATTTGGAAAAGAGGACGTACGCTTCGCACGGAAGAACTCTCCAGAGATGTTGAGGGCTTCACATCGCACAACAACAATCTTTTGGCCGTTCAAGAGTTGCTTAGCAACGGTACTTGCGAGCCGACCAAGCAAGTGACCCTTGCCATCGATGACAATCTAATTAACGCAATCTGATCAGCTTCCGTTCTTTCAAGGGCCTTCGCAAGGCTGAGGATATATCCTCTAAGGTGGGACGCAGCGCAAATATGGCGGAGGGGAATTTGAGGCGGCGGGCAGGAATAATTACCTGTTGCTCGAAGGTCGACATTTCGTCCTACTTCACGGCGTGAGGAGACAAAGGTCGAAAGGTTTATTTGTCCTGCACCGGCGTGTTGGTGGAGGCGATTGTTTGGCGGAATTTGTCGTTGACTTCAATTTTGACGACTGTAAGCTTGAGAGATTAATTGTGCGCTTCTTGTAGAGCACGTGATTGTGGGCTAGCCGAGGGTCCGCATGACATTTATGCCTCAGGCTCAAAATAAGGCACGGCGGGGGATCTTTCTGGATGCCGTTTCTGTGCCCTTGAGAAGTCTGGCAGTACTTGAGTAATACTGTGATCGAGAGTTACAAATTACGCATTCTTTTATTTTCTTAATGCCTTCTCTCTCTTTTCCATTCCTGTTCCTCTCTTTCTCTCCACGTATATGCCATTTTAAAGCTTCTCTAGGGCTCTTGAACCCTAGAAGGAACACATGACATTTCAAAAATTCGGCAAAATTTGTTAAAAGTCAGAGCATCGAGTTTATTTTTGACAGTTTGAACCTTGTTGCAGTAGGTAGCACACACTCAATTCTTAGGGCTGTTGGGAATATGTCGGCGCTGCTCAATGACACGAGAATTCTTTCGTCTTGGTAATTACATGCAACTTCAAGTCAAATCTTCAAATTTCTAAACTCCAACAACCAAAGCCAGCCAGCCACCTACACAATTTGTAAAGTCCAATACTCGTAGACGATTATATTTCAATACTGCTAAAATATCGGGATATCTTCAGAACTTAGACGTTCAATGGCCCAGCACAGCACAGCACAGTAGCAGTGAATTGATATCAGTACTCGTAAATCAGCTTTCCCGTTTCACCTACGAGTAGCTTAATAACCAGTGAAAGAAAATCAGTAGTTACTCGAAAGTATTCGAATCATGGTTTTAATTGTATGAGGTTCCTTTGGAAATCTTACAGAGTAATGACCAAATTTGTTACTCGCTTATCCATATACTCCATGATTATTCAACTCTAGGGGTCCAAGATTAGAGCGTCAATCGATTTAGGAAATCAGGAAGTATTATATCAGTCAATCTTGCACACATTTCACACCTCCCACATTCTCCAAAACAAGACATGCAGCTCAATTCGTATCATTCGATCATGAAAAGCAACAATGCTAGCCGCATCAACTAAGCCCCATTTCCTCCCTATCATTCTATATGATCCATCACAAAGAACGCCATACTTGATCGGAAGAGCCGCTCAATCAACTACATTTGTGAGTGAGAGAGAGAAGGGATTCGCCTCACCTTATGCCAATACAATTAGACCCAAGGGAATTCGTCAATAAAAAAAGAATTTTCTACACGCCGAATCATTTATACTCTGCAATCTTGTCATCCAAACGACTTAAAACCGTCTGCGTCTCTTTAACCAATGCTTTTCTCTTCTCTCGCGCCTCGTTGTCTCCTTCGGTCTCGACGGCATCCAGCTTGAGGAGAACCTCGTTCATGATGGTTTCGGATAGCTTCTTGTGTTCGAAGTCTCGCTTCTTCGGGTCTTCGGGTGGAGAAACCGTAAATTGCACACACAGAGGAAGGATCTTCGTGTGAAAGTGTGAGGCGATGGCATTGAGCTTGCCCACTGGAGTCTGAGGGGTTGGTGCCGGTGCTGGTGAAACAGTTCTTGAATTGGCGTTGCTGGGTCCATCTCCAGGCCTTAAATTCGAGTCGGACTTCTTCTTTCCCTTCTTCTTGCTCTTGCGACTTTTCTTTCGCCTGAACAAACCCCCTTCTTGCTCGCTCTCATCGTCCGATCCGCTTGCTTCTGCTTCCCCAACCATGCAAAGGATTTCGCTTTGGTTCTTCAAGTTGTAATCCCGGCATGGCCTGTAATCGTCCTTGAGTTGCTGACCCTTATACAGCAGCTTTAGCCTGGTACCACTCGGAAGGTCCATGACTGCTGCCGCCCGCTCCTTGACATCCCGAACCTGCAGCTTTCCATCTCCAATACTGTATGCCGGGAACTTGACTGGATAGGTAACGCCCTTATTCTTGATCAATAGAACATCATCTTCCGCTTGCATAGAAGGAGGTGGAGGTCGATGAGGGTCGTATGATGCTCCTGGCCTCTGGAGATCATCTGAGGTTATGTATGAGAAATCGGCATCGGTGACATTTGGTGGGTAGTTTCTGGATCCAAATGGAGAGAGGCGATGGCTACTTCCACCAAAGATAGATCGTCCCCAACCGCTCATTGAAAAGATAGCCGTCACAAGAAGAAGAACAACGCTACCAGCAAGAGCTGTCGGTGAGACGTTGTCCAGGTGGGTGTATTTGGCGGCGTCTGAGATGTAGGCCCGGGTAGAGGGAGGAAGCTGGGCGTAAGCTTTGGAGAGTTGTAAGATGGAAGAGTCAATGTAGGTCTGAAGAGGGTCAGGAAGACGTTGGATGATGGAAGACAGGGTGGCACCTTGCGATGCCACTGTGCTGGAAGCCACCTTGACGACTGATTTTTCCTAACCCTGCGGACTGCAGCAGTAGAATCACCCTAGTCGGTGAGCGTATAAGTACGATGGGGAAGGAAGGAACTGGGTGGGTGGATTGATAGTGAGAGTAGTTGGACACAGCTGTGCGTAGATGTTGGTTTTTTTGGCTTTGCGTCGCCTTACTCCAGTCTGGCCTTGTCGTTGCAGTGGCACGAGTGGTTCCAAGCCAGGCTGTGGCAGGGGTTATGGATGCTGAGCTCAGGGGTCCCACGGAGCAGTACTCTAGCAGTCCCCCATTCCAGGTTGTTCACCTTTACTCCTATTACAGATCACGACAAATGCAGAGAGGAGGGGTTTAGGGGGGCGGTTAATCTTACTGTATAATTGTAGAACTATTAGTAATCACACCAGTAACATATGTGTGTCATCTGATGATGAAATTGACTCCATTCACAAAACTCAACATCACTTGCAACCAGCACATTCTAGAATTGTCAGATGGATTCAGATGGATTCCAAACGCGGAGAAATCCAGAAATCCCGGGCAAACGCCACACTTCAACACCACACCAGCCATATTTCCAGCCGACATATGACCGACCTCGGCAAGCTAAGCTCGCAAAGGGTCTCCAGCTGCGCACGTCATATTGGCCTCCTGCATCAGTATCTCAAATCAATCGCTCAGCGCTCAGCTCACCAATCAATCCGACGCCCCTCATCGCCTACACTTCAAACCAAAGACTACCCCTCCTCCATAAACTATAAAATCCTTCTCCCCTCACAACCACCCCACAGTTGCCCATCATTTCGTTCCTACGCAGATTCTTCACTACACCACCCGCCAGCATGTCTGCCAAAACCAAAGCACAAAAGATTATTGAGGAGAACGGTGTTGGTATGTTGAATACGTCAACCATGTTTAGTCATGACGGATGGATGCTAACGGGTAGTGCTATCCAGCTGTGTTCAGCAAGTCGTTTTGCCCTTACTGCAAGGCTACCAAGAGCCTCTTGGATTCCCTTGGAGCAAAGTACTATGCTATTGAACTTGACCAAGTTGGTATGTTGATCTGGATATTTCCCCATGTTGATGATGATGCTGACTCTTCGAAGACGATGGCTCCGATATCCAAGCTGCCTTGAAGGAAATCAACGGCCAATCCTCTGTCCCAAACATTTACATCAAGCAACAACACATTGGTGGAAACTCAGATCTCCAGGCAAAGAAGGCTGAGCTACCAGCTTTATTGAAGGATGCAAATGTCTTGTAGCAAAGAAAGGAAGATGATCATACCAATAGGGAATCGAAGCTCTGGCTAGCACTTGGCTGAGTTGGAAACTTAGGGGAGACGACATAGGTAGAGCTTGGATGGCCAATCAATGAAAACGCCTTCAGCTTTGAGTTGTTCTTCCGTGATTCATGATAAGTGTACAAATAATACAATCTGCATAGCATGGGAGATCATACGACCTGCGTGGCAACAGTACCAACAGGACGCTCAACGAATTCCATAACTCCATCGACAATGCTCTTTCTGGCTCCCTCGCTGGCTACTGTCTTGCCCGCAACGTAATTCAGCCAGATGGGTCGAGATATGCGCTCATCAACAACGTGTCCCAATCTTGTTGCGCCAACCTTTCCGTCATCATACCAAACGGCAACTTTGCCTCTGGAGTCTCTACTCAAAAGAAGCTCTTTTCCTTTGGGCACGCCTCCTCTGTTGAAAAGCTGTTTAAACTCACCCAACGAGGCACCAAATGCTTCATCTCCATACTCCTCTTTCTTTGCCTGTGCCCGAGCAGTGAGTAATCGAACCCAAGCATCTCTCAAATGGTGAAAGTCCGTATTCCTAGTAGGTACTATTCGCACGAGTGTTCGTACCCCGCTTTTCTTCAAAATATTATCCCATATCTCCACGCCCTCTTGGGGATCGTACAGTTTCGCCTTCAATTTCTCTTTTTCCCCAGCGACCAGAGTGGAAGCAATTGGGTCAATTTCCCGGATCAAGGCCTCCTGCAATATTGCGATGTCCTCAGTGGCGATATACATTCCAACCACATAGACCTGAATGCCCAGGAAACTGACTGTTCGTATTCCCAGTCCCATAAGCTGATATTCTACAAGTCGATCATCGTTCTTTACCGGCGCAGTACCTCCAGCACCCACGCTGGTGTCGTCGTCAAAAAAATCCAGGATGCGGGGGAAGGTAGGGACAGTGCTCGTTCCTGTTTCCACAGTATCGACGACTTCTTCCGGGTTCTCTCCTAGCTTTTGTACAACCACTTTTCTCTCTCTACCTAACACAACCACAGGATCTTCTGCCCGTCGCCCCGAGTCCATTTTTGCAGGAGGGAGGTCGACTGATTTTGCAGTAAGCCACAAGCCCACCAGTGAAAGGATGAGACCAGCGCCTGCATAGTAAGACCTTCGTTTGAAAAGTCGATTTCTCTCGAACTGCCGTCGATGCGCGGCGATATAATCGAGTCTGGACTCGAGGTTTCGCTCGTTTTCATTTGGGGTTCGTCGGGTAAGATTCCGGTATTGCTGTGAAGAATGGTTTATTTTTGGGGATGCGCGGAGACATTGTAGTAGGTTGGGACTACGCCGAGGTAGTAGACGCATTGCGCGGGTTGGGCCTATTCGAAAGGGCATTATGGCAATACTTGACTGTTGATGTTATTCAATGCCTGGATTGAATGATGGAGCTGTAATCGATGAGCTGATCGGCTCGGTAGAATGCCGGCATCAAAGCTCTGCCTCCCCTCCAAGCATATCAAGAAGCACTTTCCTCCCATACGGTACTTACTGTGGACCTCGCTCGCGGGCGTGGAATACTGAATGTTTGAGGTTAACTACAGCCAAGATTCAGTCAATCATAAGTATTGACTAAAGGACTATTTTGAAAGCCCATCTGAGTGAGAACCAGCTGGTAACTCAGAGAAAACGGCTGAAATTGAAACTCTGATAAATTGTCTCTGTATCCACGTATATCAGATGTTTGTTTGTTTGTTTTGTTAAATTACAACATGCCCAGGAGTCTGATGAAACCTCTGCTTGAAAAAAAATGTAATGGATTTAGAGTTACACCAGTCGGACGGGCCGCTTGGCTGCAGTAGTGACAGTCTGCAAAGGGCAGGGCCTAGAATAGAATAGGCTGAGTCACAGAAGGATCTCAACGATATAAAAATGTTAATGTGATGGTGGGTTTTTGCTTCTACGCATAGCTTGTCAACTCAATTAAAATACAATATGTTCCACAGGATTTGAGACGGTTCTTCTTATTGAAGGATCCCAAGTTCAGCTGAACCTATGTGGTAAGGGCTCTGGTGGGCTGGAAGATACACAAGTTTAAGCGAGCGGAGGAGGCGGGCCAACCATTTGAAAGCAGCATCCCTCATCAGACCCAAACGCCATATCACCAAGCATCGCATCCAGCTACCACCACTACTCGACATTTGTCACCACCATCCATCCTCCACTCGTTCACCCCCTCTATCAACACCACATCGCGTGCTTGTTGTGCAGTTGCCCACTTGGTCAATCCGCTGTTGCCCACTCGACCGTCGCTGCCACCGCATTTCAGAGGGGTTGATTACGGCAACCCCCCCCGCGAGGCTGAACGATACTGCTACATAGCATCATCCCCCACAAGAACCCGCATCTACGACCATCAAAATATCAGCAACCTCCATTCTTGCCATTTACGCCTAGGGTACGCGTAGTGGCAGATTTCTCTGCGTCCAAAGTCCTTTTGAGGCGTCGCGTTTCCCTCCGAATCGCTATGCGCGGGCCAGTTCCAACCATGGCGCCCATTACCACCACCGCAGCCCCTTATCGTGCGACTCCAGATCAAGAGGGTGATTCACAATCGTCATCGAGCAACTCTCCAGCACAGCAGGATTACGAGGAGTCGGATTTCTACACGGGCAACAATGATTCTCAGTCCTCGATCGGCGTCCCAACCTTCCGGGACATGGCAGTGTCTGGGGATGTCTGCGAACCACCGGCGAATCGGTTACCTGCAGAAGTTCTTATTGGCATATTTTCAAAACTCACTAGTCCACAGGATCTGTTCAATGCTATGCTGGTATCAAAGAGATGGGCTCGAAACTCTGTAGACTTGTTGTGGCATCGCCCGGCTTGTACAAATTGGGAGAATCACAGTTTCATATGCAAAACGCTTTCTCTTCCCAACCCATACTTTTCCTACCGAGACTTCATCAAGCGGCTCAACCTGGCCAGTCTGGCTGACCTAGTCAACGACGGTAGTGTCTTCCCCTTATGGGTTTGTTCTCGAGTTGAACGCTTGACCTTAACTTCTTGCGATGGTTTGACAGATTCTGGACTGATGGGCCTTCTCAAGGGTAGCAGCAACTTACTTGCATTGGATATATCTGGCGTGGCTCAAATAACGGCCGAATCCATGATGGTTTTAGCTGAAAACTGTACCAGGCTGCAGGGTCTCAATATTTCATCATGTACAAAGATTTCCAACGATTCCATGATTGCTGTGGCTGAAAGTTGTGGCTCCATAAAAAGGGTAAGTTACTTGACATTTGGTTCTTTATTATACTGGGACTGATTCAATGTGCTAGCTAAAACTCAACAATTGCGAGCAACTCGAAGACGAGGCTATTATTGCCTTTGCAAGAAATTGCCCCAATATTCTCGAAATAGATCTACAGCAATGCAAGAATATTGGAAATATCCCAGTGACAGAGCTTCTTATTCACGGTCAAAGCCTTCGTGAGCTCCGTTTAGCAAACTGCGAGTTTGTTTCAGACAACGCATTCCTTAACCTGCCTTTAAACCGAACATTCGAACAGCTCCGAATACTTGATCTCACAAGCTGTGCGCGATTGACTGATGCAGCCATCGAACATATTATCGCTTCTGCGCCCCGGCTCAGAAACTTGGTATTTGCAAAATGCCGAAATCTTACAAACAATGCTGTCGATGCTATTAGCAAGCTTGGAAAAAACCTTCACTACCTTCACTTGGGACATTGTGGGCATATCACGGATGAAGCAGTAATCCGACTGGTTCAGGCTTGTAACAGAATTCGATACATTGATCTGGGATGCTGTCTTCATCTGACTGATGAATCTGTTATGAAGTTGGCCACCCTGCCCAAGCTTCGCCGCATCGGACTTGTCAAATGCTCGAATATCACAGACCGAAGTGTTAAAGCTTTGGCTAACCCCCGCGCATCACGAGGTTTATCAAGACCTGGCGAGGATATGCCTTGGCAGGGAAGTAGTCTTGAGAGAGTTCACTTAAGTTATTGCACCAATATTAACCTTGGCGTAAGATCACCGCTTCAATTCTGTATACAAACACTAACGATTTTCCAGAGCATAATAGAACTCTTAAAGAATTGTACCAAGCTCACTCATCTAAGTTTGACTGGCGTACAAGCATTCCTCCGCCCCGATCTGGAACAGTTCTGCCGTGAGGCACCCAGTGGTACGTGACTAAAACTACTTATGAATGACAATCTGCTAATTGTTTTCAGAATTTACGGACCATCAACGTAGTGTCTTTTGTGTGTTCTCCGGCAACGGCGTCGTTAGATTACGGAATCATCTGAGTGCAGAATCGTTTGATGAAATCGATCAAGATGGAGAAACTATTGCGGACGATGATCAAACGATGACTGGAATGATGCATACAACCAATATCAACGCCGAGGAAGATGTGGATGCAGATGCAGACGCAGACGACGACGACGATGGGATTGCAAACAATAGTTTTGGAGGCGTGGCCACTTGAAACAGATACGTCGACGATGAAATCGTGTGGAGTATTATAAAAGTTATCCCTCAAGCGGAAACAGCGAAGTAGCCGATATCATGATTGGCCAAGCGAAATCACCCCTCGAAAGCATCGCATCTTCATATTTTTATATGCTATTCTACTGGAAATTACTGATCGATTAGGATTCCTTGTTTGGGAAAGGAATCGAAGAACTTGAAGAGCTTTGAAGAGCACGTGCGAAGTTTAGGCATGCTGAGATTGACGCAAGAATAGACTCATGAATGGTGGAATACTCCGATAGGAGGAAGAGCTAATTATCTTCTGGAGTTTGTGTTTGGGTTGGGGCGTTGTTGGTAAAGGAACCGTGGGGAAGGAAGTATGGTATTTCGGGGTTGGTGTTCAGCGGATTGAGAGGAATGATACATGAGTATTTTTTTTTTGACAATGGAGATTTGATTACTTTCCTTCTTTTCTTGCCTCTTTTAAGATTTGAGAATTCTATGGTTCTATAATGTGATTACGACCTCCTGACTATGCTCACCCCCAGAAGTATAGCTAGTCGCCCATCACCTCGTCTCTCGTAGAATTCTACTGTCGTTGTTGTTGAGATATATAAATCGATAACCGCCAGTTATCTTACAACCCAGGTAGGCACTCGTATATCAAAACAGATCAGAACAGATCAGATCATCTTAAAAACAAAGAGGGGATGCTGTAGCCTATAGAGTACCTAGTAACCAGGAGAGACAAGCCAGGGTTTCTTTTTTGTTGCACGTCGCAATGTTGGTTCTTGTTGGTTTGTCTGACTGTGCTGTGTGTTGCGTGTTGCATACTGGTGGAGTATGATAATTGGGTAATATGCGTATGGAAGTTGCCAGTTGGGAGTTGGGGTGATTGGTGATTAGTGATTTGGGTGTGAACAAGTGGAATGTGGATGAAATACTACCTACGTAGGGTTGTTTGTCTGTTGTAGGGGAAGGGAGGGGGGAGG